GTGCGTGTGCGTGTGCGTGTGCGTGTGCGTGTGCGTGTGCGTGTGCGTGTGCGTGTGCGTGTGCGTGTGCGTGTGCGTGTGCGTGTGCGTGTGCGTGCGCACGCACGTGCCGGCACACGCGCGCCACACTTGTGCACGTACGAGGTGCAAGTGCGTGCGCGTGTGCGAGGGCGGCGTGCAAGTCCAAGTGATGTGCGACGTGCGTGTGCGAGTGCGCCATCCAGCTGCGCCGTGCGTGTGCGAGTCAAATGCGCACATTTTGCCCTTGCACTCGCACACGCACACGCACCAGTCTCACAGCTGACGATGTTTTGCAAGTGGAAAATTCAATATAGTTGGGGCTGAGTCCGTTACGGCTCGTTCCGGCTCGTTTGACCGTAACGAACGAACTTTCGTTCGTTCGTTATGGTTCGTTGCGGTTCGTTTCACCGTAACGAACGAACGAACGAGTCCGTTTGTGTCATCAGAACGAACAAACGAACGAACGAACGAACGCACTGGCTTTGCCATCCAAACGAACGAACGAACGAACGAACGAGCGAATGCGTGTTCGTTCGTTCGTTCGTTTCACCGTAACGAACGAACGAACGAACGAACGAACGAAGTAGCTTCGCAGGTTCGCTAACGACCAAACGAACGAACGAGCGCACTTCGTGAGCTCGTTATGGTTCGTTTCACCGTAACGAACGAACGAACAAGTCCGGTTCAGGCAGCCACGCAAACGAACGAACGAACGAACGAAGGGCTTTGCGTTCGTTCGTTCGTTCGTTCGTTATGGTTCGTTTTACCGTAACGAACGAACGAACGAAGTGGCTTCGCGGGTCCGCTAACGACCAAACGAACGAACGAACGCAATTTCGTGAGCTCGTTATGGTTCGTTTGCCCGTAACGAACGAGCGAACGAACGAACGAACGTGCCAAACAGTATGGCAATAGAACGAGCGCGTGAGGCAGAGCAAAAGCTGAAAGGAACAAAATGCAGAGTGCCGTCGGGGGGAATATTCCGCGCGACGGTACTCTGCATCTTGCGTGAGCGTGATTCACGAGAGGGACCCTGAGACCCTGAACAGACCGCGATCTGCCTACCCGTGCCAGACACGGAGAAAACGAAAATCCAAAAGGACGAAATGAAGGCCCCAACGATCACGAAGGGGGAAGTCCGCGCTGCCTGGCTGCAGGGCACATCGGGGCGCCACCCCAGCGGCTCGACATCCACTACCCATGACCGTCAGCTGCGCAACGTGCGCCTTTTGAGGCAGAGCAAAAGCTGAAAGGAACAAAATGCAGAGTACCGTCGGGGGGAATATTCCGCGCGACGGTGCTCTGCATTTTGCGTGAGCGTGATTCACGAGAGAGACCCTGAGGCCCTGAACCGACCGCGATCTGCCCACCCGTGCCAGACACGGAGAAAACGAAAATCGAAAAAGGACGAAATGATGGCCCCAACGATCACGAAGGAGGAAGTCCGCGCTGCCTGGCTGCAGGGCACATCGGGGGGGGCGCCACCCCAGCGGCTCGACATCCACTACCCATGACCGTCAGCTGCGCAACGTGCGCCAAGAAAAGGCAGCGACCTTGACGCACCCAGGGGCCGCCCGCGTGGAGGACACGCATACAGAACTTTTGGCCCCCGCACTGCCGAGCCGGACCGGCTCACTCGGATCGATGCACCGGGCTCTGCCTAGAAGAACACGAGCAAGCGCACGCCCTTGCCGTAATCGCACGGACGTCCAGGGCTCCGCTCGGACTCGCCGCTTGGACCGCAGAGACGAGCATAGCGCCGCATTTCTCTTTGACGATCAACCGCCTGCCGGAAGATCTCACCGGACCTGTTCGCTAAAGAGAAAAGCACAAAGCCATCGCCGGATGTTCTTCGCCGTCTCGCGAAAGACGACGAGGGAGCTTTCACCTTTTGCAGTGTTCACGCACGGACGTCTTTTTCCGAAAATCGGACTCGTTCGTTACGGCGTTACGGCTCGTGACGAGCTCGTTCGTTACGGTGAAACGAACCGTAACGAACCGTAACGAACGAACGGGAATTTCGTTCGTTACGGTGAAACGAACCGTAACGAACCATAACGAACGAACGAAAGTTCGTTCGTTACGGTCAAACGAGCCGGAACGAGCCGTAACGGACTCAGCCCCGACTATACTCGGAAAATTTTGGAAATAATTTGCTGAAAATGCAGAACTGCCTCGTGTTTCGGAAGAAATAGGAAAAAATTTGGTTAACATACCAGAATCTAAACGATTGCATCTAAACTTTCAGACCTAAACGAGGAGGCGTCGAAACGATCGCCCGCGGGTCTAAACTATCAACGCGACGTCGCGAGCCCTGCTGGGATTGCAGTCCGTCTGTGCTTTCTTGTTGTCGGAGACTGGCCGACAGAAGAGGGGCCGCGATGGTGGCGAGAAGCGAACAAAAGGAGGCAAAGGGGAAAAGAGTCGAGGAAGGGGATTTGCAGGGGGGCGGGCAGAAAACAGAGTCGTCGGCCAGGGCAGCCGCCGCCGGCCGGCCGGCCGGCGGCGGCTGCCCTGGCCGACGACAAGAAACCCCAAACCCCAAACCCTAGACCCAAAACCCAAACCCTTGAACCGTTTTCACTTTTGTATGCAAAGTTGAGAAGTTTAGAGATCTTTCCAAACGTTTACGCGTTTGGTCCAAACGTTTAGTTCCGGGGGTGCAGTTTAGATTCTGGTATGTTAACCAAAAAATTTTCACAGTGAACAGCTCTGCTTCCCCGCCTTTTACTGATTTGAAACACGAGCGCAATCTGTATAATTTCACGAAAAAACTGTAAAATTTTTCTCCCCCAATATTTTTACGCAACGTCGGTATAGTACGACCAAATAGAAAATATGCAGCAACTGAATCATTATTACGTGATCGGCGCGTAGTTGTAGTGCCCGATGTAGAAATGTTTATCCGGTATCGTTGGTTGGTAGGTGTACTTGTGGTAATTCGCTTCTGGGATGCTCCAGCCCGGGTGCAGTTCGCCGCCACCGCCCGCGAAAAACCGTTTCGTACTCGAGCTGCTGCTCGTTGCTGCGTTGCATCCCACTTGCAGGTGCGGCAAATGAGAGCAACTAGTACCAGCAGAATAATTATAGCCCCCTTTTGCACTGATTTTTCCGGGCCCTCGCGTCAGATGTCGCAGCATGGTTTGTGGGAGTTTTTTTCCGCCGGATAAATAAGTCGATGTGATAAAAACCATCTACATACTCATGGACCAAGAAAACGACAAGCAAATTACAGCCATTGAGTTTACTGCGCTAGTTGTGGCCATAAAGTCTTGTTACGAAGAACAGGAGCCGGGGGCTCTGTTGAGCAGACGACCGAGGGTCATGCTGAAGAAGTGTAGTTGATGCAGTACACCAGCACGAAATTTCAAACCTCCTCCAACAAACGAATTGAGGTCTTGGGAAAAAAACACGGACTGAAGCGAACACACATATACAAGGACACAAAAACGGAAGCATAGAATGATTTTGATGCAGCGCGTAGTACTACTTCAGAACTTTCCCCGTACTACAGAAAGTTCATTTTCCAGGAGGTGCTCGTGAGGTGATACACGAAAACTTTTGATTTGAAGCGATAAAAATCTTCGGGACTATCTTCAGCTCGGCAACTTGCCGAACGGCCCGTCCACCTTCCGATCCCGCAGGGCGATATCAAAGTGAAAAAAGCCCCCTCCCCATATTGAAACGGGAATTTCTGTTGCTGGATTTGTGTACACAAATCAGCGCTGTATTGCAGCAAGCGCTTGCAGGCATTTTTTAAGCCTGATTAGGTATGCAAAAGGCTAGCACTCAGGCACGACAGACAGCTTTGCAGTAAGCAAAAGCGCACGACAGCTTTGCTGCGGAATGCGCCACACGGCTACCATTTGCCTCATATGCAAGACAAAGCTGATTTGTGGTCACAAATCAGCATCACAAATTTCAACTGTGAGTATGGGGAGGGCGGATTTTTCCTCACGATAGGCGAAATCCGGTCCCCACTGGCGCCAGCCCCCGCACTTCGACCGTTGCGGCCGGCCGCCGTGGTGCTTGCGCGTCTTGATTTGCGGAATAAAGGGGATCCACTTCTGCCGGTCTTTGTGGATTGCAAAAATGTCTGGGTCTGGAAGGTTGGAACTTGTAGTGCTAGCTTTCCATACCTAGACATCAACCTGTAATGCATATACCAACAAGAAAAGTCGCAGCCTCTTTTGTACATGCAAAAAGAACGCAGCTTCTCATGCGGATTGCCTATGAGAAAGCGTGCTGGAATAAAGTTGTCATGCTGGGTTGCATTCGGAACGGTTTCCATCGTCCACATTTTAGCATCACAAGTTTCCAGACATCCAGGGATATTTGCATTTGATAGTCTTTCAGGTATTGCAGTTTGTACCGCGCCTCCGTGACCAAGTCCGGGTATTTTGGCTGGATATGCAGTACAAAAGTATATGCACTCGTATTAATTGCGTTTATGCATTACAAATCTTTTTGTTGATGCAAATCCGCATTACAAATTCAATTTGTACTGCTAAATCAATTTGTGATGCATTTATACGAGTGCGATACTTTTGCACAGGATACTGGAGCGCTTGGAAAATATCCTGTAGCAACGTGCAGCCGTTGTTTTTTCCACTTTCTTCGTCCGAAGTTATACTTTTCGCAGTCTTCAGAAGCTTTCCACCTGAAGCTGAACAAGAGGAGCTGCTGCTAGAAGCTTGTATCGCCGACAGTGAGATCACCTCTTTTGGCCAGGGTTTCAACTTGACAAATTTCAGGTCGGGGAGGAAGTGCCTTTGCGTGTTCGGAACAGAGGACACAACCGGTGGTCTGTGAAGTAGATCTTCGTCGTGGTTCCACAACGTCATCTTATTCTCTTTCCCTACTTGCGTAGTTGTACTTGATGTTCTGTGGCGCCTGTTCTTCACACACCACCTGACCAGGCTAGGGTCGCGACACTGGAAGCCGTACAGTTCGTTAGTTTGGTTTTCGCCAACACGACCATTCCGGTTGTAGTTGACTCTGTCACTGCGAAGCTTGTTTGTTGTTGCCGAAAACGCAGTTGTGCTGCCTGCTGATGTTGTACTACTACCAAGATTCTGGAACTCCCACCGCTGCGCCGCCATGCTGTAACTCAAACAGGTTGAGGTGGCTGCTTGTTGCTGGTGATGTTCAGCAAATAAATCGTTTGACATAATTGTGCCAGCACTCCTTCCATCTCCGAGTGGTGAAAACGAACAGCTGCTCCGCACGAACGAGGGCGTCATTAACGGCTTGTCTAAGCCTTCAAAATCGTAGAAACCCGCGGGAGAAGCTGAAGCACCAGACAGAACTACATCATGATTTCTACACTTGTCCCGGAAAGTTGCGACGACACCGCTCTTTCTTCGTCTTCTCCCGCCTTTGGTCAGGAAGATTTGCAAGCATGGTAGTTTGTGGTACCGCAGGGCGAGCTATCAACTGCAAATATTTCTGGGTCTGGGAGATTGCGAGATTTGTCATGCTAGTCCGGCATGACTCTGAACTCTGTATTGCGTGCCCGCGAAGAGCTCCGCCTCCCTGTCATGCAAAGACGCAGGTGCTCATGCGGAATACGCAACAAACTCAGAACCATGAGAAAAACTTGTCATGCTTGGCAGCGCATTACAGTGAGCCCACTATTCCCTTCCTTGCATCACAAGTTTCCAGACCCAGAAATACTTGCAGTGCATACGAGCTCGAGACAGTGTTGGTAGTTCGGTCTGGAAGATGTCGTGGCTCTACCTGTTTCCGTTTCGGGAGTCGGAATATTATATCCCCTTCTGTCAACATCTTCACGACTGGCACTTTTATCTACCACCCTCGACGTCGGAGGTGAAGAAGGTGAGAACAAGATCCGCAAACAGTATCAACTGTAAAAGTGTCGGGGTCTGGAAGATTCTGACAGTTGTCATGCACGTTTTGCATGAGCCATGATGTCTGTGATCCATACCCTAGCAATACAGATTTTTTGAGGGCTTCTCGATGCCTATTCCGCATGACAAATGCCTTCTCAGCGTAGCAAAAATTGCATTCCCTTTGGTACTCACGCAATACAGATTTTTTTGGAATCCAAACGCAGCATCACAAGTTGCATTCTTCCAGAACCAGACCCAGACACTTTTACATTTGATAAACAGTCGTGTTTTGCCATTTCCACCGCAAGCTGACTCTGTAATGAGAGGAAATGTTGCCGCCTTTCTATCTTGCTGGTGTGGCGTGCTGCTGCGGCAGATGAGAACCCCCCAGAATAGCAACCGCGTACACGTCGTGCGGAAGAAGTAGTCTTCATGCATTTTTCCCTCAGCTGTCGTTTCAACCATTCCATCCTCTCCCTCCCGTGCTCGAACGCCAAAAAGAGTCGCGCTCTCGCGAGTAAATCCAGGCATATGCATTGCAAAAGTATCGTACTAGTATGGATCGCATGACAAATTAGCTCAGCATTTTTACAAATGAAATTTGTGATGCTGTTTTACCTTAAGAAAAAGAGATTTGTCATGCATAAGTAACAGTAATTACTACGAATACGATTAGTACTTTTGCAGTTCATAAGGCACTTCGTGCTGCAATCCTCGTGGTACGAGTTTTGGAGAATTTGCAGCGTCTTCCTGATTTTCTGAACGTGCTCTTCCTCTTGCTGTGAAGCAATAGAAGAAGTACAACTGCTCGTCGCATCGTGCAGCTGCGTCCTCAGTCGCAGCACCAGCGCCTGGAAGGTACTAGATATCAAATGTAAAAATGTCTGGGTCTGGAAGAGTCATCCTGTTTGTGCATGACACAGAAGGTCTGGCATGGAAGCTGTAGCATCACAGGTTTCGAGAAGCTTCCGCAATGCCGAATCCGCATGACAAATCCCCCATTTTGGTGACAGAAAGTGGGTAGCTTTTGCTACATATGCATGAGAGATTTTTCTGTGTTTTGAAATGCGCATCACAAGTTTGCATTCTTCCAGACCCAGACATTTTTGCAGTTCATACTAGACGGAGGAGAACTACGAGAAGGTGTTGACCCAGCATATAACCCGCTCAGGTGTTACAATCTCACACGTTACAATAGAATATGGAAATCTGTGATGCAAGAGTGCATGATCTACTGTAGTCCCATAGGTTTACGCATGACAAGTTTCGGAGCTCCAAAACGCACTATGTATAATCTGGCGAAACTTGTATTGCAGAAAGTTGAACGCCCTACGAGTCTGTCACGCTCATCATGCAAGACAAATCTCAGACTCTATTGTAACGTTTGAGATTGCAACGTTTGAGCAGGTCATACAACACCCCCAAAGCGTTTCTTCCGAGGACTAGCCAGCGCACCATGTTGGTCTGGCGCGAAGAAATTTTTCTTGGAGACGATCTTTGCTGCACCTACCCCGCCGAAGCCTGGGCCATCTTCGATCTTCCGCCCGCAAAGTTGTGCGTCGCTGCTTGCAAGTTCGACTTGAGGTTGTGTTGCAGAATTTATGTTCCGCGCGCTGGTAGTCAGGATCGTACCTTTTATTTGCCGAGAAGACGCCTCGGAAGTAGATGCAGCAGGTGCACCTCCCGCGGTCAAACTTCGCGCAGAGGAAAAGCATCTGGAATTAATCCTTCTCGAATACCGCCTGCAAGGGAGTCGTGCAGATGCCCGTCTGGCTGTCCATGGGCGAAGTTGCAGACCAAGAGAGTTCTTCATTCTCGAAGACAGATAAACTTTATTTCTTCACTCGTTATCTGTAATAAAGTTCTTACAGAGCCAAAAAAACTCTCCTGCTGGTCGTGATCGGCGCTCTTTCAAAATGACTGGCGAATCATCCGTTCTCCGCGGGGTCGTGGTAGGAGTACACAGTAAACAAATCGGATTCGTATATATTCGGAGACAGCCAGAGTAACATGCTTTTACGATCCTCTAGCCGCACCGAATCGGTGTGGTCCGAAGCCCAGCCGCAGCTTCTACCGCACTGCAGCTTGTTGCGACAAGCCCCGTGGGGGTCGCGTTCAAAGAAAGACTGGACTCAGGTAGAAAACTCCTTCCAGGTCTTTTGAACACACGGCGACAATGGACCTCGCGGAGGGTTTCTTGCCTCTTCGCATCAATTACATCAATTCGGATGGATTCCATGACAAAATTTTGGCGCAAAGTTTAGGGTGACACAGGTTGATATAACGAAAAAGTTTTGCGCGGTTGATATGAAAAACCAGCTCAGAAAGACGTTGAGTTTGCGTATACACGAAACAAGTTATGTAAAGAGTAAATACAAGGAGTAAAGGATACTAGCGCACAACTACATGAGTACCGCTGTTTCTCGCGGACACATGGCAGGCGACGTTGTGCGGTCTCGTAAATTACCAAAAATTCGTTTAAAGTGTTGAAAATGGATAGTCACAAGTGTAGAAACAACATGAGAACAAATAAAGAATAGGACGAGAAATGCTACAATATGCTCAAAAAGTAGACCTCTACCGATGCGCCGGCTGGATCAGGAACAAATAATAAATCTGACAATGCGACAGTCATGAAATCTCAAAGGATAGCTGCCACTGGGTCATTTTCGAATAACTCAAGTCAGTGTCTGGCGCTGTGAACAGACAGTCCGCTCGTTGGTACAGTTACATTTCTGCAGTACGGAGTACTAAAATGTTCCGGTAAGTACTTATGTTGCTCTAGTACCCGAATGTTGAATGGACAAAACGAAACCTTCTAGTGGCGCCAAAGGGTATTTTCCGCCTGATTCTCACTCTAAGTGTACCTTCATCACACCGGAGTACTTTGTTCTCGAGTCCTAGACGATACAGAAAGTTGTGACAAGTCGAGCTGCAGTGCCAGTGTATGAATCAGAGATTGGAACCATTTCCTTCGGAGCAGTCCTCTACTACTACCTTTTTCTCACACGAACTCCTGCCTACCCCGGCGCGAGGACGAACCGCGGCTGCTCTTGCGCGCCACGTTTCCACTGGCTCGGTTGCCGCTGCTTTTCCGCGAACCAGATTTCATCTTCCGACTCGCGCGCACCGCCGCATATCAAAGTTAAAAAAGCCCTCTCCCCATATTGAAACGGAAATTTCTGTTGCTGGATATGCGTACACAAATCAGCGCTGTATTGCAGCAAGCGCTTCCAGGCATTTACTATGCCTGTTTAGGTATGCAAAAGGCTAGCACTCAGGCATGCCAGACAGCTTTGCAGTAGGCAAAAGCGCATGACAGCTTGGCTGTGGCATGCGCCACACGGCTCCCATTTACCTCATATGCAGTACAAAGCTGATTTGTGGTCACAAATCAGGATCACAAAGTTCCATTGTGAGTATGGGGAGGGGGGGATTTTTCCTTTTGATACCGAACCCACAACCGCCAGGCCCCCGGCCATGGGGTTTTCCAACCGGTCCACCGCTTTGTACACTGTGCGCTTCACCATGGGCAGGTGACACGGGAAGCAGAAACCAATGTTGCTTACGCAACAGTAATATCAAATGCAAATATGTCTGGGTCTGGAAGATTCCTACATTTGTCATGCGTGTCTGACATGCCTCAAGAATCTGTGATGCAGGGGCACGAAGCGGCCCTCTTATCTGTCATGCAAAAACGCAGTTTGCCATGCGGAACACGCAACCCATAGGAGCCCCAAAAATTTGTCATGTTTGGCTCCGTATTGCAGTGGAACTCTCATTCACTTTTAGCATCACAAGTTTCCAGACCCAGACATATTTGCAATGCATAAGTAATCCATGCTGCAGGTTTGCCAGTCGGACTTCTGCAGGTTCGGCACCTCGTTCGGGAGCATGAACTTCCAGTAGCAAAGATCCTGTGTAAAAAGGTCCCCATACCAGAGTCAGGATGGAAAATCTGTTTGGTTGTTTCGCATGACAAATTTGTCCTCGTAGTGTAATCCTGTTTAGCTAGAAGTTCAGCAGCATCACAGATCTAGCATATCGTGCTATTTATAGCATCACAAATCCCAAAACACCACTAGAAAATGCTTCTCATGTGGCTTCGCATGAGAAACTTTTTTGGCATGCAGATTTGCATGACAACTCTGGGGTGGGGACGTTTTTACACAGGATAGCAAAACACCACCGCGATGACACCACTGAGGACGTAGCCGAGAAACGCCACCGTGTTGAAGAGTTCTCCCCACTCTTTTCGGGTGGTGCCCGCAAATGTCGTCGGGCAAGTTTCAGTAAATCGAGAATATGGAGGTCCATAATCCAACTCCGAGGAGCAGTCGTCCGTGGCGAGGTAAAAGATGAGAAAAAGGAGAGAGACGAACCAGGTCACAACCAACAGCGCCATGAGTCGAATCAGGGAAACCGTGTAGTCCGCGACAATGGTGCCGTTGCCATACACCACCAGCTCCATTGTATCCTTCACATCTGCTATCAAAATGAAAAATCCCGTCCCCCGACATCAAAAAAATAATTTCTGACGCTGGATCTGCGCACACAAATCAGCTTTGTCTAGCAGTAGACGAGTGCATGCCCATATCGTGCCAATGTAGAGAGGTTTTTGCCTAGGCGCTTAGCGTGGGGGGCGTCTATGCTGCAAGCCTAACAGCATTACAAAGCGCCTGCATAATGGGGCGGAGCCTATACCATTGCTTTCTCGCAAGACAGACGCGATCTGTGGTCACAAATAAGCATCATAAATTCTCTGAGACGTGCCTTTTAGATATGGGGACGAGGGGGGATTTTTCCTTACGATATCTGCCTGAAAAGAGTCATCCTCCATCGTCGCATTGTAGTTCTGGTAAGGCTTCTTCCCCGTTTGAAACACCAGCACACAGGGACAGCAAATGGGGAGGGCACAGAAGCCGTCCATCACGCAGGAACCAGCATCGCAGTACTGTTCGACACTGGCGTTTGTCTCTGGATCATAGTCAAAGCCGCAGCAGTATGACAGTGCACAACCCCCCCTCCCCCTCGTTTGTATGGCATGAACGGCAATACAAGCGCCGGCGAGAATGCATGTTTTGCATGACAAATTTGCGCCGGATTGTAGTGCTATCTGGGCTGCCAGAACTTGTCATGCAAACAGTGCTAAGAGGCACACCCTGAGTTGGGTATTTTGCATGACAAATGAGGGGAAGGGGGAGTTGTGCACATTCATAAGCAGTCGCCGGACCACAGGTTGAACGCGTTCAGGCAGCACATCCAGTAGACTTTGCCCTGGTCGCTTTTCGTCTCTGCGCCGGGGCTATCAACTGCAAAAATGTCTGGGTCCGGAAGATTTGAACTTGTCATGTTAAATCTAAATGATGCAAAAATCTGTGTTGCGTGAGTGCCAAAAGCTGTCCGCTTTTGACCAAGTTGAGAGGGAGTTTCTCACGCAGGAAAGGCATGATAAAGACCTCAAAGAATCTGTCATGCTGGGTCTCGCACTCCAGACCTCATGGGTCATGGAAAACCTGCATCGCAAATCTTGCATTCTTCCAGACCCAGACATTTTTACATTTGATAGGGCCCTTTCAGGTACTCGCTTGTCCCGAGTGGCGCAATGTACGTTTGTCCACTCACAATTTGCATCTCCACGGCCTCGCCCTCGGCCCTTCCCTGGTTTCCGCTCTTTTTTGCAACCACGAAATCCGCAGCCACCGGCTGCCCCACCAGCTGGCGGTAGGCCGCCCCGGACGAGCCGTCGTACTGGTAGATGCGGTAGGCGGGCTGACTGCCCATCTGTGGAATGTATCATTTGTAGAAACGTCCCCACACCAGAGTCAGGATGGGGAATCGGCTAGACAAATCCACAAGTTTCGGCTGTTTTGCATGACAAATTTGGATTCGTAGTGTAGTGCTGTTTGAGCTAGCTCAGCAGCATCACAGATCTAGTCTCTCATGCTGATTGGAGCATGACAAATTTCAAAACACCATTAGAAAATGCTTCTCATGAGGTTCCGCATGAGAAACATTTTAAGCATGCAGATTTGCATGACAACTATGGTGTGGGAACGTTTTTAAATAGGATAGAATGTCCATGGGTCTCATGACGGGCGACTGCTCTATCAAGTGCAAAAATGTCTGGGTCTGGAAGAGTGCGCGATTTGTCATGCAGCTTTTCCATGACCCATGAGGTCTGGAATGCAGGGACTAGCATGACAGATTCTGTGCGATCTCTCTCATGCCTGTCCTGCATGTGAAACTCCCTCCCGACTTGGTCAAAACTGGACGACTTTTGGTAATCCTGCAACACAGATTTTTGCATGCTTCAGATTTAGCATGACAGGTTGCATTCTTCCAGACCCAGACATTTTTACGTTTGATATGCTCGGGCGCCGCGCCATTGGTCAGGTCCACCGCCTTGCACACCGACCGCTTGACCATCGCAAGGTGGCAGCAAAAGGCCTGGGAGGCCACGATCAGGAAGTCTGTGCAGCAGGTCTGCCACTCCGACTTTTGCATGTTGCGGACCTCCGTAGGCAACATGAACTTCCAGTAACAGAACACTGCCGCCAAAACCACCGCAAAAACGCCGTCAAAGGCTTATTGTGGGGAAAAATTATACCCCCTCCCCATATCGAAAAGGCACACCGCAAATGCTGATGTGTGGGCAAAAAATCTCTCTGTCTTGCAACTAGGGATCAAGTCCACAGGCTCCGCCGCGTGATGCCGGCGAATTGTGATGCTGTTGGTCCTGCAGCGTAGACTTTTGTCATGCTCCTGGGCCGCGCCCATGTCAAAACATCTCTGCATATTAACAGGCTATAGCATATACCTGCAGAAGTCCTATACTTCTGCAAGACAAATCTGATTTGTGTATGCAAATCCAGCATCAGATAAGTTTCGTTTTGTTACGGGGAGGGGGGATTTATTTTCCTTTTCGTAAGGCTTCAAACAGACCACGCAACAGGGTCGCGGTGTCCTTGTCGGAGCAATCCACCGTATTGGAGTAGATTGGAGGTACACCCGAGTACCCCACCTTCCCCTCGCACTCCACTGTGTAGTATCAGAGTGCACAAGACCCCCCCCCCTCGACGTCCCCCTCAACATTTGGCATGCAGAATCCCAATTGATTCCACCTGGTGCCTTCTTCGATAATTCCGAAACCTAAGCATTACAACTTTAGCTTAACTTTAGCTTACACTCGGCGCGTAAAATTATAACTTAAACTAAAACTTGTCACACGCACAGGCTCGACTTGTGTTGGGGGTCGTGTTGCTGTTCCTGCAAGTGGGGTTTGAGGAGGGAGGGTTGTGCACCCTCATATGTAGGACCACTCAGCCACAATCACCGTCGCCAAGGAAAAGATTACGAAAAAGAACATATCCTTTGTAAAAACGTCCCCACCCCAGAGTTGTTTTTCTTTGTAATGCAAATCTGCATGCATAAAATGTCTCTCATGCGAAGCCCCATGAGAAGCAGTCTATATCGGTGCTTTGAGATGATTTATCACGCTCAAACAAATCAGCGCGATGCGCTAGATCTGTGACGCTGCGCTGCACTAGTTAAACAGGATCACACTACGAGGACAAACTTGTCATGCGAAACCACTAAAGCTGGTAGATTTGTCTAGCAGATTCCCCATCTTGACTCTGGTACTATGGGGACGTTTTTACTCAGGATAGAACAAAAACCGCATCAACGTCAGCGTCAAGCCCACCATGCCGTGGCCGAGGATCTGTATCCAGTGCAAATCTAATGTCTGGGTCTGGAGAGATGCGAGATTTCGTGTCATGCAGTTTTAATGTTTATTCCAAGCTCCACCATGATAAGTCTGGAACGCAGGATGGCCTAGCATGATCACAGGTTCATCTTCTGCAGCTGTCCTTGGTATTTATGCCTATTCTGCATGATGAGACAGGCTCGTCTCTCGCCATTGCCAGAAGTGAGGCCACGCCCTCTTCTTGCAAGTCATGGAGCACAGACTTTTCTATGATCCGCAACACACATCACAAGTTCCTCTCCTTCCAGACGACCCAGAGGGAAGTAGATATTTGCATTGGATACTCTGCTCCGCACCACAAAACATCACTTTCCAGAGCGCTTTGAAGTCCTGGCAGCAGGTCGGTTGGTCCTGCGGGTCGGCGTAGGGCTTCTTCCCTGTTTGAAAGATCAACAAACAAGGACACGTGATCGCGCAGCCAAGTAAGCAGTCGAGAAAAAGGCCCGGGTCCCGCTTGTAGTACTGCTCCGTAACCACGTTGTAGCGCCAGCCCCCGGCCTGCCGCGTCTCGTAGTCAAACCCGCAACAGTCGCCAGACCAGGCGGAGCACGGCACGTAGTTGTCCACTGCTCCCGGACACAAGCCGTAGCAGTATGCATTGCAAATATCATCATGCCTGGGAGGTCTGGAAAGAACTTGTGACGCAAGAATTCAGAGAACATCTTCAATGCGCACACTCTAGTGCAACACTGCCAAGCATGATGACAGGTCTTATTTCCGTGATTATGATTTTGATTTACGTGTTCTGCATGAGAACCTTCTTTTTTGCATGACAGGCAAGAGGAGCTCTACTATGCGGCCTCGCAATACAGAGCTCCGAGTCGTCCTCATCTTCCCTGACTCCCACCACAAATCTTGCATTCTTCGAAACCAAGACAACATATTTGCAATGCCTAAGCAGCTGGCCCAGTACACTTTTTGACTGCTGCCTTCCACGGTGGTGGTCGTCTCCAACACTGTCGGCGGCGGGGCCTGCGTATGGATTGTAAAAGTGTCTGCGTCTGGAAGGTTGGAACTTGTAATGCTAGCTTTCCATACGTGGAAAATCTTCTGTATTGCATACTTAACCAGCAAAAGTCGCAGGCGCTTTTGTCATGCAAAAACGCAGTTTCTCATGCGGATTGCCTATGAGAAAGCGCTTTGGGAAGTTGTCATGTCGAACTGCATTCCGAAGTGTTTTCATCATGCACATGTTTCCAGACCCAGACATTTTTGCATTTGATACTGCGCCGCCGGCATGCCGTTCTCCAGCTGCTCGATCCGGGCTTCCAGCTCCTCCGCCACCGCACTCCCCTCGAAGCGCGGCGTGATGACCCCGTCGGTCACTATCCTGAGCAAAAACGTCCCCACCCCAGAGTCAAGATGGGGAATCCGCTAGACAAATCAGCCACCTCTGGTTGTTTCGCATGACAAGTTTATCCTCGTAGTGTGATCCTGTTTAGCTAGTTCCGAAGCATCACAGATCTAGCATATAATGCTGACTCTAGCATTACAAATTCCAAAACAGGATAAGAAAATGGTTCTCATGGGGCTCCGCATGAGAAACTTTTTTGGCATGCAGATTTGCATGACAACTCTGGTGTGGGGACATTTTTACTCAGGATAGTCACCTCCCCGTCCTCGTCCGGTCGCGCACCGTCCCCGTTCTCCTCGTTTCCATCTTGTGCCGCCAACTCCAATTCGTCTCCCTTGGCCACCTCGGTTTCCGCCGCTTCGCCTTCGCCCTCCTGCATGGGCGCGTTAAAAGTACTAGCAGCAGCCTCGGCGTAGGACGAGGAGGAAAAGTCGAAGTTGTAAGATGTGCTGTAGGCTGCTCCTTGCTCCTGCTCTTCCGCCTTATCCTCCTCCAACTGCCCCTCCGCGACGGCCTGGTCGCCCTCCTCCGCAGGAGGCGCAGCATATCCCACAGAAAAAAGCTGGCAGGGCATATTTGTAATGCAAAAATAAATACACAGGAAGATCTGTCATGGGCGGCCTCATAGCATGCTGTTCAGGACGCGCAATACAGATTTTTTTGTGTATTTATTTTTGCATTACAAATGTGACCTGCCAGCTTTTTTCTGTGGGATACAGGCGCCTCGCCCTCCCCGCCGTAGTTTTCATCGTCATCGTACTTGCGGTGCTTTTTCTTCTTCTTTTTCTCTCGGCCGCGGGCCATGGGGGGCGCGTCGTAATCCCAGTCTTCCTCGTAACCGTAGCCGTAGCCCTGCATCTCCACCGCTACTTCTCCCTCTGCGTAGTACCTGTCCCGGTGTTTTTTCCGGGTTACCGCGTATCAAATGTGAAAGTGTCTGGGTCTGGAAGAATGCAAGATTTGCGATGCAGGTTTTCCATGACCCATGAGGTCTAGAATGCGCGACCCAGCATGACAGATTCTTTGAGGTATATATCATGCCTTTCCTGCATGAGAAACCTCCTCTCAACTTGGTCAAAAGCGGACAGCTTTTGGCACTCACGCAACACAGACTTTTGCATCATTTAGATTTAGCATGACAAGTTCTAATCTTCCAGACCCAGACATTTTTACATTTGATACCGCCGTGCCCGGGTACATGTTGGTTTTTCTTGAACAAACCTCGAACTATTATACTTGAACGAGAAGAAATATAGAGGGTCTGAAATTAATATACTGTCACACGTTACTATATCAGAAGAAAAAGCTGCAGTCAAATTTTCCGCCTCCGGGGCAAGATGTTGTACGGGATAGCTTTAGTTTTTTTCAACTTGTTTTTATTTCTGTGGTTTATTCGAGCGTCTTCCTTGGGGGAAAGAAGAGCCAAAGAATTTAGAATACCGCAAGCCTGTTTAATATTCTCCTCACGGTCGTGTCAGCATGAAAATCTTCGAAAAAGACAAACGCAACCTACAACGTCATCATCTGGGCAGAAAAGTAGGCTAGAATTTTTGAAGCAGGTTGATGTGCTGCCAACGCATTGAACCGATGAGAAAACGCCTGCTTTGACCGAACGCACTTTCGATTTACGCAAATAAAACCGATCTAGGAGACACGGAAAAACCGTAAGAGAGGTCTGATATCAAATAGTAACCGATGCATAGTAGCAAATTACAGTGCGCGATCCGAAAATGAATTCGGACAAAACTTGAAACCGACGATGTTAATGTTTCAGGTTCTGCTCAAAATACACCACAGCTGAGCCACACTGATTAAACCGTTATATGAGCACCGATTCGAACGAAGTGAACCAGTTTACTGATGCAACAAGCCTTTCTTCTGCTACAGTTTCGCTCCTACGGTGGCTATGGAAGTACGACAGAACCGACACGACCGACTTACCATCCTGCTTCGATAAGATCCTTTCAAGCTGCACCTATAGATAAGTGTTCCAGAAGCGAGAGTCAAAGCCGCGCATAGATAAGTGTTCCAGAAAAAGTATTCTTGTATAGCAAAAATTGGAGAAACGTCTTTGAAGAAACGTCTTGTCGCAAAAGGACTTCCTTCGGCCTGTTCTCAATGTTGCTGCTGGCTTTCAATACTGTGCTCAAGTTCTATGACGACATCCAAAAGCATCAAGAAGGTCGCTCCAATGCGTTTTCGTATTTGTGCGTTTTGCCTATGTGTAATCAGTCTCGCTTGTCTTCGCGATGGATGCTTTACAAATATGTTGAATTCCTTACAGCTAATGGTGTGTGGACAAACGGCTGTCCACATTCTAGCAAGGTCTCTCTATGGACAAACACAGGTGAGGAGAATGTTCTGACTTTCTAGTATCTTCTTTCACAAGCATGTAGTTGTAGTCGTTCCTCGATTGCTTGCGCACAAACTTCTAAGCAGGAATATGGCAAAAAGTTCAAGTAATTTTTGGATGATGAGTCGTCGTGCCTGCTACTTGATGAAGGCCTTAAACACATAGACTGTCCCGTGTCAAAAAGAACCCCTTTTCATTCACTACGTCCGTATGCATCGCGGTCCCGTCAAGATTCATTGTTCTTGATCTTGCCTTTATAATTCACAAGCTACATAGAAGACTGATGGGATGAACTCTTGCAGATCAATATTTAGAATGTGTAAAGTTGGTTTTTGTAAAAATAAATGCGCGTGTGAAAAGGAATAGCCAACAAGGTGAAGGAAGCAGAAGCGTCGGCGTTCTGCAACGGCAATGTCATCACTTTTATTCATCACTCAGTTGCGTGTCCGAAATAAATACTCCTATCTATTTTCTAGTCGTCATCTTGCCTGGACGCGCACGACAACACTGCCTTTTAACACCCCCCCCCCCAGTGAGGATCGGCGTACGAACACTGTTCGTTACAGACCATTGTCGACATTCGTCGAAAGGTATGCACTGTCGTAGCTCCATGACGAACCGGGCCCGTCTTTAAACTCGACCTCGCCTCGCCCTTTCATTCCTTTGTACATCTCGTCATCCATGTTGCTGATAACGGTGTGAAGGTGGCGCGTCTCTCAACAGGAAAAATCTCCCCGCCCCACATCGAAACAAAGTCTCTGATGCTGGATTTGCGTGCGGTCTGTCTTGCTGCAAGGAACCCCGGCCAGACAACTCTCGGCCTGTTTGGTAGCGTAATGGTGTAGCTGCTTCGAGCATAGGAGACGCCTGCCATGCAGGGAAGTAAGCATGACAAGCCACCTCCATCATGTAGCGCATCCCTCGGCGTAAAAGGTGGCCACAAAAAATCTGCATCACAAATTTTCAGACAGATGCCTTTTCATTATGGGGAGGGGCGATTTTTTCTCGCCATAGAGTCTCAGCATTGATGAGCTCCACCAGGCGCCAACCGCATGGGTCCACCACTGCTAGCTTCTGGTCCAGGTGCATGTGAAAGATTCCTCCTGCGCTGAGGCTGGTCTGCCGCAGCATTGGCCTGTTATGCCTCCAATGTTCGTGGTACACCTCTGGCTCGAGGGAACGGATCAAAAAGAAAAATCCCCCCTCCCCATATCTGTGATGCAGATTTGTGACCACAAATCAACTTTGTCATGCTAGCAGCGAAAAGATGCGGACTGTATTGCAGGGTGGTGTGGGAAGGCCTTGCACGTCCAGCATGACAGAAGGCAGCTGGAAGTATGAAACAGCGTGACAAATTGCCTCCAAACCAGGCCACAGCTGCGGCTCTTGGCCTACTTCTAGCAATACAAATCGATTTGTGTACTCAAATACAGCATCACAAATTTCGTTTTTGATATGGGGAGGGGGGCTTTTTTCTTTTGATACAACGCTCACGAGCGCTCAGCCACGGATCCAGCAACGAAACGTACCCAAATGGCGCGCAGTCCCACATCCACTTTCGCGCAAAATAGACCCAGCAGAGGTCGTATCAAATGTAAAAGTGTTCGGGTCTGGAAGAATGCATGTTTGTCATGCTTGTCTGGCATGACTCTTAAATCTGTCGAGGTGCATAGCAAGGTAAATCATTCTTCAACTCATAACTCTGACAAACATGTTTTTTCTCGTTTTCTATTTTTTTGTTTACATGTTTATGCTAACGAAATAAGATACTACTTGTACTATCGGCTTTCGTGCCACCGGGACGTCCTGCCCGTAGACCACCAATGTCATGCACATTGCCCAAGAGACGTTTTTCTCTGTCATGCGGAGACGAGGTTTGTCATGCAGAATAGGCAACACCTACAAGCTCAGAAATTTGTCATGCTGAGCCAGCACTTGTGGCCTCCTCATGCTACGCCACTCAGCATCACAAGTTTCCAGACCGAGACATTTTTACATTTGATAGGTTGCATTCTTCAAGCGCCGCCTTGCACTCCTCCATCCCTGTGGGCGGCGGCTGTCGGGGTCGTGTGATGCGGTCATTCGTATTCAGCTCCGTCGCGCGCGACAAATCGTCGCTCTCGCTGAAATATGCATTGCAAATATGTCTGGGTCTGGAAACTTGTAATGCCGCGTTGGGAATAGTGAATGCTCTGTAATGCGCAGCCAAGCATGAGAAATTGAAATGTCTGCGCTTCGCTGTGTTGCGTTATTCGCATGAAAACTGCGTTTTTGCATGACAGACAAAAGGGTCTCTTCTTGGACACGCATCACAAACTTTTTGGTCATCCCAAACAAGCATGACAAATCTCGCAATCTTCCAGACCCAGACATTTTTGCATTTGGTATGAAAAGCCGCCGCAGTTGCAACATGTCTCGCTGCTGATGCTTGCGTAAGGAGAGCGCCAGCGCCCGCTTCTGCCGTTCGTTTTCGGAAAGCATGTTATGCAAGAAAAAAACTGCGTAAGTGTAAATTTGTGTTGCAGAACATGCAACAGAGTTACGCCTGTCATGCAAGACAGCCACGAAGCCCTGTTTTCATGTGTGTTTTTCCTTACAAGCCACGCATCACAGGTTTTCTCTGTCATGTAGAGCGATTTTGTGATGCTGTTCCTCAAAGAAGGTTACACTTACACACTTTTTTTTCTGGATACATGTGTCCTGCAATGCACTGTGCGAACCTCTTGCCATCGCCGGAAGATGAAGTGGACGACGCGGAACTGTCAGGAGCACCACCCGCGTCAACATTCCCTTGCTCACGACCTTGTCGGGCGTCAAGAAAATGGCCGCCCTCCGGCTGGTACTCCGATTTCCAGTGCTCCATAATCTCTGTCACATCCTCCTCCTCCACGCCCCGCTCGGGGTGCTCGCTCCTGAACCCCTCTAGATACGCCCGCAGTGCTATTACAATGAAAAATGCCCCCACCCGCCAACTTGGGAGCATTTGTATTGCAAACCTTTCCAAATGAATCACTCGCCCTCTTGCATCTATCAGCATCACAGGTTTTCAACCGTGAATACAAAAAATTTGTATTGCAAAAGACCCCAGCAAGAGCGGCGCTTGTCATGGAAGCGATGCGATACATGCCTAGACTCTGAAACAGAAAGACTCATACTCCTTTCATGCATGACAAAAAGTTTTCATTTGGAAACTTCGCCTCACAAATTTTTGCAATTTCAGCGGTGGGGGACACTTTTCACTGTAATAAGTGCTGCTTCCACCCCGGAACGGAACAGGAAAAACGCATAACATTGCTCCTGCAGCACCGCTGCATCCGCGCAAAAGTTTGGCAGAACCGGAAAGGCGCCCAGCGACGTGGGCGCCGACTTGAGCGCCGTGTCGGCGCAAATGCCGAGTGCCCCCCGGGGAACTGCTTTGGTCCAAACGGACTTCCAAAACTTGGCGAATTCCGTCTTCATATGAAATGCAAATATGTCTGGGTCTGGAAGATTGCTACATTACTATCTAAACTGCAGCATCTGGTCAAAAATGCAGGCGAGGGGTATGCTCGGGGGTATGTTCGGGGGTGTGTCAGGGGTATGCAAATGGCAGTCAGTCACGACCTGAATACAAATTTTTGGCGAAAAAGCAGAAGGCGGGGTATAAACATACCCCAGACACACCCCAGACATACCCCAGACAGACCCCCGAACACACCCCAGGCAAAAAGTCCGAACATACCCCAGACACACCCCGGACGGACTTTCGGGCACACCCCGGGCAGGCTTTCGGACACACCCCGGCCAAACTTTTGGACTTTGTCATGTGAGGGTTGGCCCAAACAAGTCCAGTCTGTCACGCGAGACCGTGTGGCCAAGGGGCGAAAGCCCTAGGTCAGCGCGGGGACTCTGTCCCCGCGTCATGACCTAGGGGCCAGCTGGGGGCGCTTCCCGGACACCGCGCGGCCAAGGGGCGAAAGCCCTAGGTCAGCGCGGGGACTCTGTCCCCGCGCCATGACCTAGGGGCCAGCTGGGAGTGCTTCCCGGACAAAGCGCGGCCAAGGGGCGAAAACCCTAGGCCAGCGCGGGGACGCGTCATGGCCTAGGGGCCGGCTGTGGGTGCTTCCCGGACACCGTGGGGCCAAGGGGCGAAAGCCCTAGGCCAGCGCGGGGACTCGGTCCCCGCGTCATGGCCTAGAGGCCGGCTGTGCGCGCTTCCCGGACACCGCGCGGCCAAGGGGCGAAAGCCCTGGGCCGGCGCGGGGACTCGGTCCCCGCGTCATGGCCTAGTAGGGGCCAGCTGCGAGCGCCCCCCGGACACCGTGCGGCCAAGGGACGAAAGCCCTAGGCCAGCGCGGGGCCTCGGTCCCCGCGTCATGGCCTAGGGGCCGGCTGTGAGCGCCCCCCGGACACCGTGCGGCCAAGGGACGAAAGCCCTAGGCCAGCGCGGGGCCTCGGTCCCCGCGTCATGGCCTAGGGGCCGGCTGTGGGTGTTTCCCGGACACCGTGTGGCCAAGGGGCGAAAGCCCTAGGCCAGCGCGGGGACTCGGTCCCCGCGTCATGGCCTAGGGGCCGGCTGTGAACGTTTCCCGGACACCGTGCGGCCAAGGGGCGAAAGTCCTAGGCCCGCCAGCGCGGGGACTCGGCCCCCGCGTCATGGCCTAGGGGCCAGCTTTGAGCGCTCCCCGGACACCGTGCAGCCAAGGGACGAAAGCCCTAGGCCAGCGCGGGGACTCGGTCCCCGCGTCATGGCCTAGGGGCCAGCTGTGAGCGCTGCCCGGACACCGTGCGGCCAAGGGACGAAAGCCCTAGGCCAGCGCGGGGACTCGGTCCCCGCGCCATGGCCTAGGGGCCGGCTGTGGGCGTTTCCCGGACACCGTGTGGCCAAGGGGCGAAAGCCCTAGGCCAGCGCGGGGAGTCGGTCCCCGCGCCATGGCCTAGGGGCCGGCTCTGAGCGCTTCCCGGACACCGTGCGGCCAAGGGGCGAAAGCCCTGGCTGGGCCAGCGCGGGGACTCGGTCCCCGCGTCATGGCGTAGGGGCCAGCTGTGGGCGCTTCCCTTACACCGTGCGGCCAAGGGACGAAAGCCCTAGGCCAGCGCGGGGACTCGGTCCCCGCGTCATGGCCTAGGGGCCAGCCGTAGGCGCTTCCCGGACACCGTGCGGCCAAGGGGCGAAGGCCCTGGGCCAGCGCGGGGACCCGGTCCCCGCGCCATGGCCTAGGGGCAAGCTGTGAGCGTTTCCCGGACACTGTGCGGCCAAGGCAGGGGCGAAAGCCCTAGGCCAGTGCGGGGACTCGGTTCCCGGAAACCGCGCGGCAAAGCACGGGGCGAAAATAAGCCCTAGGCCAGCGCGGGGACTCGGTCCCCGCGTCATGGCCTAGGGGCCAGCTGGTAGCGCTTCGTTCCCGGACACCGTGCGGCCACGGAGCGTCTGACTTCCCTTGGCCGCACGTTGTCCGGGAAGCGCTACCAGCTGGCCCCTAGGCCAGCGCGGGGACTCGGTCCCCACGCCATGGCCTAGGGGCAAGCTGTGAGCGTTTCCCGGACAACGTGCGGCCAAGGCAGGGGCGAAAGCCCTAGGCCAGTGCGGGGACTCGGTAGGTTCCCGGAAACCGCACGGCTAAGCACGGGGCGAAGATAAGCCCTAGGCCAGCGCGGGGACTCGGTCCCCGCGTCATGGCCTAGGGGCCAGCTGGTAGCGCTTCCCGGACACCGTGCGGCCAAGGGGCGAAAGCCCTAGGCCAGCGCGGGGACCCGGTCCCCACGCCATGGCCTAGGGGCTAGCTACGAACACTCCCCGGGCACCACACCGCGCGGCCGAGGAAGGGCGGGGCAAAGAAAAGCCCTAGGGCAGGGCGGGGCTCTGTCGCCGCGCCATGACCTGGGGGCCGGCTCCAGGCCCGGCGCAAGCTTCTTCTTTTCTTTTATCTTTGCGCCCGGCAGGCTAATGAATCTAGTGCGCGCAAGCAGGGGAGCCGCGTCCGCAGGCCCGTCGCGGGTCAGTGAATGCAAGGCGCGCCGAGATACCTAGCCGCAGGCGACCTGCCTGCCCAGTGTCACCGCGCAGACAAATGCCGGAAGGTCGCCGCGCGGGGACTCTGTCCCCGTGCTCGGGCCTTGTTTGTCATGCATATCTGACATGACTCAAGAATCTGCGATGCATGGGCACGAAGCGGTCCTCTGACCTGTCATGCAGAAACGCAGTTTGCCATGCGGAACACGCAACACACAGAAGCCCAAAACTTTGTCATGCTTGGCTCCATATTGGAGTGGAACTCTCATTCACTTTTAGCATTACAAGTTTCCAGACCCAGACATATTTGCAATGCGTACTTCATCAGCGTTGGCAAAACTTCCGTCTTCATGTTCGCCTTCCACGCGGTCTTTCCCGGCCAGACGCCCGAGGACTCGCGTGCAATTTCTAAGCGCCCAGCGAATTGTTCCCTCGACTCCGGATTATAGTTCGCAGTCAAAGTGCTTGAGCCGGCGGGTGCTCCTGCTGCGGTAGCGGTAGCACCGTTATCAAGTTGAAAGAAAGTGCCCCGCCCCGAGAAGTTTGAGCTTCACTTGCGGTTCTTAAACGCGAAACTTCTTTATCTATGCATGCTTGCACGAAGACTGTTCCTCCTTCAGGTTTATCTAAGTGAGCAAAGCAGCGCCTGCCTGACAAGTCTCCCCTGTGCTTTCTTTCAGTACTAACACAGATTTAATATTTCGCCATTCATCTCATTCGAAAATCTGTAATGCTGCTCCATGCAGGGTGGCAAATGTTCCCATGGGCGGGAGCTTTCGCAATACAAGCGCCTTCAAGATATTAAAGTTCTGGGGCGAGTAGGGACAGCACCTTGCATATGGATAACCGTGGCCCACGACCTCTCTACGAACCATGCCGCGTAGCGGATTCAGCTGGTTCCATTCCACACGACCTTGGTCTTCCCAGTTTTCTCCCGGCGCTGCGGAGCCGGACGCCGGCTCGGGATCCACCTCCGGCTGGTCACTCCTGTGCTCTTCTGCGTGGGGGACGCTGCTTGTCGCAGTTACGACACGGAAATCCACGCCCTGCACATCCGACACCCTGCGCTGCCGTACGCGCTTGAGACAGATGCTTCCCGTACTCGGGAAAGAAAGGCGCGGGTCGCGCTCTTGTCCTCCGGCCCTTTCATGTGCCTCGCCTCTCCACAGCGGGAACCCTTGGATCTCCACGTTGGCATTTCGATATAACAAGACGTAGTTCGGGTGCGGGGATCAAGAGGAAAAACGCCCTGGCGGTGCCACCTCCAGCGAAGAGGCACAGAAATGTCTGGTCTGTGCTGGCATGACTTATTTGTACTTCATGCGAAGTAAAGTCCGTGAAAACTACTTAATGACATAGTCATCGATTTGTGCGCCTTTTCTTCAGGAGCTAGGCATAAAAAACAGCAGCCCGCACCTGAAAAGTGATAGTACTGCACTGACTGTGCCTCTATACAACCGAGACTCGTTGCGCAGTGCCTTTTTATTGCTACTGAACTGCTTCGCATGCGAGACGGTAAAAAAATTTTCATCAAAAGCCAAACGCTTGATCTCTTCTATCTAACGCCAGGGCAGATGTGGTTTTCAACATTGTGATAGCGAGCCCCCCCTCTTCTGCTGTTCCAAGCACCACTGCTCTCCTTTGCCGTCCTCCTCTCCCGCCCGAGTCATGCCCCGAAATTCTAGATCAAGCTCCGCCGCGCTGGCACGGTACGGTCGCCACAGGTAGTGCGCTGGTTCGAAAGCCAGCTTTATCCTGTGCAAAAGCGTCCCCGCCCCAGAATCAATGGTTGGGAAGTGGTCTGCAACACTAATCTAGGAACTTTGGGAACCACGCATGACAAGTTTCTTTCTGTAGGATTGTTGTGCAGGTTCGCAAGGGCACCCACATCACGAATTCATCTCCTCATCCTGTTTACAGCAGCAAAAATGCCAAAACACGATGCAAAATGCCTCTCGTCATGGGAGCGCGAATTGCCAGCATTCCTGTCATTGCAAATCTGCACCACAACTCTGGGGCGGGGACGACGTTTTTGCGCGGGATAAACTTTTGCAGGCAGTGACAGGAGGTGCGGCCTTCAGCTGGCGCTGCCATGTCATGACTCGCTGTGAAAGACAGCAACGTCGCTGCTTCGTCGTGCTGTTCTTCTTGGCGGGCGCCCTCGAGTGGTGGGAGTGCAAACCCCGCATTGTATCCCTGTGTGTATTTAAAGGAGTCCAAGTCCTGCGCGGCGCACCACTGCAGGTCGTCGTCATCCCGACCGGAGGCTCCGTCCGTCGTTACTAGGCCCTGCCCGCTCGTCGGACCTTCGTTCGTCGGTAAGGGAGATGAAGTACTCGTGCCTACTTCGTCGTGAACTGCAGCCAGCTCCTCCGGCTCTGGCTCCGGCATGGACATCTGCTCTGGCACCATCGCAGGCCTATGCCGCCGCCCAGCAACACAGAAATAGTGATGGACAGGACTGGGCTTCGGGATACGCATCAAGCACACACCCCCTTCATCTTCAGAGGGGCGAGGCACTACGGCGGTGGAAGTAGAGGCTCCTGAGCTGCTGCTGCTAGTACCTACTCCAGCTGATAACAAACGGCGGAGAAGCGTCCGAGCGTTTTCTACCAGGCGGTATTCTCGCCGCAGATATTTTTCGACATCAGCGGCAGACCCGACGGATGCTGCGTCATTACTAGAGGAGGCGGAAAGGTAACGCGCCACACTGCTGCTCTGGATGTACAGAAAACGCGCGTCGGCGGTAGAAAGCTGCTTGCTTTTGCACTGTGGCGCGCCAAAGGTGGTGGTCAGGCCGTTGTAGTTCCCGCCTCCGACATGTTGCTGCACTGCTAACGAAGGGGAAGTAGGACGGGGCGCACCACTGAAAACTGCCCACTGGTACTCCGCTGGGTCGTACGCGAGCCGTTGTACACACGCGCAATTCTGCCGGCCTAGCAGGAGGCGGGCTTGCCTCTTGTGGTGAAGGTACGCGTGAAGCGGTTGGTCATCAACACCCGCAGCACTTTCCGGAACCGCGGCAGAGGTGAAACCAGAGTCACTGGGGTCCTGCCTCAAACCTGGATTCATGCTGAGGCGATCCCACGTATCCACCATGCTGTCCCAGGTCATGATGCCCGTGCCCAGCTCCCCTTGCTCGTCCCGCTCCTGCTCGAGCTTGCACGCATTTTCGGTCAGGTGCGCCACGCAGGCGAAGGCGATCCGGCCCCCTTGCCGCCACCGCAGTAAGTCGCTGAGGGCGGGCGTTTGCCGCAGGACGCCCCCGGCTCGCGGCGGTGGCACACGCGCTTCGGGGGTATCCAGTGCAAATATGTCTGGGTCTGGAAAAGTGGAACTTGTAGTGCGTTTCTTGCATTTTTCCTGGAAAACCTGTGTTGCATGAGCAGCAGAAGTAGAGAAGCTTTCTTTGTCATGCAAATAAAACGCAATTTGTAATGCGTCCTAGGCATCAGCAGGCGTCTCAAAAACTTGTCATGCTTGGCTGCCATTGGAAGCGCCTCCATCATGCGCAATTCAGCATCACAAGTTATTTCCAGACCCAGACATATTTGCATTTGATAGGGGGCGATAAAGAATGAATCCCGCGCGTTCAGCATCACCCAGTGGTCCAACTCTCCCGCGTCTAGGCTTTATCCTGAGTAACAACGTCCCCACACCAGAGTCAACAAGATGAGGAATCTGCTAGACAAACCAACCAGCTTTCGCTGTTTCGCATGACAAGTTTGCCCGCATACATAGCGTGGCCCTGTTTCGCTAGTTCAGCAGCATCACAGATCTAGCACATCATGCTGATTCTAGCATCACAAACTCCAAATAAAGACAACTAGAAATAAATGCTTCCCCTGGGGCTCCGCATGAGAAACTTTTTTGGCATGCAGATTCTGGGGTGGGGGCGATTTTACTCAGCATAGGCTCTCCTGCTCCCACCTTTGGGACCTCCGCCCCCCCTGCGCCCGAAATCTATTAATGTTATCGTGCCGAGACCCCTGCAAGGCTACCGACTCGGCTGCAAGAAAACCGTTGGTCCGGCTGCGCCACTCTTTCGCCCAGAGACCGAAATGCTTGTGCTCCACCCAGTGAGCCGGTGCCGCCTCCACTGGGTAGAGCTCCGGGGCGCTCCAGCAAGAGGGTCTTGTCTCTGCCCGGGCGGGCGCGCTCGTACCGGGCGCACGCGTACCGTCGGGCAGGCGCCTCGGGCGTACGTCGAAAACGGGCGCACGCGCGCCGGTGTGATCGTTGCTTGCCTGTAGCGCCTCCGCTTCCCGAAAGTGCGCAACCAGGTTGATGCCGTTTGTGAGATACAGATAAAAAGGGCTTTCGCGAACCTCCCCCCGGTCTGGGTCGAGGAACCCTTCGCGTAGCCCGGCCAGGTCGTGATGGAAGGGCAGAGCGCCCGGGGCGAACAGTATAGACTCCCGATCAGCGGCCCGCGCAAACTGTGCCTCTGCTTCTACAGCAGCTTGCTCCTGCTTGGGGCGAGGAGCTCTGCCGGTCGGCGCAGCGAGGTCCCAAGCCTGCACATCGAAGGGAGCCACGCTTACCAGGCCGTGTTCGTCCGGACACTCAATTTTCTGCATCTCCTCGAGTAAGAATTGCTCACCCGACTGTTGCAGGAGATGTCGCGCCGCCCAAAACTTGGCTCCCGCCGGACCCAGGACCCCGTACCGCGCCACCGGGTGGGGAGCGGGGAACGTCGTGGGTGGACCACTGCTTACCACCGCAACCAGCGGTCGCAACATGGTGACCTGCAAGCCTCCGAGCTGGACCATGTCCGCCACCCGGCCTGAAGGGTATTCATCAATTGTGGCCTCGCCCGCCGAATTTCGCAGCGTCGCCACGTCCGTCGCGCCATCGTAGTGGTGCAGGGCCTGTCAAATGCAAAAGTGTCTGGGTCTGGAAGATTGCAGCTTGTCATGCTAAATCTGCAGCATGCAAAAATCTGTGTTGCATGAGTACCAAAAGTCGGCCAGTTTTGACCAAGTCGGGAGAGAGTTTCTCATGCAGGATGGGCATTAGAAAGGTCTCGCAGAATCTGTCATGCCAGGCCCTGCATTCAAGACCTCAGGGGTCATGGATGAAAGCAGCATGACAAATCGCGCATTCTTCCAGACCCAGACATTTTTGCATTTGATAGGACCGCCAACATGGGCCCTTCACGACCGGTATTGCCGTCTACTAGCCTCTCCTGCTCTTTCTTTTCTGACCCGGTTTGCTCATTCCCATGACCCCCGCGCGGCTCTTCTCCTTCCCGGAGATAAGACTGGCGCCCTCGGTTCAAATGCACAATCGGTCGGGCCGAAAAACCGTCGCTCGCGTAGCCAAACAGCCGCCGCGCGTCGTCCAACTGCCCGGGGGAAATCGTCGCGTGCTCGACGTGATAGCACCAGCACGGGAGGTGCTCCGCTTCTTGTTCGATGAGCAACTTAAAGTCTTCCTCCGGGGACCCGACGAGGGTGGTGAGCGCGCCGATTTTGTACCCATCCGCGGCAGCGCGCTTCGCGGCAATCTTGCTCTGCCTCTGCCACAGAAGCAGCTCGTTGTCCTTTTGGCTGTCGTGCCAGAACTCTGGGCCCCCAATGCGCAGCGTCGCTGCTCTTTTGTTCAAATATCGAACGTCTTTTTCCCTTTGCTCCCGCCAAAAGACGTCGCCGTGAGCATATTCTTCCCGCTCCTCCGGCACCTGTAGCTGCCGTGCTGCCCGCGCAAACTCACTGCTTTCCATGTATCGACGACACTTGTCCCGGCCGATTACATGCAGCATGCGACTTACCAAGTTCCCGTGGTCTGTTTCAGCACCCTGCTCCTTCTTGTCTGATACATTCAGCTTGTCCTGGTCCCGCAGCTGTAGGCGCTGCAACTTCTGCACAAGATCGCTCACGTCCGTCGCGTTGCCGGTGAAGGGGTCCCTCGTTCCGACTCGGTTCGCGGCTAAGATGCCGCCAAACTGGAGCTGTCGAAGCTGCTTCGCGGTGTCTTCCTTTCCCAGCCCTGGCATCAGACAGAAAACAGGCACACCCATATGACCACCAACATATCAGATTCATCATGACCGCGATCCTCATACTCATGAGAATTCCGCATCCACATTACAATCTGCATTCTACATGAAAAAAAACCACCTCTGTTGATGCTGACTCACCAAGAGAGAGAGAGAGAGAGAGAGAGAGAGACAGTTTTTTGGTGGAGATGGCAAGGAAGCTTTAGCTTTACCTCCTTTCTTCTAGTTGTATATCAGGTGTACTTTTGTTTCTGTAGGATAAGTTGCGCGTCCCTGCTTCCAGGAGCGTGTGCGGAGTTCCACCCTTCCCAACCTAGTGTTGCGGAACCGTATATGCTGTGTAAAAACGGGTGTCGCCACGACGATGCCCCAGAGTCAAGATGGGCGGAATTTTGCTAGAAATAAAACCAACAGCTTTTAGTTGTCGCGCATGATGTTGACAAGAGTATGGCCATTCTATCTACGTAATTCGAAAAAAACTAAAAATTTTTCAGGGTCCGCGCATTAACGTATCGTAGTAGCTAAGCCACCTTCAGTTTATTCTCTTGAACTAGCTAGTCGGCTTTTTTTGGGTCTTGAACTACCTAGTTTACAAGGTAGGCTATATTCAGCTTCCCCGACGGCACGGCCCACGGATTCGGGTCCCGAATCCGTGGAGCTGGTACTTGCTGGCGCCGGGAGCTAGCAGCCTTCTTAACTAGATAACTAAGTCTTCTGACTGCGACTGCCTTCCAGGCATCACAAATTTGCATGACCAAAATAGATAAATTAGCTTCCTATGCGCGGAGACCCTGAAAATTTTTAGCTACTTGTCAATTACGTAGATAGAATGGCCATAAAGAGTGGGCTAGTACTAGTAGTACAGTCTTGCTTAGCGAGTGCAGTCAGAGAAATCGATCAGCTTCTGCTCCTTGTCGGAGAAGTTCAGCGAGCATGAAAACATTCTCTACTCACATAGCATACAGTAAACCGCCTCTCATGTCGTGCTGGCTGTCGTGCGTGAGAAACCTTTTCAGGCATGCGGATTTGTATGACAACTGCTCTGGGGTCGTACAATGTGGACCACCCCGTTTTATTCACACAGGATACCGTACACCGGATCCCAGGACGCGGACCCGTCCGTGGTGTTATGGAAGCGTCAGGATTAAAATCGTCAAGGTTGAGATTATTTGTCATGCATAAATTGCAAGGCATGAAGTGCCTCTCTTGCAGGGATGGCTGGTGAGGCCGACTGTCGGCCTGTTTCGGGTCTGCGATAGAGCTGCTAAAGTAGCATGACAAAAAACGCCTTCTGTCTCTAAACAGCATGACAAACTGGATTTAGACGGTGCCGAAATTTGTCACGCACCGCTTAGAAATTGGGCTTCCAACTGGTATCGATTTTATGCATTACAAGTTATTTCAACTTTGTCGCTTTCAATAACTTTGTCGATTTCAATCCTGACACATCCATAGGTGTCTGCTGCAGAGTTTCCCGTTCCCTCCTGCACGACTGGCGGCACATCCGGCGTCTTCTCGGATTTTTCTTTCGGATGATACTTAAGAATCTCGTTACGCAGGTACTCGTGGCTGGCGCTGCAGTATCGCAGAAAAAATTGCTACCTTATACACATTTGTTGTAACTCCAGCCTCACAAGCTTACTCGGCATGACAGACAAAACTTGCAATGCAGAGATCACAAAGGAATAAAACACGTATGAAACTAGGCTCCTGTGCATATTCGGCAGGACAGAGCAAGGGTCTCTTGCCTGATCTGCAATACAAGGGGCTGTAATTTTAACACTTTTTTCTCACGATATGCAGCCCGGCAGGGTGCGCAGTGCCGTGGCCGCCGTGAACGTATGGGTGTGTCAGAATCGCAATCGACAAAGTTGAAATGATTTGTCATGCAAAAAGTTGCAACCCACAAAGTGCCTGTCTTGTAGAGTAGCCAACTGAGGCAGATTGTGGGCCCGTTTAGGGGTAGAAACGGAGCTGCTAAAGTAGCACGAGTAAAGGCCTTTCCCTTACCCAAACTGCATGACAAAGCGCATTTCGGTTCTACCCAAATTTGTCATGCGCCACTTAGAAACTGGGTTCCAGCTGGTATCCATTTCATGCATCACAAACTATCTCAACTTTGTCGATTTCAAACCTGACGCTTCCATAGAACGCCCAGCGCACGTCGCGCTTAACTTTTCGCGCATCGTGGCTCGGCTTCAGCGACGGGGTGCGAAAGGCCGCGCGTTTATAACCTGCTCAGGTGTTACAATCTCAAATCGGTTACCATAGAATCCGGAATTTGCCTATTGCATGAGGGGCATGAGGAACGTACAGAGTCTTGCGCTTTTCGCAATACAAATTTGGCCAGAAGAAGACTCTCGTGCGGTTTGGCACTCCAGAACTTGTCATGCGCAATCCTGTGCGAATTGGCATTGGGTAGATCATGCATTTCTTGCATCACAAAATCCAAATTCTATTGTAACAGTTGAGATTGTAACCACGTCTGAGCGGGTCATAGCGTTCTCGATTCATTTCAGACTTGTTACGCGTTCCAAACGGGGGCACCGCGAGCACTGGCTGCAGAAGGGGCATAACTCCCAGAAAGATTGCAAGGGCTGCAGCCGTCGTCTTGAGCTTCACTTTCACCCCGTGCTGGCCGAGAAAAGTGCCACGACCCGGCTCAGCATCGGGCCGACGCGTGTTGGTCTTCATCTTATGGTTCGTCTTTCGCTAAAATAAGTAGCGCCGACGGTGACGGAGGAGCAGAGAGATAAATGATACTGCAAAGTCAAAGGCAGAAGATGAAAACAAGGAAAAATACCAGCGTAAGCAAGAATCCAAAGCTACAGCCAAGTATTCACTCTGCCTCTACCAAAAAATGAAAATGCTACTATATCCTGTACCTGTGATGGATACTAGGCCTAGGAACCCAGCGTGCACCAATCAGCCGGTGTAGTTACGGAATTGTACAACTTGTTGACGTGAGTCATCAAGTGCTGTTATAGCCTTTTTTATCCCAACAGGGGCCGAAATGGTCAGCAACGGCGCACGACCAGGACGACCGCCTTACTGAATACAGGTCTAGGTATGATAAATAAAAGTGCAAGTTATATCAAGTGAGTACAACTACTCCCAGACCCAGTCAACCATAACACTAGATCAGAAGTTTATTCGAGCCTCTTAGCAAAGTTAAGTAGGATCCTAACCTCGTCTGTTCTTCAGCCTCTGTATGATCTATACCGTCTTCATAAAACTTGAACTTCTGTGGTTGCGTCGTCCTTCTAACACTGAGAAACGCGATGTTGAACCAGCTCATTTTTTTCTCCGACTGGCTCTGGCACTAGTAGTGCTGATGATTTTCAGAGGCTTTTTTGCATATACTAGAACCCGCCGCCGGTTGGAGAAACAAATCTTTGAAGAAATGTCTTGAACGTCGCATCAAGAGGACTTTCTTCGGCCTGTTCTCGATCTTCCTGCTGTCCTCTTTGATTCAACACTGTGCTTCAAGTTCTATGACGACATCCAAAATCATCAATGCGTTTTCGTATTTCGCTCTGTCTCATGTACAATCAGTCTCGCTTGTCTTCGCGATGGATGCTATACAAATATGTTGAGTTCCTTACAGCTCATAGTGTGTGGACAAACGGCTGTCCACATTCTACCTAGCAAGGTCTCTTTACGGACAGACGCGTGAAAATGTTGTGACTTTCTAGTATTCTACTTCACAATCATGTAGCTGTAGTCGTTCCTCGATAGCTCACACTAAGCAGAAAGATGGCAAAAAAAATCAAGTAAGTCGTAATAGAGAACTGCTTGAAGGCCTTCCGCAAATACTTAGACTGTCCCGTGTCAAAAAGAACCCCTTTTCATTCACTACGTCCGTATGCGCCGTCAAGATTTTTGTTTTTCATTCTTGCCTTTATTCACAAGCTGCATTATTAGATTAGAGCTGTGTAAAAGAATAGCCAAGTACAAGGTGAACAAGGTGGTCGTGAGCTTTGGTGTTCTTAATAAGTGGTTGGCAATGGACACAGAAACGCTTCACCTATAAAATAGGTGAAGATGATGACTTATGGTATATGATCATAAAAGTACATGGCGAAGATGATGATTTAAGTCTTCTCGGCGTTCAGCCTTGGGCCATCCTATATATCAACTCCGGATAGTGTTGGCGCCCCTCGATACACATACTAAAATCGGTCACGTACAGAAACAATTTCATCGTGCAAAACCACACAAGAAGAGAAAGAGAGAGGTAGAAGCTGAAAGAGTTTCTTCGTAACATTCCGACCACCTGCAGGATGTATTCTTAGCCCCGCTAAATACTACTTGAGTCATGCCCAAAATGGTGTTTTATGTTTGAGGCTGATTGTGTTCACATGTTGATCTGCAATGCGGCAATTTGGGCCCCAAGCCCCTCAAACTGGCGCCAGCAAGTGCGGAGTTAGCTCGTTGTGGGTGCCACCCTACGTGGCGGCGGCAGCCTGGCGGCAGCACATAGATTAGTCCCCGACCCTTCGTGCACCAAGTCGACGATATCCCCAAGGTATTCACTGTCCCCTCGCAGTTCCATTCCTCGGAGCATCTCCGAATCCATGTCACCGATAGCGGCGAGAAGGTGGCGCGTCTCAGCATTGATCAGCTCCACCAGGCGCCAACCGCATGGGTCCACCACTGCTAGCTTCTGGTCCAAGTGAAAGTGAAAGATTCCTGCGCTGAGGCAGGTCTGCCGCCTCATCGACCTGTTATGCCTGGTGCGTCCAAAGTGCAACTCTGGCTCGATGCAACGCTCACGAGCGCTCAGCCACGGATCCAGTAACGAAACGTCCCCAAATGGCGCGAATTCCTCCAAATTTTCTCCCCACCTGGTGGAGAACGACCCAAGCTCCCCAAATGGTGCGCAGTTCCACTTTCGCGCAAAATAGGTCCAGCAGAGGTCGCATTCCTCAAGCGCCGCCTTGCACTCCTGCAGCCCCGTGGGCGGCGGCTGGCGGGGTCGTGTGATGCGATCATTCGTGTTCAGCTCCGTTGCGGCCGAAAAATCGTCGCTCTCGCTGAAATATGCATTGCAAATATGTCTGGGTCTGGAAACTTGTAATGCTGCGTTGGGAATAGTGAATGCTCTGTAATGCGCAGCCGAGCATGAGAAATTGAAATATCTGCGCTTCGCTGTGTTGCGTTATTCGCATGACAAACTGCGTTTTTGCATGACAGAAAAAAGGCTCTCTTCTTGGACACGCATCACAAACTTTTTGGTCATCCCAGACAAGCATGACAAATCTCGCAATCTTCCAGACCTAGACATTTTTGCATTTGGTATGAAAAGCCGCCGCACTTGCAACATGTCCCGCTGCTGATGTTTGCGTAAGGAGAGCGCCAGCGCCCGCTTCCGCCGTTCGTTTTCGGAAAGCATGTGTCCGGCAATGGACTGTGCGAACCTCTTGCCATCGCCGGAAGATGAAGTGGCCGACGCGGTGGACCCGTCTACTGCACCAGCCGCGTCACTATTCCCTTGCTCACGACCTTGTCGGGCGTCACGAAAATGACCGCCCTCCGGCTGGTACTCCGATTTCCAGTGCTCCATAATCTCTGTCACATCCTCCTCCTCCACGCCCCTCTCGGGGTGCTCGCTCCTGACCCCCTCTAGATACGCCCGCAGCGCCGCTTCCACCCCGGAACGGAACAGGAAAAACGCATAACATTGCTCCTGCAGCACCGCCGCATCCGCGCAAAAGTTTGGCAGGACCGGAAAGGCGCCCAGCGACGTGCGCTCCGACTTCAGCGCCGTGTCGGCGCAAATGCCGATTGCCCCCCGGGGAACTGCTTTGGTCCAAACGGACTTCCAAAACTTGGCGAATTCCGTCTTCATCAGCGTTGGCAAAACTTCCGTCTTCATGTTCGCCTTCCACGCGGTCTTTCCCGGCCAGACGCCCGCCTCGCGTGCAAGTTCTAAGCGCCCAGCGACGTCCCTCGACTCCGGATTATAATTCGCAGTCGGAGTGCTTGAGCCGGCGGGTGCTCCTGCTGCGGTAGCGGTAGCACCGTTATCAAGTTGAAAGAAAGTGCCCCGCCCCCAGAAGTTTGAGCTTCACTTGCGGTTCTTAAACGCAAAACTCTTTTGTCTATGCATGTTTGCACGAAGACTGTTCCTCCTTCAGGTTTATCTAAGTGAGCAAAGCAGCGCCTGCCTGACAAGTCTCCCTTGTGCTAGGCATTTCTTGATTTGACATTTCGCCATTCTCATTCGAAAATCTGTAATGCTGCTCCATGCAGGGTGGCAAATGTTCCCATGGGGGGCTTTTGCAATACAAGCGCCTTCAAGATATTAAAGTTCTGGGGCGAGTAGGGACAGCACCTTCCATTTGGATAACCGTGGCCCACGACCTCTCTACGAACCATGCCGCGTAGCGGATTCAGCTGGTTCCATTCCACACGACCTTGGTTTTCCCCCGGCGCTGCGGAGCCGGACGCCGGCTCGGGATCCACCTCCTGCTGGTCACCCCTGTGCTCTTCTGCGGGGGGGACGCTGCTTGTCGCAGTTACGACACGGAAATCGACATCCTGCACATCCGACACCCTGCGCTGTCGTACGCGCTTGAGACAGATGCTGCCCGTAGTACTCGGGAAAGAAAGGCGCGGGTCGCGCTCTTGTCCCCCAGCCCTTTCATGTGCCTCGCCTCTCCACAGAGGGAAGCCTTGAATCTCCACGTTGGCATTGCGATATAACAAGACGTAGTTCGGGTGCGGGGATCAAGAGAAAAAACGCCCTGGCGGCGCGACCTCCAGCGAAGAGGTATAGAAATGTCTGGCTTTTAGCGTGAACACAATTTGTACTTGATGCTAAGTGATGTTCGTGGCAACTAATGACAGAGTCATCTATTTGTGTCTTGCATAAAAGCGCCCGGAGTCTTTTTTCTTCCGGACCTAGGGGAGGGAAGCAGAATGACATCAAACTCGACGTTGCGCGGCGACTTTCTATTGCTACTGAACTGTTTATCATGCAAGACGGTAAAAAAATCATTCCCTCAAAAAATTTTCATTCAAGACCAAACGTTTGGCACCTCTATCTAACGCCAGGGCAGTAGTGGTTTTCAACATTGTGATAGCGAGCCCCCCCTCTTCTGCTGTTCCAAGCACCACTGCTCTCCTTTGCCGTCCTCCTCTCCCGCCCGGGTCATGCCCCCAAATTCCAGATCAAGCTCCGCCGCGCTGGCGCGATACGGTCGCCACAGGTAGTGCGCTGGTTCGAAAGCCAGCTTTATCCTGTGTAAAAGCGTCCCCGCCCCAGAGTCAATGATTGGGAAGTCTGCAGCACTAATCTAGGAATCGCGTATGGCAAGTTTCGCTCTGTTTTGTAGTGCAGGTGAGCAAGGGAAACCGCGTGACAAATTCATCTCCTCATCCTGTTGGAAAAAAAAACAAATGCCAAAACACGATACGAAATGCCTCTCATGGGGATGCGAATTTCATCGCAAATCTGCACCACAACTCTGGGGCGGGGAAGACGTTTTTGCTCAAGATAAACTTTTGCAGGCAATGACAGGAGGCGCGGCCTTCAGTTGGCGCTGCCACGTTATGATTCACTGTGAAAGACAGCAACGTCGCTGCTTCGTCCTGCTGTTCTTCTTGGCGGGGGCCCTCGAGTGGTGGGAGTGCAAACCCCGCATTGTATCCCTGTGTGTATTTAAAGGAGTCCAAGTCCTGCGCAGCGCACCACTGCAGATCCTCGTCGTCGCGACCGGAGGCTCCGTCCGTCGCTACTCGGCCCTGCCCGCTCGTCGCACCTTCGTTCGTCGGTAAGGGAGATGAAGTATTCGTCCCTACTTCGTCGTGACCTGCAGCTAGCTCCTCCGGCTCTGGCTCCGGCATGGACATCTGCTCTGGCACCATCGCAGGCCTATGCCGCCGCCCAGCAACACAGAAATAGTGATGGACAGGACTGGGTTTTGGGATACGCATCAAGCACACACCCCCTTCATCTTCAGAGGGGCGAGGCACTACGGCGGTGGAAGTAGAGGCTCCTGCGCTGCTGCTGCCAGTACCTACTCCAGCTGATAACAAACGGCGGAGAAGCGTCTGAGCGTTTTCTACCAGGCGATATTCTCGCCGGAGATATTCTTCGACGTCAGCGGTAGAACCGACGGATGACGCGTCACTACTAGAGGAAGCGGAAAGGTGACGCGCGACACTGCTGCTCTGGATGTACAGAAAACGCGCGTCGGCCGTAGAAAGCTGCTTGCTTTTGCACTGTGGCGCGCCGAAGGTGGTGGTCAGGCCGTTGTAGTTCCCGCCTCCAACGTGTTGCTGCACTGCTAACGAAGGGGAAGTAGGACGGGGCGCAGTACTGAAAACTGTCCACTGGTACTCCGCTGGGTCGTACGCGAGCCGCTGTACACACGCGCAGTTCTGCCGGCCTAGCAGGAGGCGAGCTTGCCTCTTGTGGTGAATGTACGCGTGAAGCGGTTGGTCGTCAACACCAGCAGCACTCTCAGACACAGCGGCAGAGGCGGAACCAGCGTCAGTGGGGTCCTGCCTCAAACCGGGATTCATGCTGAGGCGATCCCACGTATCCACCATGCTGTCCCAGGTCATGATACCCGTGCCCAGCTCTCCGTGCTCGTCCCGCTCCTGCTCGAGCTTGCACGCATTTTCGGTCAGGTGCGCCACGCAGGCGAAGGCGATCCGGCCCCCTTGCCGCCACCGCAGTAAGTCGCTGAGGGCGGGCGTTTGCCGCAGGACGCCCCCGGCTCGCGGCGGTGGCACACGCGCTTCGGGGGTATCCAGTGCAAATATGTCTGGGTCTGGAAAAGTGGAACTTGTAGTGCGTTTCTTGCATTTTTCCTGGAAAACCTGTGTTGCATGAGCAGCAGAAGTAGAGAAGCTTTCTTTGTCATGCAAATAAAACGCAATTTGTAATGCGTCCTAGGCATCAGCAGGCGTCTCAAAAACTTGTCATGCTTGGCTGCCATTGGAAGCGCCTCCATCATGCGCAATTCAGCATCACAAGTTATTTCCAGACCCAGACATATTTGCATTTGATAGGGGGCGATAAAGAATGAATCCCGCGCGTTCAGCATCACCCAGTGGTCCAACTCTCCCGCGTCTAGGCTTTATCCTGAGTAACAACGTCCCCACACCAGAGTCAACAAGATGAGGAATCTGCTAGACAAACCAACCAGCTTTCGCTGTTTCGCATGACAAGTTTGCCCGCATACATAGCGTGGCCCTGTTTCGCTAGTTCAGCAGCATCACAGATCTAGCACATCATGCTGATTCTAGCATCACAAACTCCAAATAAAGACAACTAGAAATAAATGCTTCCCCTGGGGCTCCGCATGAGAAACTTTTTTGGCATGCAGATTCTGGGGTGGGGGCGATTTTACTCAGCATAGGCTCTCCTGCTCCCACCTTTGGGACCTCCGCCCCCCCTGCGCCCGAAATCTATTAATGTTATCGTGCCGAGACCCCTGCAAGGCTACCGACTCGGCTGCAAGAAAACCGTTGGTCCGGCTGCGCCACTCTTTCGCCCAGAGACCGAAATGCTTGTGCTCCACCCAGTGAGCCGGTGCCGCCTCCACTGGGTAGAGCTCCGGGGCGCTCCAGCAAGAGGGTCTTGTCTCTGCCCGGGCGGGCGCGCTCGTACCGGGCGCACGCGTACCGTCGGGCAGGCGCCTCGGGCGTACGTCGAAAACGGGCGCACGCGCGCCGGTGTGATCGTTGCTTGCCTGTAGCGCCTCCGCTTCCCGAAAGTGCGCAACCAGATGGATGCCGTTGGTGAGGTACAGATAAAAAGGGCTTTCGCGAACCTCCCCCCGGTCTGGGTTGAGGAACCCTTTGCGCAGCCCGTCCAGGTCGTGTTTGGCGGGCAGAGCGCCCCGGGCGAACAGTATAGACTCCCGATCAGCGGCCCGCGAAAACTGTGCCTCTGCTTCTACGGCAGCTTGTTTCTGCTTCGGGCGAGGAGTCCTGCCGGCCGGCGCGGCGAGGTCCCAAGCCTGCACATCGAAGGGAGCCACGCTTACCAGGCCGTGTTCGTCCGGACACTCAATCTTCTGCGTTTCCCCGATTAAGAACTGCTCACCCGTTTGCTGCAGGAGATGTCGCGACGCCCAAAACTTGGCTCCCGCCGGACCCAGGACCCCGTACCGCGCCACTGGGTGGGGAGCAGGGGTCGTCACGGATGGTGGACCACTGCTTACCACCGCAACCAGCGGTCGCAACATGGTGACCTGCAAACCTCCGAGCTGGACCATGTCCGCCACCCGGCCCGAAGGGTATTCATCAATCGTGGCCTCGCCCGCCGAATTTCGCAGCGTCGCCACGTCCGTCGCACCATCGTAGTGGTGCAGGACCTATCAAATGCAAAAGTGTCTGGGTCTGGAAGATTGCAACTTGTCATGCTAAATCTGCAGCATGCAAAAATCTGTGTTGCATGATTACCAAAAGTCGGCCAGTTTTGACCAAGTCGGGAGCGAGTTTCTCATGCAGGATGGGCATTAGAAAGGTCTCGCAGAATCTGTCATGCTAGGTCCTGCATTCAAGACCTCAGGGGTCATGGAAAAGCAGCATGACAAATCGCGCACTCTTCCAGACCCAGACACTTTTGCATTTGATAGGACCGCCAACATGCGCCCTTCACGACCGGTATTGCCGTCTACTAGCCCCTCCTCCTCTTTCTTTTCTGACCCGGTTTGTTCATTCCCATGATCCCCACGCGGCTCTTCTCCTTCCCGGAGATAAGACTGGCGCCCTCGGTTCAAATGCACAATCGGTCGCGCCGAAAAACCGTCGCTCGCATAGCCAAACAGCCGCCGCGCGTCGTCCGCCTGCCCGGGAGATATCGTCGCGTGCTCGACGTGATAGCACCAGCACGGGAGGTGCTCCGCTTCCTTATGAATTGCAAAAGCATCGTACTCGTATAAATGCATTACAAATCTCCTCAGCATGAGAAATAAGATTTGTGATGCTGATTTACCTCAAGAAAAAGATTTGTAATGCATGAATGCAATACGAGTACGATACTTTTGCACAGGATATTCCTGTTCGACGAGCAACTTAAAGTCTTCCTCCGGGGACCCGACGAGGCTGGTGAGCGCGCCGATTTTGTACCCATCCGCGGCAGCGCGCTGCGCGGCAATCTTGCTCTGCCTCTGCCGGTGAAGCAGCTCGTTGTCTTTTTGGCTGTCGTGCCAGAACCCTGGGCCACCAATGCGCAGCGCCGATGCAAAGCTCCAACCCCGGGCCACCAATGCAGCTCTTTCGTTCAAAGCTCGCACTATCCTGCGTAAATAAAACGTTCCCATCTTAGAGTGAAGATCATGGCGACTTTGCTACACAAATCAACAAGGTTTGGCTGTCTGCCATGACAAGTTCAATGTCGTAGTGTAGTTGTCCCGTTGAGGTCGTCAAGCCGCATCACATCAAATTGGCCGGCTTCTAGCATGGCAAAATCCTAAAGAGAATGCGAAACTGCTCCTGTTGGGGCTACGCATGAGACACAATCTGGGCATGCAAATACGCATGACAAGTATGGGAACGTTTTTGCTCAGAATACGCACGTCTTTTTCCCTTTGCTCCCTCCAAAAGACATCGCCGTGGGCGTATTCTTCCCGCTGCTCCGGCACCTGTAGCTGCCGTGCTGCCCGCGCAAACTCGCTGATCTCCATGTATCGACGACACTTGTCCCGCCCAATTACATGCAGCATGCGACTTACCAAGTTCCCGTGGTCTGTTTCAGCAACCTGCTCCTTCTTGTCTGATAAATTCAGCTTGTCCTGGTCCCGCAGCTGTAGGCGCTGCAACTTCTGCACAAGATCGCTCACGTCCGTCGCGTTGCCGGTGAAGGGGTCCCTCGTTCCGACTCGGTTCGCGGCTAAGATGCCGCCAAACTGGAGCTGTCGAAGCTGCTTCGCGGTGTCTTCCTTTCCCAGCCCTGGCATCAGACAGAAAACAGGCACACCCATATGACCACCAACATATCAGATTCATCATGACCGCGATCCTCATACTCATGAGAATTCCGCATCCACATTACAATCTGCATTCTACATGAAAAAAAACCACCTCTGTTGATGCTGACTCACCAAGAGAGAGAGAGAGAGAGAGAGAGAGAGACAGTTTTTTGGTGGAGATGGCAAGGAAGCTTTAGCTTTACCTCCTTTCTTCTAGTTGTATATCAGGTGTACTTTTGTTTCTGTAGGATAAGTTGCGCGTCCCTGCTTCCAGGAGCGTGTGCGGAGTTCCACCCTTCCCAACCTAGTGTTGCGGAACCGTATATGCTGTGTAAAAACGGGTGTCGCCACGACGATGCCCCAGAGTCAAGATGGGCGGAATTTTGCTAGAAATAAAACCAACAGCTTTTAGTTGTCGCGCATGATGTTGACAAGAGTATGGCCATTCTATCTACGTAATTCGAAAAAAACTAAAAATTTTTCAGGGTCCGCGCATTAACGTATCGTAGTAGCTAAGCCACCTTCAGTTTATTCTCTTGAACTAGCTAGTCGGCTTTTTTTGGGTCTTGAACTACCTAGTTTACAAGGTAGGCTATATTCAGCTTCCCCGACGGCACGGCCCACGGATTCGGGTCCCGAATCCGTGGAGCTGGTACTTGCTGGCGCCGGGAGCTAGCAGCCTTCTTAACTAGATAACTAAGTCTTCTGACTGCGACTGCCTTCCAGGCATCACAAATTTGCATGACCAAAATAGATAAATTAGCTTCCTATGCGCGGAGACCCTGAAAATTTTTAGCTACTTGTCAATTACGTAGATAGAATGGCCATAAAGAGTGGGCTAGTACTAGTAGTACAGTCTTGCTTAGCGAGTGCAGTCAGAGAAATCGATCAGCTTCTGCTCCTTGTCGGAGAAGTTCAGCGAGCATGAAAACATTCTCTACTCACATAGCATACAGTAAACCGCCTCTCATGTCGTGCTGGCTGTCGTGCGTGAGAAACCTTTTCAGGCATGCGGATTTGTATGACAACTGCTCTGGGGTCGTACAATGTGGACCACCCCGTTTTATTCACACAGGATACCGTACACCGGATCCCAGGACGCGGACCCGTCCGTGGTGTTATGGAAGCGTCAGGATTAAAATCGTCAAGGTTGAGATTATTTGTCATGCATAAATTGCAAGGCATGAAGTGCCTCTCTTGCAGGGATGGCTGGTGAGGCCGACTGTCGGCCTGTTTCGGGTCTGCGATAGAGCTGCTAAAGTAGCATGACAAAAAACGCCTTCTGTCTCTAAACAGCATGACAAACTGGATTTAGACGGTGCCGAAATTTGTCACGCACCGCTTAGAAATTGGGCTTCCAACTGGTATCGATTTTATGCATTACAAGTTATTTCAACTTTGTCGCTTTCAATAACTTTGTCGATTTCAATCCTGACACATCCATAGGTGTCTGCTGCAGAGTTTCCCGTTCCCTCCTGCACGACTGGCGGCACATCCGGCGTCTTCTCGGATTTTTCTTTCGGATGATACTTAAGAATCTCGTTACGCAGGTACTCGTGGCTGGCGCTGCAGTATCGCAGAAAAAATTGCTACCTTATACACATTTGTTGTAACTCCAGCCTCACAAGCTTACTCGGCATGACAGACAAAACTTGCAATGCAGAGATCACAAAGGAATAAAACACGTATGAAACTAGGCTCCTGTGCATATTCGGCAGGACAGAGCAAGGGTCTCTTGCCTGATCTGCAATACAAGGGGCTGTAATTTTAACACTTTTTTCTCACGATATGCAGCCCGGCAGGGTGCGCAGTGCCGTGGCCGCCGTGAACGTATGGGTGTGTCAGAATCGCAATCGACAAAGTTGAAATGATTTGTCATGCAAAAAGTTGCAACCCACAAAGTGCCTGTCTTGTAGAGTAGCCAAGTGAGGCAGATTGTGGGCCCGTTTAGGGGTAGAAGTGGAGCTGCTAAAGTAGCACGAGAAAAGGCGTTGCCCTTACCCAAACAGCATGACAAAGCGCATTTCGGTTCTACCCAAATTTGTCATGCGCCACTTGGAAACTGTGTTCCAACTTGTATCCATTTCATGCATCACAAACTACTTCAACTTTGTCGATTTCAAACCTGACGCTTCCATAGAACGCCCAGCGCACGTCGCGCTTAACTTTTCGCGCATCGTGGCTCGGCTTCAGCGAGGGGGTGCGAAAGGCTGCGCGTTTATAACAAGCTCAGGTGCACAATCTCAAATCGGTTACCATAGAATCTGGAATTTGCCTTGCATGAAGAGCATGAGGAACGTACAGAGTCTTGCGCTTTTCGCAATACAAATTTCGCGAGAAGAAGATTCTCGTGCGGTTTGGCACTCCAGAACTTGTCATGCGCAATCCTGTGCGAATTGGCTAGATCATGCATTTCTTGCATCACAAAATCCAAATTCTATTGTAACAGTTGAGATTGTAACCACGTCTGAGCGGGTCATAGCGTTCTCGATTCATTTCCGACTTGTTACGCGTTCCAAACGGGGGCACCGCGAGCACTCGCTGCGGGAGAGGAATAAATCCCAGAACGATCGTTTTGTGAGGAAAAATCCCTCCTCCCCATAGCCAAGATGGCGAATCGGCTAGACAAATCCACAAGTTTTGGCTGTTTTGCAAGAAAAATTTGGACTCGTAGTGTAGTGCTGTTTGAGGTAGTTCAGCAGCATCACAGATCCAGTACACCATGTTGATTGGAGCATGACAAGTTTCAAAACCCGAATACAAAATGCTTCTCATGGGGCTCCGCATGAGAGACACTCTCAGGAGCATGCAGATTTGCGTGACAACTATGGGGTGGGAATGTTTTTTCTTTAGGATAGATCGCAAGGGCTGCAGCCGTCGTCTTCAGCTTCACGTTCACCCCGAGCTGGCCGAGTAAAATGCCACGACCCGGCTCAGCATCGGGCCGACGCGTTTTGGTCTTCATCTTATTCTTGGTTGGACTTGCGTAAAAATAAGTAGCGCCGACGGTAACGGAGGAGCAGAAAGCGAAATGATAGTGTAAAGTCAAAGGCAGAAAATGAAAACAAGTAAATACCAGCGTAAGCAAAAATCCAAAGCTACAGCCAAGTATTCATCAAAATACTCTGCTTCTACCAAAAAATGAAAATACTACTTATCCTGTATCTGTGATGGATACTAGGCGTAGGAACCCAGAGTGCACCAATCAGCCGGTTTAGTTACGGAATTGTAATTGTTGACGTGAGTCGTCAAGTGCAGTTATAGCCTTCTTTATCTCATCAGGGGCCGAAATGGTCAGCAACAGCGCACGACCAGGACGACCTCCATACTGTTACTGGTTACACTTACAGGAGGTCTAGGAAATAAATAAAACTGCAAAGTAGATCAAGCGAGTACAACTACTCCCAGTAGTACAGCTATAGCACTAGATCAGAAGTTCCAAGCCCCTCAGCTAAGTTAAGTAGGATCCTGGGCTCGTCTGTTCAACCTCTATAATATACCATCTTGTTCACAAAACTTGATCTTCTGTAGTTGCGTTGTCCTTCTAAATTCAGGACGTCGAGATCTTTTTCGCCTTTCTCCTATACCTACACGAATGCGACGACCGGATGTTCACAGATAGAGCCTCACAGGCACGACTACTGCAAAAGAACCGTCGCACAACTCTGATGTGTAATGATCTCTGATGACGTTTTGTTTCTTTCGTCATCTATAAGCCTGCTCGCGCTTCAGCACTACGCGATGGGCAATCCTGCAATTTTTGTTCTTCTTGAGAGCCACGAAATAAACCGACGCCTGAAGAACGAAGGCACAAGCACAGGGAAAGTAGACAACGGCCCTCGTCCCCGCGGGACAATAGTAACTGGATCATAGTCGTTCTGAACCTAACCGCAAGAATGTACGCGCAGCGAATGAATTTATGTTCCCGGAGCGAGTTGTAAAAAACGGCTCTTGCTCCCAGACGTCCTCGACAACTCATGTACAGAATTGACGGCAATGCGGCCTGAAAAACTGCACCTTCGCAGAACTCCCCGAACCACAGAAACGAGTCGTTTTCGAGGACTCCGCCTCCTCGTCGCCGGACTTCAGCAGCTGGATTTTGATTTTCTGCTTAGTGTAAATGTAAAAAAGAAACAGGGGGTTTATCTTTGAGCAATGATGACGATCGGACTCAACATGTCTAGAAAGAACGCACACCAGGGATCCTGATGCTGATGCATCGTGCAGAATTGCATGCAGCTGGGGCAAGGTTTTTTAAAAGTTAGTGGCAGTAGGGAAAAAATTAGTCCTTTTGCGTTGGGGAGTCAAAGAACTTCAGCTAAGGAACTTGAGAAAGAGTGCAAACAATAAGCGCATAGAAAAATCTGATTGAAATGTTAAAAACGCTACTCACAAAAGAACAAAGGCAACAAATTGATGAGCTGAAATAACTGCTGATAGACAAGAGCGACGGCACGTGCGTGCGCCTATCATGATTGCAGCTTGACTTTCTAAAAGATTTGTCAACGAAAGCCCGTCGTTGGGACACTTTCATCGAAACTTGAAAAGACGTTATAATACCAAACTCCAATCTGCAACGCTTACCACTCCTCCTCGTACCGTGCTGCCACCGGCTTGCCGACCATCGACTTTCCTTTCGAACCCTTGCCGGACGAGGAGCCGCCCTCTATCCTGTGGAAAAACGTCCCCACCCCAAAGTTGTCATGCAGATGTGCGATTACAGGAAGATTTGTGATGCGCATCTCCATGACAGGCATTCCCAATCGTGTTTTGAAATTTGTAATGCTGTGAACAGGATAAGAAGGTGGATTTGTGATGCGGTTGTCCTTCCTAACATGCACTACACTACGACCTGCAACTTGTCATGCGTGGCTTCCAAAACTTCTGGATTGGTCTTGCTAAGTTCCCAACTTGACTATGGGGAGGTGAGGACGTTTTTACATATGGTACCCTTGCCCTTCGACTTTCCCGCTCCCTTCGGGGCTCCGCCCTTCTTTGGCTTCGCCGACCCGCCGTCGCCGGCGTACTGTCGGTCCACGGCCTTGTGCACGGTGCGCTTCACCATGGGCATATGGCAGCAGAAGCAGTGGCTCCCAATAAACCCCCAGTCGATGCAGCAAGTCTGCCAGTCCGACTTTTGCAGCGTCGGCACATCCGAGGGGAGGTTGTACTTCCAGTAGCAAAAAAGCACCGCGATCAGCACAGCCATAATGTAGTCGATGGGGTACACTACGGCTTGCAGCAAGACGGCGTCCGTCCCGGTGAGTACCGCATGCAGTATAACCACCACGATCGACCACACCCAAAAAAACACCAGCGCCCGGATCAGGGCGACGCTGTAGTCGGGAAACTGGTAGCCGAGAACGCTCTCTGGGCCGCTCGTCATGGTTTTGCACATCGACTGCAAATCGTCCGTGCAGGATGTTTCCTCCCCGTCCCCGTACGGCAATTTTGCGGTTTGAAAGATCAACAGACAGGGGCAACAGCACGGCAGCGACAGACAGCAATCGAGAAAACAGCCTTGGTCCAAGTCGTAGTAGGTCTCCGTGGTTTCTCCCCACTCTTCGTCAACATCAAAGCCGCAGCAGTCGGGCGAAAACACATTTAGGGAATTGCAGCAGCACGCCCAACGCACCTTGTCCTTTTCCAAACCGGAGGGCGCGACTGGCTTCGGCGCGGCGACTGGCTTCGGCGCGCCGTAGCCTCCGTTTGCGTCTTCGTAACCGTAATCGCCTTCGTCGTAACCCTCTTCACCCTCGTCGTAACCCGCTTCACCCCCGGCCTCGGGCGCCGCTTCGCCCTCGCCGCCATAGTAAGCCGCGGCGGCGCTGCTGTGTTTGCCCTTTCCCTTCTTCCCCGCGGTCGGCGGAGCCAGGTCGCTGAAAGTGCTGCCAGCGTCCTCTTCTTCGTAGTTGTGCTCTTCCTCACCGTAGTCCTCTTCCCCACCCTCTTCTTCGCCATAATCCTCCATCTCGATCGCTTCCCCCTCCTGCATGTAGTGTGGGTTGCCCTGCCCGCCCTTCCCGTGGTACGCATGATTATCTTCGTGGCCACCGTCGTACGAGTCGTAGTCGTATCCATCATCGTAATAATGATCCTGGCCGTAGGCCGCAGCCGGCTGCGCACCTTTATTTCCGTACGCAGAACTGCTCTTGCCGGCTTTGGAGGACATGCCCATACCGGGGCTCGCGCCCTTCCAATTGTAGGAGTCGCCGTAGTAGTCGGCCTTGCCACTCTTCTTCCCCCCGAACATGATGTTGTCCTTAGGGTGCGTAGTGTAGGGGTCCCGTGGAGGTTTATTCTGAACTCGATTCAGAAATTGCGACAGGCTTGCAGGGGTAAGATACGCGACAAAAGTCGTGCGGGGGCGATCGTAGTTTTGTGAATAGGGAGGTAGTTAGTTCAGATTTCTAAGTACCCTGTAGTCAAGCAAGAGGTTTATGGAGTGAATAAATGAAAAAAGAGCTTGAACGAAAAGGCGCAAAACGAACTTGAACGAAACGTGCGAAGAAGTACGAGGTGGAGAGTGAGTGTGAGCCTGACTTGGACGAGCGAACTAAGACGAACCGAGTTGGATGCTTGAAAACCAACCGAGCATCAGCAAGCACACCATTCTTGGTCGGCTTCTGTGTGGTGCGCGAACTTGCGAGTGGACGACAGGGATTTGTACGCAGAACCGAAAATAAAACAGATACACGACCTGGGCCTAGCGATCATTTTGCACGCCGGCGAGAAACGAGGGTATGTATGTTTACGGAAAACTCAAACACGAACTAAGTTGCACCGAAGCTTCGATTGGATAAATTGAGCCGATATGTTAAATCGAAGCAGGAAACACGCCTGGAGAGATAAATCGAATCCGACCAACACCGAGGCTTAAAGTGAACGCCTTTTTTATTGCTTAAGCAGAAAAGTAGATCATTTTTCCTCCGAGGCCGTTCATTCCGGGTCCGCTTCGGAAGGGCAGGCGGGAACATCCACTCACCCTTCGCGGGAGAATGTGTCCGTGAAACCACGGAACGTTTATCGCCTGTGGGAATCGTAGTTGCTCCGGCGGAGCTCCGGAGCGGTTTCGATATACCGCTCGCGCAAATTACGCGACGGGCTACGGAAGGACTTTTCCTAGGGCCGCACACAATAAGATCACGTAGCGGCGCCTCCACTAAAGCAAAGGCACAAGGAGCTAGAACTCGCGCCCTGCGCCGGTGCGTCCCGCCGCTTTGAGCCGAGAAGGCGAAGGGGAGGCACTCCAAGATGCCACGCGCCGCCTCGTTTGCTTCGGTTTGGCGCTATTTTTTTCGCGTCGCCGCTTTCGTCGAACCCCCATCGGCACACGTCAAATCAGACGCGACTACATCGGCTCGCGCAGATTGAAAGAGGGCCCAAAACCGCGCGACCGGGGGACCGCGTGCGGCGCTTCTCCGCACGCCCCCGGCCATTTTTTTCCGTGCCACCGCGGCGCGAATTTCTTCCGAAACAATCGCCGGTGGACCACGTGCCACCAGGTCGGCTTTCGTGCTGGGCGCTGGTTTGGCCGCCTGCACTCCTTTCGCGCACGGAGCCCTGGTGGTTTTCTCCGCGCGTCCTAGGAGCCGTTTTTTCAGCTCTTTTCAAAATTTTCGAAGCGGCCCCCGTTGACCCAGGTGCAGCTGAAGTGGAACCCCTCTATCGGACTGAGAGGGGGCCTAGAACTGCTGGTCATTGGCCCCATTGAGTGCCTCCGTGGACGGCCCCCCATAGATTTTTTCTGGTCTTCCCAGGTGCGGAGTTTTGGAATTTTCCAGCACATCCATAAACGGGCCATGTCCGGATAAATCGACTCTTTCGGAGTGGTTTATGCTTCAGCACCGCATTGAATGCGACGCAAATGGCCCCTTGTTGGATACTCACATCTTGGCTTTTTCTATGCAGCCACTTCATACGTTTTCCCAATTTTACGAGAGTTTCAAGTATATGAAAAACAGGCCATGGGAGAAGTCTTGTTTCTCTTATCATTTGACTACGTGACCTCATGTTTATGCTTTTCGTCATTTATAACACATAAGATCTCTGAAATTGTGCAATTTTTTGCATAATTTCAATAAGTGCATTTCTGAGGTTTTCGAAGCATGTCCAAAAACGCCCCAAATTTAAGGGATTTCTGATTTAGGAAAATAAACAGAAATACCATAGTTGCACGGTGCTTAATGTTCCAGGCCTTTTCTACGGGTCAAGCTTGCAAAATTGCGCGAAATGCACCACGTTCGTTTTTTTGAATTTTTTTCAATTTTTTTGTAGCGGCAAAAGTTGCTAATGTATCAAATAAATTGTGGCAATATAGTTACAAAATGACTTAAGTAACAATGCTGGCATTGGTTGTGTAGGCGCATGTTAACAATGCTGGCATTGGTTGCGCAAACGCATTACATGCGCCTACACAACCAATGCCAAGCTTGTGGGCCATCCTTCGTTTGGAGCGTAGCGCTAGCGTAGACAGAGAGGCACTAGTACTAGAGTAGTAGCCAGGGGGAGAGAGGAAGAGAGTAAGCGACATAGGCACCAGAGGGATGCTCGTTGGTTGATGGTGTCGATGGTTCTCGACGAGTCAGGGACTCCATGCGGATTCAGGGAATACTTGTTGACTTCTCACTGTAGGTTGGCTCTAGATCTCTACCGGTGTCGAGGAGTGCGATCCTCGTGGTTCGACGTACCTGCCGACCTCGGAGTGTGTGTTCCCAGGTCGTAGCTATTCAACATGGTGCCGTAACTCCGCTGATAGCATCGGGGTCCGATCTCTTTTTGCGGTCTTCGCGGCGCTGTTTGGGCTTCGTCGCGGCGGCTAGTGCCGGTCCTCCAGTGTTCTTCCTCTCCCTCACGCGCTTCGCGATCATAGCAGCAGTGATCGAAGCTGCCGCACGACCATCCGCTTCGCGTTCTCGGCGTCCGACCAGATTGCAAGCGCGGGAAGCACTTTATCACGGTTTGTAGCCAGTTTGGCGGTGTTGAGGGCCCCAGCGCCCGTTTTCCGACTACTTACCGGGGGAACGAACCTGCTCCACCTTCTCCCCGACCTGATTCCGGAGATGGCAAAGAAGCGAAAAGGAAGTAAGGGCCGGGATACCGAGGGGGATAGCGATATTTCCTGCATCGCCCCGGCGGACAGCAACGCGATGGCAGCAATCGCGGCTCTAACAGCGCAGGTTACGAAGCTGGCGGAAACAGTTACGAAAACGCAGCAGGAGCAGGCGGACCAGATTAAGAAGTTGCAAACGGGCACCACGCCCGGGGCGACGATCTTCTCCGCGGGCGCCTCTTCTTCTTCCTCCGCGGCGGCGAGCTCCACGGATTCTACAACGGGTGAAGAGGAGCCGGACAACGAGAAGTCCATGCTTGCAGCCCTGCAAGCGTGGAATGGTTTCGTGGAGCCGCAGGCGGGTCGCGTGCTGAGCTCGCAGGAGCAGATCCAGGCGGAAGCCTTGGCGACCGCGATCCCCATCTTCGACCCCGCCAAGCAGAGCATCCAGAAGTTCCTGCCGAAGCTTGCCACGTGGTGCAAGCTGATGAACGGGCTGAACTTCAGCGAGGCGGTGTTGTTCGACCAGATCCGCATGCGGACCTTCGTCGCGGACCAGTGGCGGGAGGATCTGGTAGCGGGGTGCGAGGGGGAAAAGCGCTTGATCCTTATGGCGAAGGCGCTGATCGAGGACCAGGCCGGGAGTGCGAACACGATCCTGGGGGCGAAAACCCGGGCAATTTTGCGCATCCAGCGGAAGAGGAACGAAAAGGTCAGCAAATTCTGCGCGGCAAGGAAGATGGACTTTCAGGAGCTGCAGAAGATGCGGGCCCCGCTGAATACGCTGGTCGCGGGCGGCGCGATCTTGGACAATGTGCTGATCGACGACTTCACGCTGCGGCTGGTGAAGTCACAGGTCCGGCAGAATACCACGGTGACCCGCGTGATCGCAGCCTTGTGCGACATCTGCCCCAACGAAACGAAAACTTACGAGCAGAAACCGCAGGGCGATGCGGAGGAGCGTGCGGGCGGCGCGCTCTTGACTCTCCCAACGGACTTCGAACAGGGCGGCAGCGACCTGCTTTGCGAGGAGCAGCAGGAATACACGGGCGCGGAGTGGCGCGCCTGGTACAACGCGGTCAGCAGTAGCATGGCGCTTTTGGCGAACCAGGACAACAGCGGGGGAAACAGGTGCTACTACGGGTCCAATTGCCATTTCTTTTTGAAGAATGGCAAGTGCAGCAAGCAGCATACCCCGCAAGAAATTACGGAGTTAAAGAAGAAGCGGGAGCAGCGGCTGAAGAACATTGCGGAAGGCAAAGGGGCGAACGGTGGACCCCGCCGCCCCCCGTGACTATCCTACAACGAAAATTCGGGCACGGCTGCAAAGGGCGGCGCAGCTGTTGCCAATTTCCCAGTCCGCACGGCGGTGCGGCAATCTCCCGGTTCAGGCGGTGAACCTTTTGTACCAAAAGCGCTACCCTCTTCCACCCAGAATCTCGACACGACTAGCACTACCAGATGCGGCGACCGCACTTTGCGGGCCGCAGGGACATCTTTTTGTACTACGACTTCGGGTTCCGGATCCAGCATTTTGCAGACCGAGAACACCGGAGCCATCACTGCAGCAACGAGCTGCAGTGGCACTGACAAGGGCGAACAGGGACCTCCAAGGTGCTCTGATTTTCATGCAACGAAACCCCATGGCACTTCTACACTTTTATCCCCTGAAAAACAACAGGAAACTACGAACGGGGGCGAGAAGCGGGAAAAGGTGGACTTGGTCTACTACAACGCGGACAGCGCGGCGGACAACGAGCGGAGGGCCATGGCCTGCTTCGACACGGGGGCGACTTCTTTGGTGTTTCCGCAGAGACGGGCGGACGCCATCCGGGCGGAAATAGACGGCTCCGCGCCCAAGACCAACTTCGAAACGGCCAAAGGGAACATCGTGGACAGCGGCAGCAGCTACATCGCGATGCGATTTCGCAAGAAACAGGGCGGCTGGACGCCCTGGCGGGCCGGGTTCTGGAAGATCTTGCCGGGCGACTTCCATCCGCTGGTGGGCAGGTCCTTCCACAAGGCGCTGGGCTACAAGCATTCGACCGCCGACGGGGTTGACAATTTGGTGCTCGCCGGGGACGATTTGGAAGTTGACGGGGAGGGAATTCTGTTGGTGGAAACAGAATTCAGACCGGCGACCGCGGCGGAGGAAAAGTTTTGCTGCTTTTTCGCAGAGCAAAGCAAGGCGCTTTTGACGGCGGGGAAACTACTTCTTGCGGGACCACGACCGGAATCCCTCGAAGAGTTGATGGACCTCTACCCGTCTGTTTCGCGGGAACGAAAAGAATTTTTGGTGAAGCTGCACCACAACGGCGGGCACTTCAGCACCTTGGCGGAAAAAGTAAAAGACAAATTGGAACGAGAATTCTACGAAGGCATAGCCAAGTTTGATCTTTGTCATGAATGCGCTGCGTTTTCGAAGGTGCGTGAAGTTCTTTGGCCAGTGGGCTTCAGCCAATTTTCATCCCGGCCGCGGCTGCTGTGGGGCGGGGACAGCGTCAACACGGCGATGGGGATCGTCTACCACTCCTACGATTTCGGGTCCACCAAGCGCAGCCTCCACCTGATCGACCACCACCTTCCGGACAAGTTCGGCGCGGATTCCGCCAAGCCTCCGCCACAGGTTCCGGCCGCAATCCTGAAGTTCAAAACCAAGGCGGGCGGCTTCCCGCGCTTTTTCCTGTTCGACCCCAAGACCGATAATTTGAACAAAATTTCGGAAGATTTTTTGGCAGATAACGACATCCAGGGAATCCCGGTGCCGTACGCTTCCCCTTGGGTCCTGGGGAAGGAGGAGCGGGCGCACACGAAGTTTTCTTCGTCCTTGAATAAGGTGCTCCTCGTCACTGGCGCGACTAAGGTCCAGCTCCTGGAGCAGATAGTGGGGATGCGGAACGTCGGGCAAGCGATCAAGCAGCTGGTGGACGTAATCTACAACTCCAAGAAGCTCGACGCGGACCAGTTTGAGCTGAAGGACGGAGCGGGTTTTGGAGTATACCGAGGGGCTTTTGAACAACTGCCCCGGCGTGCGGGCAACGGTTTACTCCGCGGACAACATCCACTACGGGCACTGCGAGGAATACGACGGCGCGCAGACCGTCAACACCCTCCACCAGATGCAGAAATCGCTCGACGACCAGAAAAAGATGTCGGTCGCAACACACGGGCGGGAGCTGATGGACCGCCTTCGGCGCTTCAACAAGGGTTACAAGCTCAGTAGGTCGCTGACGGATTTGAAGTAGCTGCAGCGCGGGGACATGGTGCGCATCCTTCGCGCCCATGGCAAGACATCGGAGTTTTGGCACGCGGGGAAACAGAACTGGCGCCAGACCGGTGCCTGCGTCGGGGTCGACCTGGTTCGGCAGGAAGCACTTGTACGGCCCACCGGCAGCAACAAAGTCATGGCCCTCCGGCCCGCACAGGTGAAAAAGTTTGTATTCACCACCCAGGACATCGGCCCGGCTAGTGTTCCAATCTCCGAGTACATGGCCGCGCCCTTCGATTTCCGGCCGCTTCCGGGAATCATCGAACCAAGGCCGGAGGACAGCAAGGAGAAACAAACGCCTGCGGCGGCACCGCAGGGGGACGACAAACAACAAGCTCCGCGTTCTATCCCGAAGAAGATCGCCAAGGAACAGAAGCCAAAAACCAAGCCGAAAACTTCCGTTCTCCAGCCCCGACCTCCCGCTCCACGACAACCTCCTGCACCGCAGCAACATCCTGCTCCACCCCTACCACCCGTCCCTCCGCCGCCTGTCCTACCTCTTGTCGAACCTGGCGTTCTGCACGAGAGTGCCAACGTCCCAGAACCGGCAGCAGGTGGAGCTCCGGGGCAAACGACGTCGCAGGTGGAAAGAGAAATTTTTGGGTCGCCGATCGAGCTGGAGGAAACTGCGGATAGGCCGGCGAAGCAGCGACGATTGAGCCTTGCGAACGGTCGGGCTTTTCTCGTGCAAGGGCGCACAGCCAGCTACACGAACATCGACGACCGCGGCGCAGCTTTTTGCACTTTCAACCTCGGCGGGACGGGACAAGCTGCGGAGGCGAAGTTGACGGAGGAAGCACAGCAGTTTTTGGACCAAACATACTCCGGCCGGGTTCGGCTGGTGGACGACGAAAGCGGGCACGCGTACCTGGAGGAGGTCAGCGGGCTACCGGATGAGCCGCTTCTGCTCAGCAAGGAAAGCCTGAAGGAACAGCTGCTCGGGGTGGGATCTGATGTTTCATTTCTCCGCGAGCTCATCGCCAAGCGGGGCAGGCAGACGGTGTTCAGGTCGGCGCACATGGATCCGATCATTACCGAGCTAAATACGCTTTTGAACGGCCGGCCGGTCCTGCCGTCGGCGTCGGGTTTTGACGGGGCGGCCTACGTGGTGGAGTGCAAGGCCTTCCGGCCGGGCTGCCGGGTGCCTTCGGCTTTGGAACGATACGACCTGGGGTTCCAGTTTGGCCCCAAGTGCGCTTTCCAGTTTTTCGACCCGCAGGTAGATGGCGCGGACCCGGCCAACCACCACCTCTTCCTGAAACTGGAGCAGCCAAAGACCGTCGACCTGCGGGAGCTGACCCCGAACGGCTCCAGTGTGGAGCTAACGTTGGTGCAGATCGAGCGCTACAACCTCTGGCATTTGATCGATTCTGCACGGGCTTCGGAGGTCAGCGGGGTGCTGAGGCTGGGGGTCTTTGACCTGGACGACCAGCGGGACGAGCGGCCGCAGGAACCGGGGACCTCGGTGGTCAGCAGCCGCATAGTGTTCACCCTCAAGTTTGCGGAGGGTGAATTTCGAAAGGCGAAGATGCGGTGGTGCGCGAAGGGCTTCCAAGATTCTAGGTTGCAGCGGGGGACGCTGGAGAAGCGCTGCCACACCCTCGCGGACAGTAGTTTTTTGGTGATTCTGCACTGGCTCGCCAAGCGGGGCCACTACTGTCACCTGGTAGACATAAGCCAGGCCTTTTTGCGGGGCGACCCGCTTACCGATCCCGTGTTTTTGGAAATCCCGGAGGCCTTGCGGGGCAACCCGCTCTTCAACCTCACCGGGAGGTTTGTCAGGCTGCGGCGGACGCTTTACGGCCTCGCCGACGCTCCGCTGAAGTGGCAGAAAAGTTTGTTTGCCTCGCTCCGCGAGGCAGGGTGGGTGCAAGACATCAGCGATCCGTGCCTTTGGTTCCACCACAAAAAGCAGACCAGCAGCGAACAGGAGGGAACAGACGAAAAGCAGCAACAGGAAGAGCAACCAGCACCAGCAGCAGCGGCGGAAGACCACGACGGGCCGGACGACGTACGGCGGAACAACAACCCGCTGCTGAGCACGACAATAGACGACCCGTTGATCTCCGAGGAGGAGATCGACGGAGTCTTGGGCTGCCACGTGGACGACCTTATTTACGGCGGCTCGGCCGCCGCCCACGAGTCGCTGGAACAGGTCTTCAACAAGTACCCCCCGGGCTCCCGCACTGTTCTCCTGGAGGACAAGCTGGACACCTTCTGCGGCCGGACAGTTAAATGCGTTGCGGACGAGAGCGCAGGGGCAGCAACAAGAGTAACGGGGGAGCAGCAGTGGGAAAAGAAAGAGGGCGGGGCGCTCGTGGCGCGCGCGATCGCGGACTCCGCGATCGGTTTTGAGGTTGGGCAGCAAAGTTTCATCGAGGCAATGAAGCTCATCTCCGATGAAGACGCCTCGAAGTTTTTGAGCAACAGGAAAACGAACAAGAACCCGCTGCGGCGGGCGGTCGGGGAGCTGATGTGGACCACCAAAACTTCGCTTTGCTTCACCGCCTCCACCTGCATAGCGGCCGGGAAAATCGACGACGAAGCGGAGGAAGACGAATTTTTGATGCAGGTCAGCGAAGTCAACGAGCTGATCCGGACCATCAAAACTTTCTCCGCGGACATGATCCGCATCAGGCCAACGAGCAGCAGCGACGACCTGCTTTTGGGCTTGGTCGACGCAAGCCTAGTGCCACGGCTGGGGGCAATGGTTTGCTTGGTGAACAAACGGCAGCCGACGGGGCAGCCGGGGGACGAAAAATTGCTCTACAACTTGGTCGGGTTTTACTCTAGCAAGCCCGCGCGGGTCTTTTCAAGCTCCACCTCCGCGGAGCTGTTGGCGATCCGGCTCATCATTTCGGAATTGTTGTATTTCCGAAATGTCTGCGTCGCGGCAGGGCTCATTTCCCGCCACCAGCCCCTGGTGGTGCTCACGGACAGCAACAACATCGTGCAGAGCTCCACCAACCAGTTGATCCGCTGCCCCACCGAGCGGAATTTGCGCGCGGACTATTTTTACCTCCAGAGACTTTTGAACGACGGCGACCTGCAGCTTTCGCACATCAAAGGAATGTGGAACCCCAGCGACATCATGACGAAAGAACACGAAAAATCCAACCTGGAGATGGTGCGGCGATTTCTGCAGGAGAACGAGACCGGCTTCGACCTTCCTGCTGAGGCAAAATCCATTTTGGAGCCGTAGGGCGCTCCTTGTCGTAATTTTTTTTTTTCTGTTTTTCACAGTATGCAAATCTTCGCTCTACCAGCGGGACCTCTTGTTTTTCGCAACATATGTCCCGGATATCCTACAAAAAGCGCGCACTCAGCATTACAAACCACGTTTCCACATGTATGATTTCAAGTACAAAACCGCTCCTGCCATACTGTTTCCAAGAATTATACTTTTATCTTCGTGCGCAATTTCATTTTTCGTTACGGTGCTTATGCCAGGCTGGCTGAACACCATGTGCAAAAGTCCAGCCTGCTGACTTCGCCCACCAACCGAGACTAGCAGCGGGGCGACGTCTGTAGTAGGTATGTTTCGCACTACTGTAAGATGCTTATTTTTTCGGTTTCTCTTTGCTGTAGAATGTCTTCCAGAAAATACCTTTTTCGGTTTCGCATTTGCAACTCTATCCGTTTCGCCGTGGAGTTCCCGCGGACACTCCGCAAAAATATTTTTCGACATCTGTGTGCAATTTCTATTTTCACCAAATGCAACAACGTTCTTTCCAAATCTGTCATGCTGTTTCTACCTTTTTGTTCGTTTCGCTCTTTCATGAAGTATTTTACAACTCACTACGGAAAAACTATCCTAGATTCGCTATACAAATTCCTACTTGTAAGATGTCCGCGCTGTCAGCACTCGCTCTAAAAATATCGTTTTGTTGGTTTCTCATTTCTATTTTCTCTTCCTGTACTTTTGTAAAAAATACGCTTCTCGCATTACAAGCTACCTGCGTGTTTATCTTGGTTTCCTGTTTTTGGTTTTACGAGCTGGATATCTTTCGTGGGCACTGGCAGGGTGCAGTGTAGAAGTTAAATCTTCAGTGTTGGTAGCCTCAAGAGTGAAAGCGGTCGGAGTTAAAAACAGCCTAAGCGGCGACCGAAGGTCTTCCTCCCCCCTGGCAGTAGTACAAATTCAGTTTCCTGCCTGTATTTCTTCCTTCTTCTTCTTTCTTTTTATCTTTCTGTACGGGCTAAGACCTCTTTTTAGAATAACGGGGTGTAACAATGCTGGCATTGGTTGTGTAGGCGCATGTAATGCGCTTGCGCGCCACATGCCAAGCTTGTGGGCCATCCTTCGTTTGGAGCGTAGCGCTAGCGTAGACAGAGAGGCACTAGTACTAGAGTAGTAGCCAGGGGGAGAGAGGAAGAGAGTAAGCGACAGAGGCACCAGAGGGATGCTCGTTGGTTGATGGTGTCGATGGTTCTCGACGAGTCAGGGACCCCATGCGGATTCAGGGAATACTTGTTGACTTCTCACTGTAGGTTGGCTCTAGATCTCTACCGGTGTCGAGGAGTGCGATCCTCGTGGTTCGACGTACCTGCCGACCTCGGAGTGTGTGTTCCCAGGTCGTAGCTCTTCAACATTAAGTACTCGATACTGCACTTTATTATGAGTGTTCCTTTGAGCTTTATTAAACATTTTTTATATTGTAATAATATTGCATTGTGAAAAAATTCTTCTGAGCGGTCAAAAATGCCCAAAATAGACGTAATACTCTTTGCATAAGTACTAAAAAACCTCAGATGGTAAAAATGGCATCTACTGGGAGCATTGTGACTCCTGTAGTATTGGTTTTCGCTTCATTTTTTGCCACCTCAATTTTTTCAGATTTTTTGAAAATTCTAAGGCGATGCATTTTGATCCCAGTGCCGGAAGTTATGGCTTTAGAGGATACATAGAGGCTGCATATGAAGCCAATTTTACCGCGTGCGCCGCTTTTCTTTGCAGATTTTACGCGATTTTCTCCGCAATCCCAAAAGTGATGACCTTGGAAAATCTGTAAAAGAGCCCACCCCCCGCAATGTGGGACGTCACCAGCTTCTATAGTGTAAAAGGCGTCCAACGACCGCATCTATTTACCCCTGTTTGCCACTTTCTACGGCGGCGCTTGTGCATTTTTTTCTGTGGAATCCCCCCTGCATGCGCGCGCGCACCCCCCCCCCCCCCCCCCCCCCCCCCCCCCCCCCCCCCTTACCGGCCAAGATCCCGCCGGGCCTTTCCGGACCTCCTGGCGGCGCCCGGCCCACGACTGCACCCTTGTCCCCACGGTCGGGCGCAGCGCAATCCGCCCGCGCGCACGGAAGAAAACCGCTTGCAAACCGTGCGGACTCTTCCGCGGGCCGCCCTCTTTTGCCAGTTTGTCCGCGTTAGCGATCCGTACCGCCGCCGCGTGCAGCCGCCCGTACCCGAAAGGAGAGGCTGAAACCCCATAGAGCTTCCGGGCCAGCTGGCTCTACCGGCGTTAGTGCTTAGCGCATACGTTTAGGCCTCCTGCAACACAACGCTACCGCTTGCCTAGAGCATGTCAAAATCGGCCTCCCCCCCCTCCCCTTGTGCGTTATTTCCCGCGTTCGCGGGTGCGCCACCCTCGATTTTTTTTTTTTATGCAACCCGAGCCGAACTGGAAGGGGCATGCTCTTCATTGCTTTCGGGAGGACGCCTTACAAGAGAGCCGTGTTTAATATGCTTTTTGCTCGTGAGGATGCAAGCTGCAGCTAGCGGCTGCACGAGATAGATAAATCATGGTAGCCCTTCCACGATACTTGAACGAAAAAAAAACGCACAGCAGCTTATCGCGGAGCAACACTAATTTTCAAACACCAGGCCCCTTTCCCCGCCCCTTTCCTGCAAACCCAGATGTTCACGCTTAATTGACGTAGCTCGTAGCATCATTTGTTCATCAAAGTTGTAGGTTTACAAAAACACCGCTCGATGAAGAGTCATACTCTCACACTTTTTCACCTGTTTTATTCTAGCTGTTCGATCTTCTTACAGTGATGTCCAATCTTACTGCCATAGGAGCTACAACAGCAGCGGCATCTACTCCCGCGATGATAATGAAAAACCTCACCACTTCGCAAATCCGTGCGATTGCGGAGCTTCTGGACTCGCCGGAAACCAAGCAGCAGGTGCGACAAGAAGGAACCGCGGATCGCCGGGTCGCGGAGTGCTTCAGTACAGTTCTGAAGAATCCGATAGAGAATTACAGCAGCGGTACTTCTGGCCAGCACGGGGAGGAAATCGAAGTCGAAGTCGAGCCTACACTTGAATTATTTCCTCACAACTTCACCGCGGCAGAATGGCGATCCTGGGTGATCTCGCAGATGAAAAATTCCCGACCGGGTGTTCCAGAAGAAGCTGCGACATCAATCACGACCGACGCAGAACTGCTCTTAACCGACGAACTGGAGCTCTTGGCGCAGCGGGTGGGGAAAATTCAAAACTACGCGGATTTCAACGCAGTGAATGATTACAAGAAGGATGACGAACTACTTGGTACGGAGAAAGTGCGAAGGGAGCGGGAGACTGAGTTTTTGCAGGAATTACAGCAGCGGTTTGCTCTGTTCCTCTCAGCCGGAGCTGCATCTGATGTTGAGAAAAACGAGGACCGCGCGGCGGGGAGCCGTGCTGCTGGCAACTATGCGAGACCACGACCAACAAGAACTGCAGTGGAGGCGCAGCGACAGCTGTACGTTGAGTTTCTAATCAAGTGCTTCGAAGAGGAGTGTCGAAAGCTGTTCAATGGAATGAAAGACGCCGCCGCCGTTTCAGTCACCCGTTTAAAAGAAGACAGTCAAGAAGAACAAGAACTCCATGCGGAAAATTATACTAGAAGCGGCAATTGCTTCTTTGGCCTGCGGATTCGGAATCTTTCCCTGCCGAGGTTGTTTCCCGTGAGCGTTGAGGTTGACAATGATAAAACACCAGAGCTGGAATCAGACAAGCAAAAGCGGAAGCAAAATATCATCACCCTCCTCGAACTGCTGCTCACCCACTGCGGTGTGGTTTGTTTTGAGAACCAAAATGACTTCACGCCCGTATCCTGAGCAAAAACGTCCCCACCCCTAGATTCTCATGCAAATGCGCAATAACGGGAACATTTGTGATGCGCATCTCGAGGAGAGGCGACTCCAGACGTGTTTTGGCATCTGTAATGCTGTAAACAGGATTAGAAAATGGCTTTCTCATGCGGCTTTCCTAGCTAACCAGCACTACCCTGCAGCTAGCTAACCAGCACTACCCTGCAGATGGAAACTTGCCATGCACAACTCCCAAAACTTGCAGATTTGTGTTGCAGATTGACCAACTTGACTATGGGGTGGGAACGTTTTTGCTCAGGATGCCCCGAAGAACATGTGAAAGCCTGTGAGCTGTTCGGCGGAAGGAAAGCCCACTCCACTCACTCCGTCCACTCGTTATCCCCGAGTCGCCACATCTTTCGATTGTCGAATGATCAGAAATTAGGTATAACAAACGTCGGCCCCCAGTGGCACAACGATGGGAGCTTTGAGCGCAAAATTTTTTCGCATGTGGGTTGGTTTATGGTGCAGGCGCCCGAGAGGAACGGGGAAACCTGGTTTGCCGATACGCATGAGGCTTATAAGAAGTTGACGGAGGAAGAGAAGTACGCATTGCAAAAGTATCGTAGTAGTGCAAATCGCATGACAAGTTTTTCCTAGAAGAAAAATGAAAGTTGTCATGCAGATTCAGAGAAGAAAGCAGATCTGTAATGCAAGAGTTGCATTTGCACGAGTGCGATACTTCTGCACAGGATGAGAAGGAGTATTGGGAGCGGCTTTTTTCCGTAAATGCCACCAGCGGGGTAGTCCACCCGATGGTGTACCGGCACCCGCAGAAGATGAAAAGTAGCTTTGTGCCCCATGCGGCGGCAAGGAAAAAAGTCGCCGACGAAGAAGATACGGCAGAAATAACAGACTATGTGAACAAGCACGTCTACCTCCATTTGGGCATGACGGGCGGTATCGTTGAGTCAACACCTGTAGAAGTCGACGACGTAGTTCTTGTCCACGATCATTCTGACAAAGCAGGTCAACAAGAAATACTGTCTCCCACCTCGTACACCCACCGACTGTTGACGAAGCCAGAAATGGAAAAGATTTTCCATCGGTATAACGAGTTGCTAAATTCGATTTGCTACAAGCACTTCTACCGCACCAACGATTTTGTTTTGATCAACAATTTGACCGTGGCGCACCGGGCGGACGCCACGGCGAATGCGGACTTGGTGGAGAAGATTGGGTTGAGAATTCTGCACCGAGTCACGGTCAGAGGGACGGAAGATATCGACCCGAGCGTGTGTGGTGTTGAAGGTGATTTGTCGTGCAAGGTTGCTGTCAAGACCGACTTGCCGCACACACTAGACATCTACAAGGCAAATCCGTTTAACGAAGACGGGGTTTGGGTCAGCGGCGGCTTGGGATTTCGGTGGGACGAGAATATCAAGATGCAGAATTGAGCGCGGCATTGTTTGAAGAGCAGTAATTAGTGCGAAACCTGTGTTGCCACACTGAACTTGTGAAGATGAAAAAACAATCTGTTTGTTTTTTGTGCGAGAAAATGTTTTTTCGAGAAGCAACGAGAAAATGAAAATCTCGAATGGAACAATTTGAACATTTTCTGAAACTGTCGACAGTCTTTTGGGGAATATCAATCAATGCAACCGGACCAAGAAATGAATTCCTTCGCGTGTTCATATGGTCGGTCCAACAAAACCCAGTGAAGTTCGATTGTAGTCACAAAAGTAGAAGAACTTCTAGAAAAACTAATTCCTGTGTGTAAGATAAAGCTAATCACCGTGATGAGCGGCAGATCCACTTACTTTACTTCGTTTCATAAACACTACCCGAGTGTCAGCAAACACGGCCGCAATATGTTGTGCCCGGTGCAGAGAGCACGCGGCGCTTTCTGTGTGAAAAAGCAAAATGCGTTCTTGAAATTCCGTGCTCTTTGAACGACGCACAACATCGGTGCCTCCACTGTATAGAACGAAAAAGGACAAAATTATGTCGGTTGATGTCGTGAGACCGACAAGAGAGTCTCGTGAAGATTCGGTTGTGAACGTACCAAGCTCATCTGCCCCGAAAACAAAATATCAGTCAGACGATCTGAATAAACGTCGGCTTTTCATATCTTCTGCGTCTTAATATCGGTTGGCATAATCCATGATCTATTTTCGTGCATCGTGAGCCGCTCGGTGTACTAGCTGCAGGCCGCTCTAATACTGGTTTTAGAATAAAGACTCACCGAAGTGATGTTTCATCGCCAGTTCATATTCCAGAGCCTCGTGGCGGTTCCCCCGCTTTTTAGGTACCTTGCATAGTACTGCAGGTTCATTATTCACATGATATTTCTGCTTTTTCAAAAAAGCGTTGCTACTATTCTGCTCGAGAAATAGATTCTTTTATTCCACAATTACAGTTTCTATCCCCACCACAACTATACCCTTTTCTGCGGATACAACCACAAAAATGGATATCGTCGTGCTCGACACGGAGAACCTCCCGGACCGCACCTATGTCTCCATTCGCATCGGAGACATGCGGCGGCAGGCTATGAGAGTGCACAACTCCCTCTCCCCCTCATTTGTAATGCAAAATCCCAAATCCTGTTGGTGCCTTGTGGCAGTGGTTGCATTGCAAATTCTGCAAGCCCAAACAGTCCAATAGTTTGGGCATGAACTTGTCATGCACAGACTCCACGTGTGTTGGTCGTTGTGATGCTGGTCATGCCAGACAAATGAGGGGGAGGGGGAGTCGTGCACTCTCATACAGGCCCCCTGGAAACCGAAATCCACTTCCAAGCCAACCGCAGTGACCGAAGGCGAGGAAGCCACGACACCCGAAACCCCGTCAAAGCCGACGGCAAGTGACTCCGTGTTTCATTTTTCCAAATCCTCCCATGCGACCATGAAAGTGGACCTGTTTCAGCACCTGGGCTCTACATCGGTTGGGATGTACAGAATGAAAAACGACGACGAGCATGTGGAAGAGTTGAAGATTGCGAACACTGCTGCTATGGTGGAGAATACTAGCGAAGTTCAGGAACAAATCATGAAGTTGAAATGCAAATGCGTGTTTCAAGACGAGAGAGTGGACGAAATGGGCAGGCAAAAGCGGCAGAGCCGACACCAAGTGACGCTGAATGCGACGAAGTATTTGGACGATCACGAGATTCAGCCGACATTGCAAGCGCTGATCCGGGCGTTGTTGGATAAACAGTATTTGAATTTCTTTGCTTGTCTTCATGCGTCATTCGCATAGACTTTGGTTTTTGAAACATACATGGAGCAATAATTACGAACCGAAAATTCAAGTTTGTTTCACAACCCAAACCAAAACTACTGTACAGGCCCGAAGACGCGCTCGCCTTCATGGTGAGCCACTTGAACAAACTCCGCGGGATTGACGATGCCGCTCCGGCCCCCGCCCCGGAAGGCGAGGGGACGATTGCGGTGGAAGAAACTACTGCGGTGGAGGTTGCTGCGGCGGGGCAGGACGAGCAGCCGCCGGCAGAAGATGTTACTACCCCTGGTCCACCGGCGGAGGAAAGCGGTCCGGCGGCAGCTGAAGAGCCTGCGGCGGCGGTTGAAGAAGCTCCGGCTACTGCTGATGCCGTTGATACAGCTGCGGCGGAGGAAGCGCCTGCTCCTCCGGCGGCCGAGGAGGAAGCTATTGCTCCCGCGGCCGAGGAGGGTGAAGCTGCGCAGCCGGCGGGTGACGAAGCTGCCGCGGCGGAGGTGACGGAAGAACAAGCTCCTGCTGCCGCGGAAGAAGCAGCTGCGCCGGCTGCCGAGGATGAAGCTGCTGCACCCGCGGCGGCGGACGAAGCTGCTGCTGCGGCTGAGGAAACGCCGGCTGCCGCGGCTGAGGAAACGCCGGCTGCGGCGGAAGAGGAGCCGGCTACCGCTCCGGAGGAAGCAGCGCCCGCTGCGGAAGAGACGCCGGCCGTGGCGGAGGTAGAACAATCACCTCCAGCTGAAGCAGAGCCGGTAGCCGCGGCCGAAGAAGCCCCCGCAACTGCCGCTCCGGAATCTACCGAGCCAGAAGCTGCCGGAGGTGAAGGACCTGCGCCCGAAGAGGCTACGGCGGCAGAAGAAACTCCTGCCGCACCCGCGGCGGAAGAAGAAGCTCCTGCTGATGTTGTACCCGCGGCGGAAGAAGCTGCAGCGGCTGCTGCTCCGGAAGAAGCACCTGCGGCTGAAGCGGCGGCAGAAGAAGTGCCTGCTGAGTCCGAGGCTGCGGCTTAAGGGGAGAGGGAAGAGACTGAGAGTTTGCATTTTCTATATTGAAAATTTCACGCGGGGGCCGTTGTATTCTTTCGTTGACAACATCACATGCATTTACCTGTTTTTGACCTTGTGGTCCAATTTTGTACATTACTGTTTTTTCTCAGCACGACGGCACACTCTAGTATTTGTGCTTTACGACGCCGGAGGCGCAGTTCTATCATTCGTTACGGTTTAGTCCTGGGGTTTCAGTCCTCGAAAGCGCCAGTATTTTTCATGAAGCTCTTTATTTCAACTTTGCAAAGTACGCGCGTAGCAGCATCAAAAAGCAAATGTAGTACATTCGCACACCATAAGCTACAGAGTTTTTGTGAAGCTGCGCAGCTCAGCTTCCAATCGCAAACACGGTAGTATTTCCGTCTTGTGGACTGAACATCTTTAGAATTCTTGTGTCACCTACTTAACGCATTTACATTTTCTTTCTTTCGCACACAAAATTTTTACATGACGACCACGCCGGGGGCTTTGAAAAGCGGAGGTGAAACCTAAATAGAAAAAGCAGAAGACTTTGTTCGCAGCGGTGCCCTTTACATGAGTGAACGGCAGCAATTTTTTGCTGGCACGGAAGAAGGCGCGCAAGAGAGATTATGAGTGCGAAGAAGTGCAGGTCCTGGTTCATAGTTCTCCAAAAAATCTGAGAGGAGATGCCGTGCCGACTGATACCGCAACAGAGAAATGAGCCGGCAAATCTGAAGACCTTGCTGAGAGACCACGGCCGTGCGTAGGAGGGGATGCAGGAATGGATAAATACCTGTGTGGTTCTTGTACGCGGCGCTATTATTAATCTATCGGTCACCGGGAAGAAATTGAAATCTAGAAACCAGAAAAAAACTCAATGGACACTTGAAATACGTAAACGCAGAGAGGTATAACAATCACTTGGCAGAGAACAACCGAAAGATGAACTTACTGCGCGTGGGCCGCGCGTTGCCCGCGCGGTGCTTGACCGTGCTTCTTTCGCTAATCCAAAGCGTCATGGCGGCGGACTGGTATGTGCTCTACGCCGGCGACCTTCCGGTGTACATGTCGTCGGTCTGCCGGCTCAGGTGGCTTCTGATCACAAACGGGGTCAGCAAAGACAAGGTATAGAAGAAGAACTTCTGAATCATTGCTGGTACTATCTGTCATGCAAAACTCGCAAGAAGCACCTGCCTTGTGATGCGCGGCAAATGTAGTTGTGCAACTACACAGAGCAACATCGGAAAAAACAGATCATCACTTTCGGAAACAAAATAAAAAACTACCCGACTTTCGACGGCCTTCCCGCACCGGATGCAGCCTGCGAGCCAGATTTCACCGTAAAGGATGGGGTGTCGGAGAGTTTTTTCTTCAACGCTTTGAATCAAACGTATGATGGTGGGGTATCGGCCCCGAAGGTTTATGCAATGCAAAAGCATCGTACTAGTATGAATTGCATGACAATTTTTTTCTGGAAGAAAAATGAAATTTGTCATGCAGATTCAGTTAATAAAGCAGATCTGTAATGCTAGACTCGCATTTATACGAGTGCGATACTTTTGCAATGTATAAGGTTCTAGCGACGACAAATAGCGACAACGTTTTCATGTATCTGGCAGGGGACACCGGATACGACACAATAAGGCTATGCAATGCAAAAGCATCGTACTAGTGTAGATTGCATTACGAATTAGCCCAGCATTACAAATTGAATTTGTGACGCTGATTCACCTTGAGAAATAGAGTTGTATTGCATAAACGCAACTGCTACAAGTACGACACTTTTGCACAGGATAAAGGCTCGACGGGAGCAAAAACGTCATGCACGGGTACGTGACTTTTTTATTGCGAGAGTTTATTGTCATGCTGGAGGTTTTCGTTTTGGTTTTCCACATGAGTTTCTGTTTTGCAGGAAAGTGCAAGAATACAAGCTGGTGCATGATTCTTCTTATGTTACCCAGTGGTCAAGTAGAAATAGAAAACAAAAACAACCAAAGGTACGACCTTTTTCAGACGCTGATGGACTCCGGCACCAAATTTCGGCAAATGCGCATCTTTCTAGACGGCACGCACTTCGGGGACACCTTCATGAAGTCCGCCATCAGCAGTGCCACCACCTGGAACAGCAATGTCGCAAAGTCAATAAGGATCACAGCCTCCGTATTCAAGAAAAAAACTGTGTTAGTGTAACTTTCCTTGGCTGACAGCATCACAAATTTGCTCTGCATGACAGCGAAAACCTGTCATGCGTCGCTTGTAAGGGAAAACACACATGACAAGAGGACTGCATGGCTGTCTGGCATGACAGGCGCAACTCTGTTGCATGTTCTGCATTACAAAGTTACACTTACACAGTTTTTTTCTTGCATACTCCGGCACCGGGAGCGCGGACGCGACGGGAGCACAGGCCTGTTTTTGCGCGCCACAGACTAGTGTCAGGGACGCAGTGGAGCGGTTCAGGAATTTGCACCACCTGGCAGAGAGTCGTATTTGATATTTTTTTTCAGGTGTTTCTTCTTGTCATGCAGAATGCGGCACGAGAGGGGATGTTTTTGATGCAAAAATGCATAATACACTATCAGATGACACCGACCCGCACTACTGTCTGTCCACCCGCTTTGGGCTCACTTTCACGTCCACAAACACCGGACCCATATTGAGAGGAAAAATCTCCCCTCCCCATATCAAAATGGAAATTTGTGATGCTGATTTGTGGTCACAAATCATCTTTGTCTTGCCTATAGGGCAATAGGAGCCAACATGTGGCGCATTCCAAAGCCAATCTGTCATGCGCTTTCGGCTACTGCGAACCTGTTTTCCATGCATAATTGCTAGCCTTCTGCATACCCAAACAGGCTCAGAAATTGCCGCCAAGCACTTTCTGCAAGACAAACCTGATTTGTGTACTCAAATCCAGCATCAGAAACTTCGTTTTGATATGGGGTGGGGGGATATTTCCTCACAATAACCCACCTTCGAAAACCACTTCGCCGCCGTGTATGCATTGCAAATATGTCTGGGTCTGGAAGATTGAAGGAGTTTGTCATGCAAATTTTACAGGACCATGTTGTCGGTGATGCATGCTCTGGCATTGCAGGTTCCGCGAAGGCTTTCGGCTTTGGCTTTCTCATGCCGATTCTGCATGAGAAATGGGTCATCTCCGGGAAGCAAAAATCTGAGCACCTTTATTTGCTGCTCATGCAATACAGAATTTTCTCTGCTCGCAAGTTAGCATGACAAATTCCATTCTTTGCAGACTGCCAGACATATTTGCAATGCATACCGTGAAAAACTCCACAACGTCTGGGGAGTACATCGCGGCCTCAAGTTATCCAAGAAAAAAACTATGTGAGTGTAAATCTGTGATGTAGAAAAAGCAAAACTGTTGCACTTGTCATGCTGGGTCTGCGTCATAGGCTATTTTCATACGTGTTTTCACTGATACTAGCTGCGCATGACAGGTTATTTTCCCTGTAATGCAAAACGAATTTGTGATGCTGCTCTTCCGTACAAAATTACACTTACACAGTTTCTTTCCTGGATACAAGTTCGGAGATGGAATACGGCATTTTCCCGGAAAACACGAACGGGGACTACTTTACCTACTGCACGAACAGCACAGCCTATCGCAGAGGAGAAAAACAGTGTTAGTGTAGGTCTGTGATGCAGAAAATGCAACACAGTATACACTTGTCATGCCACACGACGACCACGAAGTGGTCCTTTCATATGTGTTTCCACGACGTACCAGCCACGCATAACAGGTTTTCTCTGCTCTCATGCAAAGCAAATTTGTGATGCTGTCACCCCAAGAATTTTATACTAACAGCTTTTTTTTCCTGGACACAGCCACGTCCACCGGCGCGGCGGATTGCAACAACATGTACACGGCGTTTCCCTTCACCAACGCGGATAGCATTTATGCATTGCAAATATCCCTGGATGTTTGGAAAGGTGCAAACTTGTGATGCTCTCTGTCAGTTACAGAAAAATCTGTCATGCATGTTGAGCAGCGAAAGCTGTCCATGTGGGGTAAGCATTTTTGCAAAGCTGTTGCAACAAATTCTGTGATGCTACGGCCCGCCTTCCAAACCGTCTCGGCCATGCAAAAGATGCACGACAAACGTCGGCACTCTTCCAGAGGACCCAGATATATTTGCAGCACTTGATAGCATTTACACTTTCCCCAATTACGCCTCCGGGTGCACGAAACACAACAATCTCGTCTCCACCGAGCTCCTATCAAATGCAAAAATGTCTGGGTCTGGAAACTTGTGATGCTAAAATGTGGATAATAGAAACAGTTCCGAATGCAACCCAGCATGACAACTTTCCAGAACGCTTTCGCATCGGCAATCCGCATGAGAAGCTGCGACTTTGCATGTACAAAAGAGGCCGCGACTTTTGTTGGTTATGCAATACAGATTTCCTAGGTATGGAAAGCTAGCATTACAAGCTCCAACCTTCCAGGCCGAGACATATTTGCAATGCATAGCTCCTTGGCAGCTACTACTTTGACAAAGCATTAAGGAGAAACGACAACGGGGCTTTGAAAGGGGAACTGGGCCTGCGCGTGGACGCAAAAGCGAAGCTGGACAGCTTCATCACCAGCCACCAGTGCATATGCATTGCAAATGTGTCTGGGTCCTCTGGATTTGTAATGCAAAATTTGAAAGACAGCGAGGATTTGTGATGCATGAACACGATTGGGCAGTTTTTTTGTCATGCTGTGAAACTGATTTTGTCATGCGAAACACGGTAGAACTCGCAATACCAAGCGAAAAACTCGTGATGCGTAGACGCCGTAGAAGACACCGCTCTGCCATGCATGACTCAGCAACAGAAATTCGTTGCGTCTCTCGAGACCCAGACATATTTGCATTTGATAGTGCACGCAAGTCGGCTGTCTCGACACGACCGTTTCCCTCACGACGGCCGCAGAAAACGCGTGCTTCAAGGACTTGTTCGCAATAGTCCAGTCGGGGACGGGGGCGCCAGGTACATAAGTAAGTACTTAAGTAACTCTGGTGCGCCAGATGAAGAAAGGATTTGAAGATTTGTATATGCATGAAAGAACACGACCGTACAAGAAACGCTTTCTCAACATGCTTGCTGACATTCTGAATAGTTACAACATGACCATAAAAATCCACCGATCAGGTTACTCCGCCTACACGCTGAAAACGTGGACGCTTCCGTTGGCCAACATGTGCAAGCAGCATAGCGCCGCAACACTAAAAACGGATTTGACGGCTCTACTCACGTCCAGCGGAGGCAACGAGGCGGCGAAGGCGACGAATAACGCAGACGTGAGTTTCATTCTAGCCATCGTGGGCTTTGCGGTGTCGGGGGCGTTGTATCTGTTCTTCATGTTTTTCGACACCAGAACGATGGAGGACACGGAGGAAATGCAGGTAAGGGTTTTTAGTTGAGGTTTGTCATGCGAACAACCTATGCATCAAAATCAAATACAACCAAAAATCGTCATCCACGGTTCTCCGGCATGAGCGTGAGTAAGTATCTGACCACTTTGAAAACGAAAATCATCCCAGGCCATCAAAGACAAGGAGCAGTCTCGGGCGGCGGGGCGAAAATTGCTGCAAGAGCACGACCGGGCGCACGGGGCCTCGCCGTTGTAGTACCCCGGAGGAGGAGAGTCGTTTCTCAGGAAGGAAACGAAGGGGCGACGGCGGTGGTGCGGCTTCGGCTTCGTGCTATTACAATAGAGATCATGATCGGCTACGACCTTCTAGCACAGTAACAGGAATAATTTTTATGTTTACCTTCTAAGACATCCTAGACCAGTACAACGTCAGGGACAGAAAATTCAGACAGACTCAAGTCGAAGAATTTGTTCCCTACGATCCTCTGTTGTGTTTCTAAGACTTCTAAAATTTCGCGAACTTTTGAATTTAATTGCACGGCGAGTAGAAATGTGATTTGGCGTTGTAGGTATAACTACTACGTGATGAAAAATAGAATGAATATTGGCAAAGTACTACCCGAATGGCAATGCTGTCAAACGAATTGAAACAGAACAAGTACGCATTTTTTTAAGAGGTCGGAGGACTCCGACCAGATGACGCAACTGATAGAAAGCAAGCTTCTTGCGCGCAACCTTGTTTCGTGCAGCTCTTGCGCAATTCGATCTGAGTCACTGTGGTCTCACGTCATTGGGTGTGGCGCGAGCCACGGGGCGGCGGATTGAGTGTAGTGAGCTTTTGTGGCTCGTTTCCGCTGCGTATGTCTTCACGCAACTCCTAGGGCGACCGAGCAGGAAGGGGCCGCGGCGCGGAGTAATGGCCGGCCGCGCCGCTTGGCGGTTGCAACGCCGATCCGCTGCAGCTTCGTGGCTCGTGGGCCGCGCGCACTGGGGTAACTCGGTGCGCGGCCGAGCAGGTAGCAATCGCAACCGACCGGGCAAAAGGCCAGCGCGGCCGACATGGGGAAGGCCCCCGCGGTGAAACAATCCCTGGGCGAATTTTCGACCGATAAGGCTGAGGCGGGGAACGGCAAGGGCTTGAAGGCCCCGGGCGCTGTATCCTGAACAGGAGAACTCACGCACCAGGCGGGGGGCCTCTATTCAAGCCCGGGGCGCCGAGGGATGCGCGCCGGGCGCGTCAATGCGGGGGCTCAGCCGGGGCACGTACTCCGCCGCACCCCCGCCCCAGAAAGGAAAGCAGGGCGGGCGCAGCGCGCTGCTCCGGGGCGCGGCCGGTGCGTACCATTGCCGGCGCTGGAAGTCCGTGCGGGCGCGCCGCAGCCAATGCCCTTCCGCGCCCAAGCAGGGGCCGCGCCTACGGCTGTGGGGCCTGCTGTTGCGCCGGTCGCTTCGACTGGTCCGGCGGGTACTGCGGCGGGTCCAGGGATGCTTGTTCCGCCATCTCTGCTGCCCGCGGCGGGCGGCAGGGCGTGACAAGGATGAAAGGACCGGGCCGAGAAGTGGCGGCCCCCGCCTTTCAGCCGGGCCGATGGAAGTAGCGCGCGGCAGTTGCCGCCTCGCCAAGGAGGTGGCAAAAAGTGCGAAACTGGAGGGGGGCGCGCTACTCCCTGCCCGAAGACAAAGCCGAAACGCAAAAAATGCGGCGGCCTCCCCGGTGTCCAACTCTACCAGCGCGAGGCCCCCGCCCGGCGGCGCGCCACAGCGCCGGCGGCCTTCGCGACTCTGTGCCCAGGGCCAAACGCCGCCGAAGCCGCGGCTGCTGCCGTGCGCGGCCCTTCTGCGGGCGGCGGCTTTTGTAATTCGGCGGGCGGCACCCAATTCGCCGCGGCGCTGCCGCGCGCGTCCGCGCGCCATTTTTGCGGCGCCGCCCCGCCCCGCGTTGCAAGCCCGGCCGGAGCTTTCCTTGCGCGGCCCGTTCGCATAGGGGCGCGCGCGCCTTGCGCAGCTCCGCCTGCAGTGCCGGCGCAGCCTTTTCGCTAAAACGCGCCCGGCCCGCACGGGGCCGTGCTCGGGCGTGCCGCTCTTCGCGCGCGGGCGCCCATCAAACGGGCGCCCGGTCTGGCTCGGGCGGGCGGCCCTTTTTTCTAGCCCCGCGCGGGACCCTGCGGTGGGCTTTTTGCTTTCCAGGATGAATGCTTGCAATGCAAACAGAAAATCAGCGAAGCCCCCCGATCGTGCGAAGGCGCACAGAGGTCCGCCCCGTAGTAAAGTTTTCCGCTCTCCGGGGACGAGATGAGGGGTCGCTACTTGAGGGGAATGTGGCAGTTTTTCCAGGGGCGTCCAGCACGAGAGACACTTGAGCGTTTTTTTCGGCGCGAGTGAGGGTATGAGTTAAAGAGTTGGTCTTCCGAACTGTCAAAGCCACATAAAAACACCCGGAACTACACGGCGCAGCACTGAGATACTATCACGACCCGCTACCACGATTTTTTCTGGCCACAGAAGTTGTTGGCGTCGGTCCTCGTGCCCATAGTAGACACAGCTACAGCATCAAACCTGCTTGCCAAAAAATGCGTGACCCCTTCGGCCAGGAGCGGTCGATCTGTTTGAAATGCCAGAAGCACGACCGGGAGTGTCTGGAGTTTTTGCCCAGCGACATGGACACCGACTGCCTGGACAACGGGGATTTCGATTGGGAAGGGGAAATGAAGGACTTGGACGAGCGAAAAGTCCTGCCCTGCATTCTCGAGTCCATCACCGCCTACCGACGGAGAACCTTCGACGAAAGCAACATCGTCTGCAAGGCGACAAATTCCAGTTCCTTGCTGCAGAATCTCGTTGGCGGCGGGAGTAGTGGGTCTACTTCTTCGCCATCTTCACCAAGCAATAATCCCTGCATTGCCACCACGAGCAGTGGTTCTTCCCCGATGAATAAATCGGGTGTACAAAAATCATCCGCCAGTACCCTGGTGCAGAAAACGTTCCCACCGACCTTAGCAGCCAGCGCAGCAGCAAACAGACAAGGATCTACGTCGACTTCGAATGCGGCAAATAACAAATTCACCTCCTACTCGCGGATTTGCCACTGCGGGTGCGATTGCGAAGACCACTTGCTGGAAGTGGTTTCGAAACAGGAGAAAATCGTGTTGAACCTGATCCGGCCCCATTTTCAGATGCTGAAACTCAGCTACTCGGTGATGCAGTCGGTTACTGACACGGTGCACTTGGACATTCCCCGAACGGAGTTCACCTACGGGGAGATCTACGATGTGGCCTTCCTGCGGTTTCTGAACGAATTGTGGGACGAGTATTACGGGGGAGATAATTTTCTTTCGGCTGCAGGTGCCGCGGTATCATCCCCTGCAAGCCCAGCCTCGCCGAAATCAGCAGGCCCAGGAAGTCCTGCTTTTTCTTCGCCCAAAAATAATACCGGCGCAGCAGCAGGTTCTTCGCCCAATGTCCCGCACACGCGACCCAGCAAAACCACTGCCGGGGCCGCGCTGGCGGGGAACGGCTCACCGACGAATTCGAAAACTACGAATCTGCTGAAGAACAACACACAGACTTCTAGCAATCCCGGAACAACATCACCAAGTAGCAACAGGCAAGGAATATTAAACAGTACGAACGGCGCCACCTGTTCGCCGAAGCCCCTCTCTCCCTTCCACGACCAGTCGCCGGATGTGTCGAAAAGAAGACCGTTTCAGGGAAAATTCCTGGACCTCGGCTGCGGCACGGGGAAGGCGGTTTTTCTCGCAACTTGGTCGATATGACAGTGCACACCCCCCCCTCCCCCTCATTTGTCATGCAAAATACCCAGTCCACCCTTTGACTCCTAGCGCTGTTTGCGTGACAAGTTCTGGTAGCCCAAATAGCATTATACTCCCTTGCAAATTTGTCATGCAAAACCGGCACTCCTGCTGATGCTTGTATTGCCGTTCACGCTATACAAATGAGGGGGAGGGGGAGTTGTGCACTGTTATAGCCGAAGTGGCAGTTTGAGAAAGCGGAGGGAGTGGAATTACTCCCCGGCCTGCACAAGCTTGCGTGCTATCTGAAAGACAGCATTTATATCACACAGCAAAAAGTAAAAGCTGGCAGGGCACATTTGTAATGCAAAAAGAAATACTCAAAATCTGCGCTGCACATCCGAAACAGCATGCTATGGGGCCACCCATGACAAATTTTTCTGTGTATTTATTTTTGCATTACAAATCTGCCCTGCGAGCTTTTTTCTCTGGGATAGTTTACAAGTCGTGTGACGCCCTGTCCCCGAAAACGCGGTCGGTGGTATTCTAAGTAAAAACATCCCCACCCCAGAGTTGTCATGCAAACCTGCATGGCAAAAAAGTTTCTCATGCGGAGCCCCATGCGAAGCATTTTCTCGTCGTGTGTTGGAATTTGTGGTGCTTTAATCAGCATGAGATGCTAGGTCTGTGATGCTGCTATACTAGCTAAACAGCATTACACTACGAGGACAAAACTGTCATGCGACACAACCCAAGCTAGTTCAATTTGTCTAGCTGATTTTCCAACTACTTGACTACGGGTTGGGGACGTCTTTCCTCGGGATACGTGGCGAAAATTCCCCAAACCGACGTAGAATTCTTTCTCGGGGACGTGGCGAAGTGGCATCTGCAGCAGGCGGGGAAAGAAGAAGCAGAAGAAGGAGAACAAGACGGCGCAACAAGTCGTGCAAATGAAAACAATGATCTGAAGCTCGTGTACATCGCGTCAACGGTTTTTGGCGAGGAACTGATGGCGAAGATACGGTTCGATGTACTGCCGAAGGTCTGGTATGCAAGTGCAAAAGCATGGACAACGAAGTTGCTTGCCCATATTTAATATTTGGTGGAATTACCACCAAGTGTGTAGACAAGAGAGAAGCTTGTCGGCGAGTATCTGATGTGTAGTCTGGTACAACGGCCTGCTCGTGGTTCATTCTTCGATACAGAGCGGAAGAATCAGTGATGCGAAACTACGTACTGCGGTATTTTGAAACAGTCACATGCATAATTTCCTGCTCGCTTCAATCATTTCTCCCTCGTGGGCGACACACAGACTCCAAGGAAGTACAACTTCGCAGCCTTTGCAACCGTTCCATAAATGCAGCAGGGACACGATCATTGTGACGCTGAAGAACAAATTGCCGGATATAGAAATTTATCAACTGTAAAAATGTCTGGGTCTGGAAGAATGCAAGTTTGTCATGCTTGTCTGGCATGACTCGGGAATCTGTGTTGCATAGGCACGAAAAGGCGCTTTTACCTGTCATGCAAAAACGCAGTTTGCCATGCAAGATACGTAAGACATGGGAGCCAAAAAATTTGTCATGCATAGCTGCGTATTGCAGTCCGTCTACCATTCACTTTTAGCATCACAAGTTTCCAGACCCAGACATTTTTACATTTGATAAAATTTTGCAAGAAACAAAACTCCTCGTCTCCTGGGGCTATAGCCCTTGCTACGTCTGTCGCCTGCCGGTATCAAAAGAAAAAATCCCCCCTCCCCATATCAAAACGGAAATCTGTGATGCAGATTTGTTGTCACAAATCAGCTTTGTCATGCTACACGGGAAAAGATGCGGACTGTAGTGCTGGGTGGCGTGGGGAAGCCTTGCATCTTCAGCATGATAGGAGGCAGCTGAGAGTGGGGAACAGCATGACAAATTGCCTGCAAACGAGGCCACGACTGCGGCTCTTGGCCTTCTAGCATGACAAGTCGATTTGTGACCTCAAATACAGCATCACAAATTTCGTTTTCGATATGGGGAGGGGGGATTTCTCCTTTCGATAGCCGGTTGATACGGGTCGTGCGGAAATAAAATGAGGAAGAAGCTTTTGATCACGGCGAATATATAATGCGCATCACTCAGTGCTACTGATAGCACGCAGTTTTTTCCTGCTGTTGTACTGTGCATTGTACTAAAAGGACGGCTCCTGCGTAAGAGTTCTTGGGAAATAAGAGGAGTATTAGCGAGAAGTTATCGCAAGGAAAAATCCCCCCTCCCCATATTGAAGAGGTAGGTTTTCGAAAATTTGTGTTGCTGATTGATATAGAAATTTTGCAGGAAACAAAACTCCTCGTCTCCTGGGGCTACATATCAACTGCAAAAATGTCTGGGTCTGGAAGAATGCGCGATTTGTCATGCTGCTTTTCCATGACCCATGAGGTCTGGAACGCAGGACCTAGCATGAAGGATTCTGCGAGACCTTTCTCATGCCTTTCCTGCATGAGAAACTCCCTCCCGACTTGGTCAAAACTGGGCGACTTTTGGTAATCATGCAACACAGATTTTTGCATGCAGCAGATTTAGCATGACAAGTTGCAATTTTCCAGACCCAGACATTTTTACATTTCATACTACAGCCCGTGTTACGTGTGTCGCCTGCCTGTAGTTGATACAGGTCGTGTGGAAAAATGATGAAGAAGTTCGTCACGAATACTTTGCAACTACGCTCAGTTAAAGCATTTCGCATCTTTCCAGTGCTGCGGTTTTTTGTCCTAAAGGCACGATAACTGCGTGCTTTGAAAACAGCGTCAGAACAACTCTACGCTTCAATACGAATACAGCAAAATGCTGTATTTGTGTTGCTTACTTGCTGCAATGAGTTCTTGCTCTCGTCTAGTTGTCGTCGTTGCCACGTAGACAATGTCGCTCGTTTACTTTGTTGTTCATTTTCGTGCTGCAGTAAAGGAAGAGGCGAAAATATTCATCAGAGTCGTGTAAGTAGTCACAAATAGAAAGAAGTCGCGCCTCCCCTTGCTCTAAAATACTAATCGTTCGTTGTGTGCATAAGCACTCGCGCCAGAAGAATTTAAATTGTGGTCTTTTTTTCCATGTCTGTACGTCGTGGTCCGCAGGTCCCCCTCAGTATGTCATTTTCGTTTCATCGTTCTTCTCGTTGCGTCTTTTTCGTGTATCCAACCGTGCTACCGTGCAGCGCAGACACGAGGACAATCACACCTCAAGGGCCTTTGAGGTGGCTCCTCTGCAATCTATCGTTCTCGTTCTTGGACCGTGAAAGTCAGTGTCGTTCGCTTTTTGCTAACCCGTTTTTCGTAGTCCAAACAATACTATGCGGTCTTTTATTGCGGATTTTTTCAATCTTCCGATCGATTCTTTGATAGATCAAACACGCAGAGATGATGTACCTGAGAAATACCTACGGCGTTCTGAACCCTTGATGCCCCCTTTTGGTAAGTTCATCTTCGGAATAACAGACACCACACTTTCTTCTTTCTCGGTTTAGGACTTTGAGTACCTTCTAAAGCTCCTGCCTCCAAATAGGTCGTCCTCTCATCGTACGTTGGAGGTGGTATCAATATCGCGGCAAGTTCACAGAACTCATAAAAATAAGAAGGCACGAGAGAAATATATCCACCGCGTCAAAACAAGACAAAAAATGTCTCCCCCCTGCACACCGAAGACTCGGTGGAGTGGGAGCCGACGTCGCGTGTCGTGCAGTACTTCTCACGCTCGTCTTTTACAACTCCTGTCACCGCCCGCGCTAGCGTTCTTTCACCTCCTGACTTCGTCAACACGACCTTTGGTACTACAAGAATTCGGACCAGTTGTAATAAACGGCTTGGAGTTGTTGACCACGGGGCACAAAAAGCAGAAGGCGCGGCGTGTGACGATGAAAGGCGGAAACGAGGACTCGTGGTCTTCGGGAAGAAGTATTAAAACTGAGCCGGGTTGGAGTGGTCCTCGTCCGGCTGCACGTGGAAGCAGTGAAGGCAGCAATAAACGGGCGGCGTACTACCGGAGCGCGCTCTTCGAACTCTTCGCGGCCAAGAAACAACGGAAATCGTTGAAAATCGGGAAAGAAAATGAGAACCTCGAGAAGTTACACCACAAAGAAGGAGCGCCAGAGAGCTGCGGCGAGAAGAACCCGAAACGAGTGCGGGGAATTTGTTTGAAAGATGCCATTATGCATTGCAAATACGTTGCCTGGATTGTGCTTTCGAAGGTTGCAAATTGGCATGCAAAATCGCGATCACCAAAAAATCTCCGTGTTGCATGAACGCCACAGGCTAATTCCATTTTTTAGTAGGGAAACGGCAGACCACGACTTCTAATGCGGGATGAACATAGGTACGAGGAAGGTCTCTCAAAAACAGTGATGCTTGTTCTGTGTGCATTATCAAGACTATTTGCGTCGACGTGGTCTGCGTCTGCGACATGCATGTTGACAAGTCTTGCATTCTTCCAGGCATGATCCAGGGATATTTGCATTTGATAGCCGTCAACGACCCAACTGCATTTGGTGCAACACCGGCTTCCGAGAAGGAGAAAAATGCATTCATATCGCGCGGAAAAATGCCCCCTTCCCATATTGAAAAGTTATGTTTCCAAAAATTTGCGTTGCTGATTTGTGGCCACAAATCAAATTTGCCTTGCAAATAGAGAAGGGCAGAGGCGTCCGTCCCATTATGGTAGCGATTTGTCATGCTTTTGGGCGGCCTAGAGGGCGGCAGCCTGCAAAGCTAAACAACTAAGGATACATACGCTGAGGATCTGGCCGCAGTGCCTTACTGCAAGACGTCATGGCGTAAGTATTTGCGTACGCAGTAAATCCAGTACCAGAAACTTCGTTTTGCCATGGGGACTAGGGGGGATCATGTTTCCTATCAAATGTAAAAATGTCTGGGTCTGGAAGCGTGCATGTTTGTCATGCTTGTCTGGCATGACTCTCGAATCTGTCATGCACGTTACCCAAGAGCGCCATTTTTCTGTCATGCAGGAACGCAGCTTGTCATGCAGAATAGGCAACACCTAGAAGCTCAGAAACTTGTCATGCTGAGCGAGCACTTGTGGCCTGTTCATGATACGCCACCCAGCATCACAAGTTTCCAGACCCAGACATTTTTGCATTTGGTATTTCCTTTTGATAGTTGATTGCCCGTCACCTCACGAGCAGCGGAACATCTTATTACAATGAAAAATGCCCCCACCCCCGAACTCGAAAGCATTTGCATTGCAAATCTTTCCAAATGAAACATTCGCCCTCTTGCGTGTATCAGCATCACAGATTTCCGATCGTGAATAGCAAAAATTTGTATTGCAAAAGATCCCAGCAAGAGCGGTGCTTGTCATGCAAGCGATGCGAAACACGACTAGAATCTGCATCAGAAAGATTCGTACTCCTTTCATGCATGACAAAAAGCTTTCATTTGGAAACTTCGCATCACAAATTCTTGCAATTTCAGGGGTGGGGGGCATTTTTCACTGTGATACATCTTGGGAGGACCCTTTGTGCGTGGGGAAACAGACCAACTTGCTGGGAAGACACGTTGGGCACCATATCCTGAGCAAAAACGTTCCCACCCCATAGTCGAGATGGGAAGTCTGCTACACAAATCGCCCAGCTTTGGCTGTTGCGCATGACAGATTCGGCCCCCCCGTGTAATACTCCTGTTCAGCTTGTTCAGCAGCATCACAGACCTAGCACATTGTACTTATCGGAGCACGATGGCAAATTCCGACACACGACTGGAAAATGCTTCTCGTGGGGATCTGCATGAGGAACATTTCCAGCGTGCAGATTTGCATTGCAACTATGGGGTGGGGATGTTTTTACTCAGGATACACCAACCGGATTCCCTCTGCGTCTTGTCGGGGTGGCGAGAGCACGCCCCTCGTATCAAATGCAAATATGTCTGGGTCGGGAAGAGTTTAAACTTGTCACGCAGGTTTTCCATGACTCGTGAGGTCTGGAATGCGGGACCTAGCATGGCAGAGTCTGTGAGGTCTCTGCCATGCCTATCCTGCAGGAGAAACTCCCTCCAAACTTGGTCGAAAGTGGACAGCTTTTGGCACTCATGCAACACAGAATTCTGCATGATTCAGATTTAGCATGACAAGTTGCAATCTTCCAGACCCAGACACTTTTGCAATCCATACCTCCGGGTTATGTGCAACCCTTAAAACCTCTGGGGGAACCGACGGGGGACAGCCCGCCGCAAGANCCCAAGAGCTCCGCTTTTCTGTGATGCAGAAGCGCAGTTTGTCATGCAGAATAGGCAACACCTAGGAGCTCAGAAACTTGTCATGCTGAGCCAGCCTTTGTAGCCTCATCATGAGACGCCACCCAGCATCACAAGCTTCCAGACCCAGACACTTTTGCAATCCATACCTCCGGGTTATGTGCAACCCTTAAAACCTCTGGGGGAACCGACGGGGGACAGCCCGCCGCAAGAGTTTCGCTTCCGCCACGAAGACGAGGTATCTAGTGCAAACATGTGGTCTGCGCCTGGAAGATGAATGCGCGACTTGTCATGCTCCGCGGTAGGATGACTCTCAAGCCTGTCATGCACGTCACCCAATAGCCTCGCTTTTCTGTCATGCAAAAACGCAGTTTCTCATGCAGAATAGACAACACGACCTAGCACCTCAGAAACTTGCCATGCTGGAGCGTGAGTTGTGGCGTCGTGAAGGTTTTTCGCCAAACAGCGTCACAAGTTTCCAGACCCAGACACTTTTGCAAGGTATACGAGGTTGGGGACGTCGACAAGAGTGCCCCGGTGGACCTCACCTGCAAGCTGTATTCCTGGAGCTACCACTGGAACTACGTGAGGAAGGACGACGACGAGAAGGACGAGAACCAGAACGGATGGGTCCCCAGCGGCGAGCGGTGCCGGGGCTACACGCTCAAGCTGAGAAACGAAGGGTTCGCAAACACGGTTTTTCTGCGGCGGCACTTGTATACTGCGGGGTGGACGTGGCGTTTTCTGAAGACCGACCTCGGATTCCGGGAAACCGACCGAGACGCCAAGTTTCAGCAAGAGTGCCGCTCGTTTGCCTATAACACTGGGGACCCCGTGAATGATGACGGTGAGGAGGCATACTTCGACGAATATGATGTCGACAAGGGGCCCAAAATGCTATGCATTGCAAAAGCGTCTGGGTCTCTGGAAAGAACTTGTGGTGCTAGTTTGCGAATGGTGGGCAGAGGACGACACTGCAAAAATACGCAGTCACGCATGACAAGTTTTTGAATTTTTATGTGTTTCGCTTTCAGCTGCGTTCTTTTTGCATGATAAGTAGACAAGAGGACACTTCTTTCCTGCTCAGGCAATATCACAGGTTTAAGAGTCATGTTAGACATTAAGCATGACAAGCTTGTTTCGTTCTAGTTCCAGAACACCAGACGTATTTGCATTTGATGCTTGTTCTTTTCCGGGGGCAAATGGGACGTGCTGGAGGTGGAGTGGAGACAGGCAAAGACATACCAAGTGCAAAAGTGTCTGGGTCTGGATGATTCTGAGACTTGTCATGCACGGTTTGCGTGAGCCATGACGTCTGTGATGCATGCACTAGCATCACAGATTTTTTGAGGGATGCTTGATGCCTATTCCGCATGACAAATGCCCTCGCCGTGTAGCAAAAATTCGACTCATTTTGCTGCTCATGCAACACAAATTTTTTTAGACATCCAAATGCAGCATCACAAGTTGCATTCTTCCAGACCCAGACATGTTTACATGTGATAAGACAGTGATCGGGCAGATATCAGGATGAAAAGTGCCGTTTTATCCCGGAACAAGTGGCGAAATGTTCTGATGCATATGATTTTCAAATGAAAGAACTATTGTTTTGTATTAAACAAGGACCGCTCCCGTTGTTGTTGCTCCTACTGAAGATCATCTACAGCGTTGTAGGCCTTGTAGCTGCCTTGTAAGCAGGAGCTCTTAATACATGAAAATTTCTGCAGCTACTAACTAGGCCTTTTTCCAGCGGAATGAATCTCTGCTATTCTGCTTGAAAAAATAACGTTGCTGGAATACTCTAGCTATGGAAGAAGATGGGCAGGAGTTCGAGGTCCTCCGTTCGGCAACTACTTCTGCAAAAACGCAAACAGGCTGGTCACTTAGACTTTATTCCGGGGTTCTAGGGGCAATTTTCATTTCGATAGTAGACCATCATTTCCGACGCAGTCATGTCCGGGGGGGAAGTATCCAGGAAAAAAACTGTGTAAGTGTAAGTTTCTTGGAGGAATAGCATCACAAGTTTGCTCTGCATGACACAGAAAATGAAAACCTGTCATGCGTAGCTAGGACGTGAAAACACGCACGGAAATTGCCTCTGATGCTTGTCCAGCATGACAAGTGTAACAGTTTTGCATTTTCTGCAACACAAACTTACACTTACACAGTTTTTTTCTTGGATAGGAAGTTTGGCTTCGCTCCTACACGTGCTCGGCCGCTCCCGCGGAAGAAAAAATTTTGCGGAGTCCGAGCGGCAGGCGCCCGCTGATTGCTGCCCCGGATAGAAATAACCGGGGCAGGAAGATGAACATCGGGGGCGAAGGCGCCCGCACGTCGTCGAGCGTGGAACAAAACGCAACGAACTCCACGAAGGAAGGCCAGGAGGAGAAGCCTTTTGTTTTTCGCTGCTGCTAAACGCAAGATCGATCGGTTCAGGATATAGGTACTTCTTGGACAAGTAGAACATCGACATATTCTGCATACTTTGGCTATCCCCGTTTCGTACTGAAAGAAATATTCTTCATACTATTCCCGTTTCGTAGTAAAAGAGCTGTTTTTTGTATCATGAAACTTGACCTTTGCATACACTATCCAACAATTTACATTGCATTATCTTCCCCCAGGAGCTTTTTTCACGCGACGGTCGTGAAAAGAAAAAAAATACGAAAGGCCACTTCAGTTGTAACTGCGCGACCGAACTACATTAACAAGCTGAAAGAAGAAGAACCCGAGTCAGTAATTGTGTCTTTTCTTGTTTGTTGTTTGTGGACAAATCTTCTGCCGACAGGTCCGCTCAAGAGGTGGATAAGAAAGATCGGCAGCGGACTTCTAGAAGAACCAGAACAGAGTGAGACGCATTTTCACTTTTTCATCCTCGTTCGATAGTCCGGAGGTGGGTACGGCCTCCAGGTCATTGTTTTTCCTCTTTCTCCGATACCGATTCATATCGTACACGTACTCGTACTCAATGTGCCGTCGGTTTTCTTCGTTCGTTCCATCGCGCAACCACGGCGCTTTCGCTTCTGTAATCGGCCTATGATCCTCTACTTCGTGCACAGAACAAAACACACGAAAGTTGACTATCCGTTAAAGTTTTGCATCGCCTTTTTGAAAACACAATCATAAACAGAGGCGCTGGATGAAAAAATAAATCGTGGTTGGAAATAAATGTAGTCGGCTTAATATTTTCGTGCTCTGTTCGTTCTGAATTCCGTTCATGCGGTCGACGTGCTGAAGCTTTCTTCTTTCTTGCTGGAGGAAGAATTTTTACTGGAGCATCAACATTGTGGTGCTCGTGACTGAGCATTTCTGCACACATTTTGTCCATTTACAACTACCAGCAATTCGGAAGAAGCAAATTTGTCCATTTCTCTTTCTTCGGAAGCAGTCCACTTACACAATATCTTTCCCCCTCAAAATTTTGTACAACAAGTAGAAGCACAACTTTTCTTCTTGCGTTGTAACTCTTTTAGTCGTCGTTGTAACGTAAGTATTTACTGAGAACAAGAAGCGGCCGCACTGCTACAATTCTTCGCCCGGCAGCGCAGTGGAAATGATTCCCGGGACGATGTTGAACATCTTCTTCAAGAGGTTGTTCTACAAAAAATCGGTTCCGTGCGCCGGCGTGGCCGCGAAGTTCATTCTGATGCAACACTTTTTCTACTGGGGAAGTGTCAACAACTGCGTGGTCGAAACGGCTGGTCTTGCAATCAAAACGACGACGAGTCCTGGTCTGCTGAGATTGTTGGCGAGGAAGGGAAAAACCACACGGAAGCTCAAGCATGGAACTCCTACACTAGAGGAGAAGGAAACTGATCCGGTTCTACTCTCTGTTCCTGGGCCGCGGAGCACGAGGAAGCGACGAGTCATTAAGGCTTCTTTTGCGGAAGAGCAGGGGCATGAAGCCGAAGCCTCGAACAAGGGCGGTGTTGATATCAAGTGCAAAAATGTCTGGGTCTGGAAGAATGCATGTTTGTCATGCTTGTCTAGCATAACTCTTAAACCTGTCATGCACATTACCCAAGAGCTCCGCTTTTCTGTGATGCAGAAGCGCAGTTTGTCATGCAGAATAGGCAACACCTAGGAGCTCAGAAACTTGTCATGCTGAGCCAGCCTTTGTAGCCTCATCATGAGACGCCACCCAGCATCACAAGCTTCCAGACCCAGACATTTTTACATTTGAGAGTTGAAGAGGTAAAACAAGAAGCAGCAACGACGGCGACGCAAACGTACAGCTACGACTGCTCAGTGACTTCCACGGAGGGTATCCAGGCGCTGGGGCCAGCTTCCCCGTGCGCCTTTGGAGGCTGCTATCACGTTGGTGCGTGGGAGGAGTGGGCTGCTAACCCATGGGAGTATCCTGTTCAAAAGCCGATACCCACGACCCCATAGTCAAGATGGGATGAGTTATTATGTTGTAATACAAGGCCGCAGGTGGGGCCGCGAAATGTAAGAGAAACTGCCCTCACATGTAAGATTTGTCTGAGAAGATCTCTGGGCTGGGGAGGCTTTTAGATAGGATACGAAGGGTCACGAAGAGTGCAACGAGGACGATAACGCAGAGGTGACGAAGACCTTCGAGCAGGTCCGACAACGGTGCGCCTTCAAGCATTGCAGGGGTGTGGGGTTTTTGCAGTACACTTGCAAGAGTTTGGCGAGCTGGGAGTGTGAAAAGTATGGCAGTGCCCTAGTTTCTAATGATTGCGGCGGATCCGTGGGTATCCATTGCAAATGTGTCTTGGTCTCGAGCACTTACCAGCGCAGATGTTTGCCATGCAGTTTCTGCATGAAGACCTTGATCCCCGAAGAACCCGATGCCGTGTGTGCGCCCCCCAAAGTAATCACGGGTTCGGCGAGCGCTCCTTAATGCCTATTCTGTAGGAGAAGTCCCGCCATCGCGTGGCAAACACCGACTCGCGTTCGCTCTTAATGCAGGACGGATTTTTTTATTATGGTTTCCTTTTGTTTTTTTTTCCAAAGAGCCGGTAAAATGCATTACAAATTGGACTTGAGGATCTTTTGAAAGTCGGTCAATCGGTCGTGTCCACTAGTGCAACTCGGTGTATGTTCATCAAGGAAGACAGTTCTACTCAAGATCGGTCGTGTATAAAGTTGTGACCCCTTCCGAAAAAAAAAAGAACAGTGAAGTCAGAACAAGCTAGAAATGCTGCCCATTTTTGAAAATTCGGTCACAATGTCACGAAGTAGATTTTAATTTTTAAAATTAGGGGCGTTTTTGATGGCAATTAAAACAAGAAACTTCTGTCGGTCATCGCTCTGTCCGTTGGGCCTGAAGGAGATCAGGTAGTAGAAGTAGATCTGTAATAGGGAAGCGTGCTGAAGAACGCAGACATAGCTTGGGCCGTTGATAGACACTTCGTGGGAGAGGGTTAGTGTAGCATTGCTGATGTAGAGTAGGAGCAGGAAGCTCAGGATTATTTCTTTCATCCTCTTTCTTTTTTTGGACGGTGAGACACCTTTGTAAAATAGTCCACGGCGTTTTCTTTGCGGTAGATTCGCGCTGAGTAGCAGTAATGTTTCCACATTATTCTCGAAGTAGTGTCTCGCCACGACCAGCCTCTTTTTTTTATTCTTTAGCAGCAGTACTTTCGCAAAAAGATGAGGTAGTGAGCAGCCAGGCTTCGTTGCCTTCCAGGTTTTAGGAGAGCTGCAGGCCCAGCGTTGGCGTTTTATTGTACGGGAAGGCAGAGAAAAGCACAAGACGCAATGGGGAGGAGCGCAGTGCAAGATCAAGTTCGGCTACGTCCTACGGCCATTGTGGATCAGTGCGGATGTGCCAAGAACGAAGAAATCGGTGAAGCTGATCAAACCGATGCCGAGCTTGGAAGAGGCGAACAGACTAAACGCCGCATTCGCAGCGGAGGAGATTTACTGGCACGAAGAACTGCCCTACGCAGTAATCAGGACGCAAAATAAGGGAGGAATATCGATGTTGCGACGCAACGAATGCCTCACTCTGTCGGCCGAACGGAAAAAGGAGATAAAGGATGAAATCGAAGATCTAGAAGCACGGGAACGCCGGGCAAGAGTAGCAGAGCAGATGCAGGAAAAAGAAGTGATGGACCCGCTACCAACAGTGCAGAGCCAAGCAAAGGACTTCCCCCTGACAATCTTGACGGCGAATACCCGGGGCTTTTGAAGCGGCAGCGCGGCCGCGCCGGAGTCACTGATAGCAGCGGAGTTGCTGAGTCTAGGGGCGCGTGTGTGCGTGCTCATAGACTGCAACTTCCCCAAAAATAAAGATGAGCCCTGGGACGCATTCGTGTGCATGATGGAGGAGCATTACGAGGTAATTCACCTGGAGGACGTCATCATAGCGGTAGCAAAAGGCGAACAGCTGCAACGGGGAGGAGACGGCAAGGCCTTTCACAGGATACCAGGCACGAGGTCAATGTATCGGTTTGCTGTAAATGGAATAGAAATAATAACGGGCTACGTCAGACCGACAACGCAGAACGGAGAAGAAACAAAACAAAGGCGGGAAGAATTGCAGAAGACCCTGCACGCGATGGACAGCGGGGCGGGAGCAAGGATGGTAGTAGGTACTGGTGACTGGAACTGGGAGAAAGTAGTCAGGTCCTGGACCGAAGAAAGGGAGGCGAGTGTATTAGACCTGATTCCGCAGTGCATTACCAGAGCGACGGTTGACTCCAAAACCCGCCCAGATGTGGCTCTGGTGAAGAATAAAGGGCAGAGCCAGGTCACAGCAACAACCCAGGAGCTGAAGTTCATTTTGTCAGACCACCAAGCCACAGTAGTGAACATCGATAGGGCAGCATTTACCAAACCAGCGGCAAGTAGTAAACCAAAGGGAGCAATGCCGAGGATGAGAGCACCGGCGGTGATGACAGCGGAGCAGATAGACAGATTCCAGGAGGAAATGGGGAAGTTTGCGGACGCAGAAGAAGGAGATTTGCAGCTGAGCAAACAGGTCAAAGAAGCGATGAAGTGCGCGGGGATCCAACTGTCAAAAACGAGACCAGCTCAGCGCCGCACGGTTCTAGTGGATGTTGCAACCAACAGAGTCATCCTGGATACGGAAGAAATCGGAAAGCTGCAGGAGGCGAGATTTAGGCGGAAAGAGCCGAAAGGAGGAGACCCAGTACCGGCCGAAGAAGTCCTGAAGTGGATACATCAAGCCCCCAGTAAACAGGCCGAATGGGGGGAAGGATCGTGGCAGCGAGCGGTAGCAGCAGTGCATGCGAAAAAATCGCCGGGCTTTACTGGTACGCGGCCAGAACAGGTCCGATTAGTACCTTCGCGGTACTGGTCGAAATGGGTCAAACAGCAGGCGGAAAAGTACAACAACCTTGTACCGATAGAATTCGAAAAAACAAATGTGATTGTGGGCCTCGACAAGACGCAAATAAATGCAGGACAGGTCACGAACCTCCGCCCAGTAGCCATACCCGAGGCGGGAGACAAACCAGGGGAAGGGCTGCTCCTGGAAGAACTGCACGACATCGCGAAACGGGTCCCGTTCGCTAATGCGTACATGCCGGGCAAGAGCGCCTGCGCGTCGCTGTTTCGGGTGGTGGTCTTCATGAACGAGAAGAAACCAGGGAAGACGCGAGCCATCCGGAAAGCGGATGTTGAAGGGGGTTTCGAGAATACCTTCCACAGCGAGTTGGTGAGGAGACTCCTAGAACGAGGTGCCTCGAAAGAGCTTGCGTTCCAAGTCTTTCACTGGTTGAGAGAGCGGACACATGCCTTGGTCGTGGATGGACTCGTCGTGAGGAAGTGGACACCGGCCGCCGGGATGGGCCAAGGCCCGAGACTCCCCCCGCCGCTGTGGGTCGTGTTCCTGGGGAAGCCGATCGACGCCCTCAGTCGGGAGATCATCCGGTTCGACCCCGAAGTGTTCGCAGACGACGTCTTGTTGGCCTTCGAGTTCGCTGCTGACAGCTACGCAACTGAAAAAGAGGGGGCAGACACATACCTCAAAGCCTGGGAACAGGCTACAGGTCTGACCTTCGGGAAGGTGGAGTGGCTGCGCGCGACGACAGGCTCCACCTCGGCCAGTGTTGACTTCGAGTATTTGGGGTTCTTGGTGCAGTCTTGTGGGTCCACAGTGCGGGAATTGGACAAAAGGATGGCGCGGATTAACTCCAACGCGAAGTCCAGGAACGCGGTGGAAAACGAGCAGCGGGAGCCTGCTGAGGACATCCTGCACTTCCAGCAGAAGTGCAGGTCCCAGATCACATACGCGGCTGCTGCCTTGTACGAAGGCGTAAAAGAAAACGAAGTCAAGCTGACGCAGCTACATCGAACGGTGGCGAGAGCAATAAGGGCGTCGCTTGGACTCTCCAACACCTTCCCCTTCCGGGCTGCCTACAAGTTGATCGGCATGCAAGAGGCGGTGGACCTTTTGAAGACAGAACATGAAGCGATGAAACTCTACCAGGAAGGGCGCGTGGGTTCTTTCGAAATTTCTGCAAGCGACATGCACCGCCAGCCGGAATGGTATGACGATACCAGGGTGGAAATAGTTGACTCGAAAGAAGCCTACCAGAGGCTTGGAGTGGAGCATGGCGACGAGGAGAAGCTCGTGAAAGTGATGGAAGAGAAGTACTGCGCACTGCCAGTCCCAGCAACGGATCTGAGGGCAAGCACCGATGGAGGCCTCGCCCCGAAAGCAGAGCGGGCGAAAACGCCGGACCACCAGAGGAGAGCCAGCTGCTACATCGAGTCGGCCACAGATTCCCAGGCAAATTCTTGGAAGATCTGGACGGACTTCCACCAGCACGATACCGAGGCGCTAGCGCTGCTGGAGTGCGTCAAGTGGATGAAGGAATGGTTGCGCGGAGATCTACAAACCATCTTCATCTTCGTGGACTGCAATAGCGTTTTGCAGTCGCTCGGAAACGCCTGCAACCGGAAGGAGATAATGCGGTCGATTAGACTAGCGGTCAACAAGCTGCTGGAGGAAAGCAAGACAGTAAAAGTAGTAATGCATTGGTGTCCGGCGCACCGCAACTTCCGCCTCAACGTCTTTGCGGACCTCCTAGGGAAAGCGAAAAACCAAGAACCTGACACACCGCAAGACAAGCCACTTCTTACGAGGAAGTGCGTGAAAAAGATGGTGAAAGACGACCTCCAAAGAACGAAGGAAGAGGAGGAAGAAGAAGAGGGAGAACACGAAGACAACACCTGCCTCGCGCGGGAACGGCGGGTGCAAGTCCTCGGGAGAGTCCCGCTGGCAGGTTTGACGCCACAACAACAGAGAGTGGTGATGAGTCTCTGGACGGGAGAATCATTTTTGCCACTCTCATTGACCAGAGAAGACAAAAACGGCTGGCCAGTGTGTAGAAAATGCGGCGCCTGCCTCAAGGTGCGGAATGTGAAGAACAAGCAGAAGCCCTGGATAACAGGGGCGAGAACGGGAGAAGACCTTGACGTGAGGCGGTTCAATAGAATAGTGGATCACCTCCTGGTTGAATGCAAAGCAGTAGAAGGAGCCGCAGACTACGCGGGGCGCGACGCCATCGAGATTATCAAGAAGGGGCCGAAAGTCCAAGCGAACAGGCTCCTCAAAGCAATAGGCAAAGCCGGAGACGCAATCTCCGCTGACAGCGGCTGGCCATTCCAAGCGAAACAAACAAAACCAACAAGGGCGGAAGAGGCGGAAAAGATACCAGGAGACTGGCTGGAGGAAGTAGCAAAAGCCTTGAAAAGAAGAAAACTGATTGCAGAGCACGCTGATGAGGTTGGGGAGTGAAGAGAAGAGGAAAGATAATTATTATCTCCCCGGTGGACAGCTCGTTTGTGCTGCTCTTCCGAAAAGACAGCTCTTCTTTTCCTCTTTCAGCAGGCTCGGTTTCTAGTTCTTTTTGCTTGAGCGGCAACCCGGAGCACATTTCGAAGAAAATTGTCTCCCCGGTGGAACGCTAGTTCGAAAAAGTTTTTGATCATCCGACGTTCAGCTTCTTCTCCGATCAACTGGCTCGGATTTTATCAACTCTCTGCTGTGGTCGCTTCTGAAAGAGCACTAGTACTAGCAAAGAGCAAAAGTATTATTAACTCCTCGACCTGTTGCTCGCCTCAAGCTGTCATTTAGTTTTATCTCTTTCCACCGCCATGCTCAAGCTCAGCTCACACCTGAGTAGAGAGCCAGTTTTTTTTTGTATCTATCTTTGACACGCACACACTCAACATAGCCACAAGACCGGAACAGGTCTTTCAACTCCCTTTGTTTTTTCATGCTGCTTATGCTGCTTTCCGTAAGGTATTCTCGAGCTAAGTGTCCATTTTTCTGGTACTTTACTAAAGGAAAAGCCACGCGGCCGACACTTAGCCCGAGGAGAAGGAAGGTAGCATTTTTCTGGTACTTTACAGAAAACTACAGCAACGAGATCCGGAAATTGTTTTCGTTCTCCATTTTGTACTCTTTGTTTCTTTTGTTTTCGATCTCCAAGCAAATCTAGTTTAGAACAGCAGCAGGAGATCTCAGGATCAAAGCAACTTTTTTTTTTTTTCTGTACGTTTGTAGACCTCAAACATCAAGAGAAGGATCCGGAAATATTTGCATACGGTCTATCCTTTGGTTTCATTTTGTACAAAGAGCATTACTTTCATGTCTCTCCTACTTTTGTTTCTTTTTGTACAAAGATCAGAACAAGGCCCCACACCCAGGCGAAGGTATCTGAAGGCTCCGCAGAGGGTCGAAGAACGGGTTAAGATTCCTATAAGCACGCCCTAGATCCCACGTGTTAGGGCTAAGCGGATAACCGCCGTGAATTTGTAGCACCACCGGGCCGCTGCCCGAGGAGGTTCTTTTCAATCGAGCTGCCAATCATACAGAAGAGACTGCTTTCTAAGCGAGACGAGCCACGTTTAAAGACACTTTTCTGCTAAATACCCTAAAAGTTAAGTTCTCAGCATTACAAAGCAGAAGAGGAATAGTCAGAGACACAAACAGAGCCAAGACAGTTAGGATTGAGAAGTGGTAAAACAGTTGACACAAGCAGGAAAGACAAAAAAAAAAATATAAGCAAGTAGTGAGGTGGCCGCAGCGAGCACAAAGAGGTCGCACCTAGAGCGATAGTGCAACGCGAGCGGCGCAAGAGCAATGAAAATTTTTTTTAAAAAAAAAAAGGAAAAGAAAAGTGAAAAAAAAACGGAAAAGATCGCAAAAGAAAAGAGAGAAGCTCAAGCACAGGAGGGTGCAGAGCAGCGACACATACTTGGTAGACCGCAGCAAAGTGTGAATAACTTCGCGTTGATCACTGCGCTCGGTGGCGTTGGGGTGACTGCTTCTTTGCTACGCGCGAAAGAAGTGGCTGGGCGTAAGCTTGGGGTGAGAATTTCCTCTTCGACTTCGTTAGGGTCAGGGTTTTAGCAGCGCTTGGCTTTTACTCGGAAACTTTCGATGGTTTGATCGGTGGATGGGGATTGCTCTTAATCTCCTGAACACTAAGGGTGGACAGGTGGTAACCCTGGTGGACACCAAACGGGTGTTCGTCCGCTACTAAAACGGGCGGCGTTCGGACATCTGGGATGCGGCTGGCGACCAACCCAGTGCAGGCAATTAACCTTGAGGAAGTTCTCGCATCTCTCTGACAGTTCCTGGCTCACCTGATAGCATTCCTCCACTATCAAAGAAGCTTGCTTCACATTGTTTTTTTTTCCTTCTCACCCAGAGAGAGGATCACATAAATTTGCGCCTTTCCAGGCCGAGGCACATGCTTGCAAAGGATAGGCAACTGCATGCACAATTTGGGCGATGATCCTGAATGGTATCGGAAGCTCGATAAAGATAAGGGCCGCATCAAAGAGAAACGGACCTGGACCTGCAAAGTCCCGGACTGTGTCGTGGCCGACAGCATCGCAGACGATGGGAACGCTGTACGGATTACAAATATCGATCTGGGTCTGGAAATTTGTGATGCTGGTCGTAGAATGACGAGCACGCGGCCACAACTGACGGCCAAGCATGACAAGGTTGTAAGATCATACTAGGTGCTGCCTATCCTGCATGTTGACAAACAGCATTTCTGCATGACAGAAAAAGGGTACAGCTGCCTAACGTGCATGACAGACATAAGAGTAATACTAGCCAACCATGAGAAGCGTTGCATTCTTCCAGACCCAGGCATGTTTGCATTTGATGCGCGTCTGGCTCGGATAATGACGAGGACCATGAGGAGGTGAACGAAGCGCCCGAGGGCCACGACTCGTCCGCAAACAAGTTATCGGATGAGGAGGCCAGTGAAGAAGTTATGGTTTGTGTGATGAGAGGGCAGCTCGGGCCTAGCGAAGCGGCCCGGGATACAGACGAGGGAACACAAAGCGGATTTCTATAAAAGAAAATGGCTCCGCCTGGCGTTGTCTGTGGTGTACGGTCCCGGGAAGACCTTAAACTCGAGGCCGTACGGATTTTATTCTCAAAATTTTTATCTTGGCCCGCTGCCACGTCCACACTCATACAAGCACCCGCTTCAGAGACTCAGTTTCAACTCCAGTTTTCAATACGGCTGGTCGGTCAATTTGGGCAACCTAAGTCCGCTTCAGGGATTCTCGTCCTGCCCGTTTCAGGGCGTCGGCTTACCGCGCCACATCATCGCCCCGGTTCAGGGCGTTGTTTTTTTGTGGCCCATTTCAGGGTGTCAGTCTCAGTTTGCCACAGCCTGCGCACGGAGGCATACGCTTCTGTACCTTCAATTTGTCCGGTGCCTTTGTCTTAACATTTGGTCTGCAGCTCACTAGCATGTCCTGTGATATGAACACTATCCAACCAGGAATCATTTTGCACACTTTGTCTTTCGTATCTACTGAAGATTGGCAATTTGGACCCCTTTCAGGGCGTCGGTTTTCGACTTTGTCCTTCCGACCAATTTCAGGACGTACGTACTTTCGCCTTTTCAGGGCGTCGACGGGCTTCCAAGGCTTGCGAGTACGAGTTTTAGCGATATTTCGATCCTAGTGCTCGTATCTTCGTCCGGGCCCGCGAGATAGTGGTGCGAGATGTCTCGACATCTAAACACAGTTCCTTTTCTTTGTTGCCTGCTGCAACATTTCGTCTTCTACTTCAGTTTCCTTTGGGCCTTGAGCAGAGGCAGCCCCGGGAGGTCAAGCTTAAGCCAGCACTAGTTCTCATCGTTTCCCGTTTTCCAGTAGCTCCCCACCTGTTGCTCATAACAATAGCAGTTTCGTGCACTCACGTTTGCCGTAGCTCTACGTTGCATGCAAGGCGCTGCGCCATCTACGCCGCTTGCAGCGTTCCAATGCCAAGCAACGACTTGGCCCTCTGTCGGATCTTTTTCATTGGCTCACTGCCGCCTATCCGCGTCGCCGTCCCGGCCTCTGTGTGCGTCCCGTTTCCGCTGCTGAGGCACGAATGCGGTGGCCGCCATTGGCTGGTGGCGGGGGCGCCGGATCTCGGGCTTCTGATGCACCTAGACGCGCTCGCCTGTGGTGGGTTGTGTAGTGCAAGTTGGCAGTCCAATGCCTCGCTAGCGCTCGAGGGCCACGGCTCCTCCGCGAACAAGTTATCGGATGAAGAGGCCAGTGAAGAAGAAGCAGTGGCTGAGGCGACCGGTGAACTGGAAGAGCTGCAAGCTATTCCGTATCTTGTGCAAAAACGAGGCCCGCGACAACGCGCCACATTAAGTACTTATTAAGCTGGCAACATGATACGCGTGGCTTGGATAATCATAATTGGCATGGTGCGCCGTCCGCAGGAGAAGCGATCTCTGGTGGTGGTTTTTTCCCTTTGATGTCATGAGTGCAGGGAAGAGATACAACTTCCGGTGCGATGATCTCACAGCTGTTGTCTGCACTCAGCAGGAGAATTGACCAGTTGATATTGATTTTATTTTTCGGAAGCTTGTGCTACTTGTTTTCCATGGCTGTTCTACTAGTGCTTGTCAAGAAGCACTTTGTTAAACATCATGGCTAGCCAGTTGTGCTGTCTAGCGCCCTGCTGCTGGGGAACAGCCAGGTACTTAGTATTAAGCTTGTACTGCAGAACGCGAGGAGTCATGAGCATGATCTGTGGCGGTCCTCGTCGTGTGGGGGTTTGTTTTTACACCGGATAGCATCCCTGTCGTTCTCGAGGAGCCCTGTTGCTGACGAAGAAGGGGTCGCGCTGTGGGTGGACAGGTGGAAGCAAAGACCACGAAAGGAGGGTACTTATCTAGCGTGATTGCGTAAGTTTTTTCACAATACAAATTTCCCGTTTCATTTTCTTCTGCGTAAGACAGGTCAATGAAGATCTGCAGCGTGGTACTTCTAGGTAACAACAACCCACAAAGCAGCTGGCAGAACGTAAAAAGTCTAAAACACAAAAACAAACAGGTGCGCCTCATCGCAGCAAGAGTTTTGTACACAAAAAAGAGCGCACTTTTGGACTTTCAGTTGCTTTTGCAAAAAAAAAATACGTATGAGAATAAACACGAAAAAACAACATATGAGAAAAACACGAAAAAACTACATAGATATGTTGAGAAAACACAAAAAAAAATAAATATGAGAAAAACGCAAGAAAATAGCAAGGCTCGTTTAGTTTAAGTGTCGTCGCGGAAAGCCCCGACACGACCGGGTCGATCATTACCCGGTCTGTTTAGAGGGCTTTCTATATGGTAGAAGCCACAAGTTTCTTGCCCAGCTTGTCTTTTTGTTGAAGTATCTCTGGTCACGTGAGGAGAAAGCAAAAAACTTCCAAGAGGTTCCGCGTGACCATCCACAACAAACAAGCAAACGCTTTTCAGTTTACTTTGTACTAACAAACTTTTACTTTGTACTATTTAACTGAGGAAGCCACGGCCTTGGAAAAAGGCGAAAGACAACCCCCGCTGTACCCCCGCGAGTCGGTCACGCTTCATTTTTTTGTAACCCCGGAATGTAAGATTTTTTTTGCAAAAATTAATTATCCCGAGAATGGTGGGAAAATAAGTAATATGAACGCATCCCAGCAGCGAATTGAAAACTCCCTCGGCGAGGAGTAGCCGGGGGCTTTTTGCAGTTTGTCGCAACGAAAAAGGTGGACCTTCGAAAAAATAATGTAGGGGCTTTTTTTGAATCGAAGATGCCAGCTTCACACGTCGTACAGCAACAAAAAGGCCATCTCGTCCTGTTTGCTCGTGCAGTGCTGGAGCAAATTCATTTCGTTCGCCCATTAAACGGGTTTTCGTTTTCGTATTATGCTTTTTCGTTCTACTGTCGTGACAGTCTTTTCGCCCCTTCTGCTATACGTTCTGCAATCTAGAAGTACTAATCCAAACGACAACGCGACTTCGGGAGCACGAGACTACTGTCTAATGTGCCACCTGTTGTGAATCCAATATTTTAAAGCCTGTACTAGTTGTTGGAAAAGAGCAAGGCAGTATAGATGACTACAACATAGTAGATCCGTCGAAATAGTAATTTCCAGGTACTTCTACTGCAGTCAGGATCATTATCTTTATCTTTTTCTTTCAGTCAGCAGGTTTATGTAGCTTCATCTTGACGCTTTCACCTATGCCTACCCATCCTCCAGACACCACGCCAGTCGTTGTTTCTTCATCTACGTACTTGTTCCCCACCCGTTGATAGTAGAAATACAGGCACGACAAGTTTTGCAACGTCGTTCTTTGTCGCGTAGTTTCGTCTATCGCTCATCAGAAATGGTCCTGTCAAAAAGGGCGAATCTTCCACCGGGAAGTGATTTCAGCTCGTCCTGCACTCCTACCACGGCAATATGCGCCGGGGCCCGCTTTACCCTTTGCGCAACCTCCGCTACCACGGCGCGACAGTGAGAAATCCAAAGAACAAGTGCAAGCTTTAATATTTCACTTGCGCGACAGCGAAACTTTTGGGAGAAAAAACCTAGTATTTTTGTGACAAGCAACATGATTTCCATTTCGTGCGGTTTGTTTTTCGTCCAGTTGTCGTCAACTACAACACTAGCGGCCGGGCTGGGAGTGGTGGAGAACGATGAAAAGGAGAATGGAGATAATACCCAGATATGAAATGCAAATATGTCTGGGTCTGGAAGGTGGCAACTTGTCATGGTAAATCTGAAGCATGCAAAAATCTGTGTTGCATGAGTGCCAAAAGCTGTCCACCTTTGACCAAGTTGGAAGGGAGTTTCTCATGCAGGATAGGCATGGCAGAGACCTCGCAGAGTCTGTCATGCTAAGTCCCGCATTCCAGACCTCATGGGTCATGGAAAATCTGCATGACAAGTTTACACTTTTCCAGACCCAGACATTTTTGCACTTGATACCAGAATATCCACTGCAAGAAGATGAAACATGTCGTGGTCCTGCTCTGGAACAATTGCTATAATCTGTGATGCTAAAAACTCTACTGGAGCAGACAAAAAACTTGTATTGCATATTAGTGCCAGGGCCAGCAAAGAAAGTAAGAGGCTGGCCTTTTGCTGCGCAAAGGGCGAAAATTTCTCGTCGTGCACGGGAAGAGGAAGGACCAGAAGCCTTCATCGCAAGGAAACCTGGAAGTATGCATCGAGTGCCATCCAGTTTATCTTTCTGTTGCAGAAGATGCATCATGGCATCAAACATCTGCACAAGTTGTCCAGACCCATCAGACATCACATTTGCAAACATGCATACGAACAAACGACCTCGAGCAGGGGTTGCAGCGTCTCGAAGAAGGCCGACGTCGAAGAGAAATCGCGAAAAGTATCAGGCTATCGTCCACCGGAGGTGGCGCTTCGGGAAGAAGTGCAACAACCTCCGCTGTTGAACATCAAGAAGGAGGACGAGAAAGAACTGCGAACTTGTTGCAACTCCTCCGCATGCGGAGAGAGAACAAAAAGAAACTGCTAGTCCAGAGGAAAGCCAGCTTGCAAGAGGAGCAAGAGGCGTCGATGGCCTGCGGCGGAAAGGAGGAAGAAGCCCAGGAAGAGCAGGAGCCGGGGAAAGATCATGATGAGTGGAACAATGTTTACAACGGCAAACCCGACGACTTGCAGCAACAGCTCCTGCTTCAAGAAAACCAAAACGCCGTCGGGCCGCGTGACACCAGAAGGCTCCATCGTATCAAATGCAAATATATCTGGGTCTGGAAACTTGTGATGCTAAAACGTGGACGATAGAAAGGAAACTGCTCCGGATGCAACCCGGCATAACAACTTTCCAGAACGATTTCTCATAGGAAGTCCGCGCGAGAGACTGCGTTTATGCAGGTACAAAAGAGGCCGCGACTTTTGTTGGTTATGCAATACACATTTCCTATGTATGGAAAGCATGGGTTACAAATTCCAACCTACCTTCCTTCCAGACCCAGACATTCATATTTGCAATGCATACATCCAGAACCACAACAAGACTTCACTGGGTCCGAAGGCAGCACCGCATCCGCAGAAGCCGGGCGGGGTCCCCCAGCAGCGGGGACCGGTAGCCGGAGGCGGTTCAGGGTCGGTGCCGGGTCCCCGCTCTATCATATCAAATGCAAACATGTCTGGGTCTGGAAAGTTGTGATGCCCAAATGTGGAGGATAGAGACAGTTCCGAATGCAACCCAGCATGACAACTTTCCAGCATGACAACTTTCCATAGGAAACCCGCGTGAGAAACTACGTCTTTGCATGTACAAATAAGGCTGCGACTTTACTTTTGCTGGTCATGCAATTATTAATACGGATTTCCTAGGAGTAAGGAAAGCTCGGCTGTGGGCAACGAGTCACTCTGCAAACTCACGATGAATAATAGCCCATATCTGTTGAAATCAGGCGGACCGACCACAACGCTGGCAGTTGGACAGAAAAACACGAGCGCAGTAGGTGGGCCTTCCGTGAATTTGGGGAGGAGCAGACAGGACGACATGCCGGCTACTGGATCTTTTTACTCACAACTACCGCAGTCAGACAAGCGCTGACTGCAAACGAGGAGAAGCGAGGTCCTGCAAACCAGGGCTGCGAACCAGGACAGTGTGCTCCAAGAAGTGCAACATCGTCGACACATTTCTAGAAAAAAAGTTATCGCGCCACCGTTTATCTCAATCCCTCGCACGCTGGTGCCGCAATTGCCGAGAGGATGAAAGGAGAAATATCAAATGCAGCAAGCGTGTCTCCCTATGCACTGCAGAACTACAAAGTAGTTACAGAGAGGAATGAAATTTGTCATGCGATCTATGAAATTTGCCATGCGATCTATACTATAGATCGCATGACGAATTGAAGGAAAAATACCAGGTCCCTGCTGCGAAGCCCGCAACGTGCACGAATATAAAGGGAACCCCACTAAACACCAGACCTAGGCGGAGCGTTGGTTCATCGCTGAAGATGTAGAATAGAACGAGACTCGAATAGCTTCGCCCGCTCGGTTTGACATCGCAAACTTGCGCTAGAAAGAGCAATTTTCACAGAGTTCACAGTCTGGGGCGGGGAAGCAGCGCACGGGGCAGCGCGACGTAACTTGGCATAAACTGCAAACAGCATCTGATCTGGAAGCGATTGACACCGCGACCCGAGCGCACGACGCGCGGGGCGGTAAATCATGCCTGGCAGGGGACACACCTCGGGCAGATTCCGCGTGAACATGCATGCGCGCCGCCACCTGCCCCCGCTAGGGGGACGGCGCATACTTGCAGCAGGCCGAGCCCTCTTTTGAAAGAAGATAGAAGTCGAACGCCTTAGCCCCATGCCCGATCGCTCTAGGTACTTAGCAGGCGCTTGGATCTCCGCCGTAGGCTTGGAGTATTGACTTGATTACGTTCTTAAATTGGCTGCGCTAGTGGCCCGCACTTGAATCGTCGCGCCGTGGATCGTTTTAGACCGTAGAGTGCCGGAGAGCGGAAAACAGCCGCGGTAGGCGCGTAGGCCGCTCATGTTGAAAGTCTTGTCTTATATATCGCATGCCCTCGGCCATGCGCATCCTATTTCCAAACAGCGACCACCTATTTCCGTCTCACCCATGCAGACTGCACCCAGAGCGTTGGTTTGCAGTGCGCCTCTGTTGTCATCTTCATGCATTAGTTTAGATCTATGATCGCCGCCAGCGCTTTTATTTTTTTCCTCCAGCAAGCTGTCTTTTTTTCCTGCTACGCTTTTATTTTCTAGTTTCTTGAAGACATTCAGATACTTAGCCGCCACGCACACAATGTCGAAGGAGGAGCATGGTTCGCGCGAGCGCGGCCGATTTGCGCCAATTCGCCGGGATGTCATTTACCACCGGCGCACGGGTGCGCAGAAGGAGCACAGGGAGCCGAACGCTAGGGGGGTTGCGGCGGAGTACATTTGGGCCGGGGATTCGAAGGCCGCCAGTGGCCACATTGTGTCGTGGTTTTTCACCTCGCAGAAGCCGAAGCGCCAGAAGGAAAGCGAGCGCCATCGTGTTCGCCTGGCGACTGGGGACTGGTGGCTGATTTCGTGGCATCGGGCGAAATTTTTTCTGGACGAAGTCGTGGGAATCTCGGAAGACTATACGGACGCCATCGACGCAGCATTTTCTGCGGTGCGGCCAGATGTCGCACTGCTTCCGACGTCAGCGCTGCACTGGTCATAGATCTTGGCAGATTTAGGGTCGACGTGTCCGGTTGGTTTTTTTTTTAGAAGTCCTGCCGACAGGTCTCTTTGTGATATAGTCATAATGTATACGCGCTCTATTCAAACTTCCTTTGGGGATTTTACTTTCTATATATGAATGAAAGAAGATTGTGAGCGGCTTTTTACCGGAGTAGCTGCCGCCGTATTTCCGATCGATCGAAGATGTTCGCCATGGTTTGTTATAGCCTGATGGGCCTCAGCCTGCTCCCGCGTTTGCTTCCTTCCCTGGGCAGTCTCGTTGGTTTGCAGATATCTTGGCAACTTTAAGATCTAAGCCTATGACTTTTGATGTGAAGACTCACATGCGGGGGGCCCTCGCCCCCCCCCCGCGCCCCCCCCGCCCTTTCGATGTGATGATATTGCGCCTCAATCTGTATGAGTTATTTTTTATTTTTGAGATGAAGACTTACATGCGGGGGGCCCTCGCCCCCCCCCGCGCCCCCCCCGCCCTTGCGATGTGATGACATTGCGCCCCGATCTGTAATATGAATAATTTTTAAATATAAGATTATAACTCCAAGATCTAAATTTCTGACTTTTGAGATGAAGACTCAATGCGGGGGGCCCTCGCCCCCCCCCCGCGCCCCCCCCGCCCTTTCGATGTGATGATATTGCGCCTCAATCTGTACGAATGATTTTTATTCTTGAGATGAAGACTTACATGCGGGGGGCCCTCGCCCCCCCCCGGGCCCCCCCCGCCCTTGCGATATGATGATATTGCGCCCCGATCTGTAATATGAATAGTTTTTAGATATAAGATTAAAGCTTCAAGATCTAAATTTATGACTTTTGAGATGAAGACTTACATCTTGATGAAGGCTCGTCGATTCAATTATGAAGATTGAGACTATGACTTTGAGAAGATTATGACTTTATTTTTAAGATAGGATAAGATGTTGATGATTCCAAGATGAGATAAGAAGTTGCGACTTTTGAGATGATTCGATTATGATTTGAGATTGAGAATTGAGATTCGAATCTTTTGAGTATGAGGTTATGACTTGAAGATATCTGAATTTAAATAGTGAATTGAACTCAAGTTGTGAACTGTACTCAAATGGTGAACTGAACTCAAAGGGTGAACCGAACTCAAAAGATGCACTGAACTCTTGAACTCTTGAGCATTTTGAATTATTCGCAAGTCTTGCAAAGATCTTGTAGATATGACTATCAATTGTACAAAGCAGCGGCATAGAATAACCTTGTACCACATGAGCTACGTAGCTGCCTGGTCCCCTGGTACTAGTAAACTCAAGGACAGCGACCTGGTATTTATTAAGCAGACCCATTCCTCAGCATGACTGTCGTGCGAAAAAAGAAAAATTCTTGCAGCAACAGGTCCTGCTTCGAGATAACCAAAACGCCGTCGGGCCGCGTGACACCAGAATGAACCGCTGGCAGGTTCCTATTGAGGTGAGTCCTCGCGGAGCTGTTCTTAATAAAGATGCACTTGCGGCTTCTAAGCAAAAGCACACGTCTTGGCTAGTACAGCTGCTCGTACGTAGTGAACCAAAAACAGCAGGACTGGAACAAGAAATGTCGTGAAAGAACTTTTTCAACAAAAATCTGCCTTCGTGGTCGTGCGCCAATCTTGCAAGTCGTGGTAGAAATAAAAATTCGTGCATCATCATGGTGATCTGAAGCTTATCGTTCTTAACCGTATCGTCGTTCGCACGCATAATGTTTTGGAGAGGTGGTCACTTTGGATGCAAATACATCAAAAAAATCCTGTGACCGCCTACAACATATCCATCGAAATAGTAATTGCAAGGCGCTGTTGTTGACAGGTTGATTTTTTTGTTTTTAATCAGCAGGTTCAAGTAGGTTGATCTTGATGTTTCTACTTATGCCTACCCATCTTGTTCCAGACAACACGCCAGTCGTTGTTTCTTCATCCTCCCCACCCGTTTACACCTGATTGCACCAGACACAGGCCCGGCAAGTTTTGCAACGTCGTTTGTCGCGTAGTATCGTATACCGTTCGTCTGTCACGATAAATATGCCAGAACTGGTCCTGTCAAAAAGGGTGAATTCACCGGGCAATGATTTTAGCTCGTCCGGCAGCACTCCAACCACGATCCGAACCGGGGGCCGACCGTACCCCTTCCGCAGCCGTGGCTACCCCAGCACGACAGTGAGAACTTTTCCAAGAACGAAATGCAAGCTTGTGTTTTGCGCGACAGCGAAATTTCTGACGCAAAACTTTCTCTACTGGGGAAGTGACAATGCAGTGGGAACGGCAGGTCTTGCAGCAACGACGAGTCCTCTGGTGAAATTGTTCGCTAGGAAGCGAAAAACTACACGGAGGCTCAAGCATGGAACTTCTACAGTGGTGGAGAAGGAAACTGATCCGGTGCTGCTCTCTGTCCCGGGAGGGCCGCGTATGACTAGGAAGCGAAGTATTAAGCTGTCGTTTGTGGAAGCGCAAGCAAATGCAAATGCAAAAGAGACCATGAGGAGCGAAGTGGTGGAAACCACCAGGACCGCCACGTCGTCGGGTCAAGAAAACCAAAAGGCCGTCGGGCCGCGTGACACCAGAAGGAGATCAACTATGAAATGCAAAAATGTCTGGGTCTGGAAGATTGCTGCATTTGTGATGCATGTCTGACATGACTCAAGAATCTGTGATGCATGGGCACCGAACGGTCTTCGTACCTGTCATGCAAAAACGCAGCTTGCCATGCGGAACACGCAACACATAGGAGCTCAAAAATTTGTCATGCGTGGCACCGTATTGCAGTGGAACTCTCACTCACTTTTAGCATCACAAGTTTCCAGACCCAGACATATTTGCAGTGCATATCAACAGCCCCAGTTGTAGCGTTGTTAGAAGGAGGGACAACGAGGTAGCAAATGCAAATATTATGTCTGGTGGTCTGGAAGAATTCATCATGTTAGTTTTGGACATTCATATTAGGCAAGCACGCAGGGCAGGACAAGAGCCGCAGAGCAGGACAAGAGCCGCAGAGCAGGCTTCTCCATGCCAGCGTGCATGAGAACAAATGCCCTCTAGTACTGCGGAAGACAAGAAGCGCGCGCCTCTTGCTGACTATCCAGCAGAGGTGCAACTAGTTGCCTACTCCAGGAGACTCGGGGGCATCACAAGGAAGTTGGCAAGATGTTTCTAAGTACACCCAGACGTATTTTTTGCAATGCATACGAGGTCAGAGCTAATGAATAAAGTAAAAATAACCACGAAAACCGCCACATTCACGTATGCGACCAATTGCAGAGTGGGTACCGTGAGTATCACCAGAAAGAACTGCGAACGCCACCCACAAATAAGAAGTTTAGAACTCCAGAAAATAATATATGGCTGTTACGTTGCACTTGCAGTTGTACTTCCTTGCATCATTTGTTTCCACCGACATCAAGTGACTTTTTGTACTCATGCGGCAGGACGATGATTATACTCTACTAGGCAGGTTCATTTTACAACGGCAAGCTTTATTGGCACGGCTAGGCTGTGAGCCGAGCAACAGCTGCAACAGCACAGGGCAAAGTTTGAGGTATTTCTAGCATAACGCTCTCGAAGATGAAAATACTGTTTCTGCAGCCCCCGTATATGAAAACAAGAACAAGCGCGAAAGATTGTCTTTTACACTACCACGGGAAAGTGGGTGGGGCGATTTTCCATCTTGAGAAGGGAAGCCCTGCACACGCTCGGAAACATTGGGGGCTGCTGGTTTGGAGGCTGCTACAACGTGGGCCCATGGGATATGGCGTTCTCAACTCTTTACATTCTCAGCTGTTGCGTGAATTTGTCATGCAAAAACAGCAATAGGGAAAGGGGAAAGCTTGCAAGTCTTGCATCACAAATTTGGCACGGATTTAGATGCTGTTTAGCCCTTCGATAATTTGTCATGCGAAGCAGCTTGATCGCCTCGCGGCTCATGGTCATTTTGCATCACAAATTCATGTAACAGTTGAGAATGTAACATTTGAGAACGCCATATGGGCCGAGTGGAGCCATGTGGACACGGACAATCATGTGTGGTTCGTACTACAGTGAAAAATGCTCCCGTGCATGAAAGTAGTATGAAAGTAGTATGAATCTTTCTGATGCAGAGTCTACTAGGCGTACATGGCATCGCTTGCATGACAAACGCCGCTCTCGCTGGGATCTTTTGCAATGCAAACTTTTGCTATTCACGATTGGAAATCTGTGATGCTGATAGATGCAAGAGGGCGAATGTTTCATGTAAGGTTTGCAATACAAATACTCACATGTCCGGAAGTGGGGGCATTTTTCATTGTAATAGTTCGACCGCACAGAGTGCAACGGACAGGACAACGCTGTGGTAGAGCTGACGTCCCCGCACACCTTTCAAAAGCGCAGAAGGAAGTGCGCCTTCAAGCACTGCATAGGGGAATATGCAAGACATTGTAACGGGTCCAGTGCGTGCAAGGACGGCTCGGGGAGCGCAATTGAGGAGGGACGGAGCTGGATCTGCACACTCCCGAACTGTGTGAACATCGGCGCGGACGGGGTGCCAGAGCCACAGGAGAAGCCCGTCGACATGACCTCTACGGCGGCTCCCGACACGTCCTCTGTGATAGATCAGCTCTTTAGCAGCAGCACGACCACGACGACAACAGCGCCGCCTAATCAGGTGGAGCAAGTAGAGCAGTCTGGGGACGACAGTGTCCTTCCGACAGGCGACCGCTATCAAATGTAGAAATGTCTGGGTCTGGAAGAGTCATGCTGTTTTTGCACGACACAGAAGGTCTGGCATGGATACTCTAGCATCACAGGTTTCGAGAAGCTTCCGTCATGCCGAATCTGCATGACAAATCCCCCATTCTGGTGACAGAAAGTGGGCAGCTTTTGCTAACTATGCATGAGAGATCTTTCTGTGTTCTGAAATGCGCATCACAAGTTTGTATTCTTCCAGACCCAGACATTTTTGCAATCCATAACCGCGAAGCGATAGCAACAGTAACGGACGGGGCCGCGAATCAAGAACCCGCTGTGCCGGGCGTAAGCGCCGCGAATGCAGCCACCCTGGCGGCTGACCCGCTCGCGGGGGGCGATGGGCCTTGCTCGACCGCCAGCCTCGGGCTGCTCATTGCCGGCGGCGTGCTTGTCTTGCTGCTGTGCGGTGTGGCAGGGAGATGCTGTCGCCAGGAGTACTGCTATGCAGACGACGACTTTTTCTTCGAAGAAGCAGAGCCGTTTGCAGAAGACGGAGGCGCCTTGGGGGCGGCGTTCTACGACGACGGCGCAGGTTATGGATGTGTCAGAGTTGAAAGCGACAAAGTTGAAATGATTTGTCATGCATAGAATGGATGCCAGTTGGAACCCAGTTTTCAAGTGGCGCATGACAAATTTTGGTGGTCTCTAAGTCTAGTTTGTCATGCTGTTTAGGCAATAAAGAAGAGTGATTTTCTCATGCTACTTTAGCAGCTCGAGCTGTAACCACAAACAGGCTTACAATCGGCCTCCCTTGCCTGCTCTGCAACACACGTGCCTCGGGTCATGCATTTTATGCATTACAAATTCTTTCAACTTTGACGATTTCAAACCTGGCGCTTCCATACAGGTGGCTATGATTTTTACGAAGAAGAATGGTACGGAAATAAAGGGAAGAGCAAAGGTGGCTACGATTCTTACTACGGAACAAGCAGCTATGCGCCACCGCGCGGCCCGAGCAAGGGTATGGGGTGGAGTACTAAGGGCGGCGGCGGAGGGAAAGGGAGCAAATGGGGAGGAGGGTACGGAAAGGACAGTTGGATATACTGAAAAAGGAACATCAACAAGAACATCGGTTGAAAACCAGGGAAAACGGGTGAGGAGAAGTAATCTGAAGGGCTACAACTTCACGGAGTTCGCTTTTATCACGTCAATACAAGAAAATAAGAAACAAGCGTAAATTTGTTTTTGTTGCTTTACCGTGCCGTTTGTCGATGCATCATCAGGCACGCATGGTGAAGATCTGGTGTCGGTGACAGTCCGTGCGGAGGCTTCTGAAAAAGGATCTCTCAAAATGATAAAACACTAGCAACTTCTGGAAAGATGCTAACGCTGTAGAGAAACTACCATTTTTTTCCAAAACCTAAACCCAGAATGAACCGCTGGCAGGTTCCTATTGAGCTGAGTCGCGGATCTGTTCTGAAAGATTCACTTGCGGCTAGAAACAAGAAATGTCGTGAACCTTTTCAACAAGTAGAATCTGCCTTCGTGGTCGTGCGCCAATCTTGGAAGTCGTGGTAGAAATAAAAATTCGTGCATCATCATGGTGATCTGAAGTTCACCGTTCGTCCCCGTGTCGTCGTTCGCACGCATAATTTTCTGGAGAGGTGGTCACTTTTGATGCAGGTAGAGGTACATCAAAAAACTCTACTTACCGCCATCGTTTAAAAATGAAAGCCCACTTACTCATTCTGATTCCGTGTGCATCTTCACCAGGCCAGAAAACTACGTACGAACAAGATTTCTACTTGTAGCCTGTAATGTAATTTCCCCTAACACCTTACCAGAAGCCTGTGGCGTTTCTTGATCACTCGTTGTTTTCCATCTCCTCTTTGCTGGTCGGCAGTTACTCGGTCTGCTTATGCGGTACGAATACTTAACAAGGAGGTGATATGGAACTGTCAGGATCGAAATTGACAAAATCGAAAAATTTGTGATGCATGAAATGCACGACGCGAAATACGTGTGTTGCATAGCAGGCAAGTGAGGCCGATTGTAAGCCTGTTTGGGGTAATAGCTCGAGCTGCTAAAGCAGCATGAGAGAATCAGTCTTCTCGGCCTAAACAGCATTACAAACTGGATTTAGGCACCGCCAGAATTTGTGATGCGCCACTTAGAAACTGGGTTCGAACTGGAATCCATTTTATGCATGGCAAATCATTTCGATTTTGTCAATTTCGATTCTGACACTCCCATAGGTGATCTTCATCTTTTCGTCGTTGTAAAAATCACAGTGAGTACAACTGCTACAACAGCATGAGAAGTAAAAGCTCTACGTCTACCACCGTGTGGCTCCTGTCGCAACTGGTTATTTGGTGGCTCAGTATTTTTACCAGTTGCGATTTTTATTTGGAGGAGTTGTTCGGCTTAGGACCTATTTTTCCAACCCCTTATAATTTGAAGTTGAACTTAGATTTTTCCGAAAATAACCATCGCAAAAATCCTGAACGTCTTCACAGCAAAAATTTCGTTGCAGCCTACACTCTGAAATTGACCAAGGCATCAACATCAACCACCGGCGGTGACCGCGACGGTACTAAAAATCCAGGAGTGCAGCATGCCGACGGTCGTACCGAACCACTCGAACGTCGAGCGACGCCGAGTCAAGACCTTGAGGACCAAGTCCCCGATTTCCAAGGGCAGCATTTCTTTCAACAGGACGATGGGAAAGTGAGTCGGAGAAGTTATGATCTTCCCGAAGTAGATGTAGACATGGAGCCTCGTCGTGGTCCACCTGAAGTAGTAGGATTTCTTGGCGGTCGTGAAGAAGATGTTGACCACCTCGTCGCTGCGCCAGCTGCGGGCAAGGATAGCACGGCCACGGCATCTTCGCTCCTGAAACAAGAAGCAAGTGGAGTTGTTGCTGGCACGAGGAGAACTAGAACTACAAGCGACACCAGAAAGAAAGACACTTTATTGTTGGAGAAGCAAAGCGCGTCGACGGGGTGCGGCGACAAGGATCATGAAGAAGTAGACCAGGACGAGGAGCCGGTGGGTGAACATCAACTGTGGAACGATAAAGATCGAGATCCTAACAAGGCTGAGGAGCTGATGCAAAATCAAAACGTGGACGAGGATAAAGCTCCAGCAGCTCTGTTGGAAGCGGGAGGTGGAACAACTGCGAGAAGATCGGAAGTTGTAGAGAGCGAAGTAAAAACCACGAAAACGACCACGTTCACTTACGCGTACGAATGTGAACCAGATACACACGACTGGAACGGCGTTAGCGGAACGCAAAAAGACAAACTTGGGGAAGAGCCTGGTTGCTGGGCTGGCGGATGCTATCACGTGCGCAACGAGTGGAAAGAATGGACGAACGTTCCACCAAATGGGGAATGGTTGCCTATCACATGGGAAATAAACACAGTTTCACTAGAGAGGCTTCAGTGCCTGCAGACTTTAGTTTCGTATGTGGGATGATAAGACACGACTGGCATTTGGTTCATTTCTGGTGTGGGTGTGGCTCCAGGTTCAGTATGTTGCATGAAAGGCAACGCAGAATCAATTTTAGACAGCTGCGAGCACCGCACCTCCAGCAAGGTCAACATGTCGAGCCATGAGATCCTGGTCCCTATGTACTTAGAGCGCGCTGGTCCCACCTATGTCGTGAGAGCGTGTTCTTCAAAAAGAAACAAAGAGCAGTGGTCCTCGAACAAAGAGGTGAAGGTTCTTCGCGATCAGCGGAACAAACAGGTCGAAGGTAAATCCAACGCTTTGATGTTGATGGCAGCGGGCTTTGCTTGGCCTGGGGAGAGCTGTGTTTATTTTTTCAGGTTGATGGTACCGGACCGAACGGTTTGCAACACAGACCCGAGCACTTCCAAAACTTACACCTCTGCGGCGGGGTTTCAGCGGCAGGAAAGGACGTGCTGGTTCAAACATTGCAAAGAGGATGTTAGGGCAAAGCACTGCTTCAATGATCACACGTGCCATAAGGATGGAGACGAAAAGGTGATAAAGCAACGGCGCACCTGGACCTGCAAGATTCCGGATTGCGTTACCCGGTGGAAGATCGAGCTTGCATTACGTACAAGTCGGATGAGAAGTACCCGAGTGTGTTTTTGTGCACGACGAATATATAATACTATGGTGTACTAGCTGCGCCAAGCTTCCCAAGAAAGAATTGTGCCGCTGTATTTTGAGTGCATGCAATTATCAAGAACGTGATTGACAAGTAGCCTCTCCGAGGGGTCGTGATCGAGTATAGACTTTTGCTTTGTACGTAATTCAAGAAGATTTTGACTGCATGCGCGTCAACATCAACGCAGACGGGGTTCCGGAGGCGGAGGAAAAGCCCTCTGACATGACTTCCGCGGCTATCAAATGCAAATACATCATCTGGGCCTGGAGGTGGAATGCGAGTTTTAGTTTTTGCCATGCTGTTCTTGCATGACATACAGGGTCTTGTGTGCACCCCCCCTAGCAAGAACAAGAAGACATGTTTGAAATGGCTTTCGCAATGCCTAATCCGCATGACAAATCGCCTCCTTCGATGACACGCAGTGGGCAAATTTTGCTGTCCATGCATGACTGACTTCTGTGTCATCTCAGATGCGTGGCATAACAAGTTTGTACTTTTCCAGGCCCCGAGGACATATTTGCAATGCACAGTGGCGCCAGAGGAGCAATCCGATTTGGATGACATGTTGAACACGGAGAACCCCTCGGAAAGTACCACACCCAACCCGTCTGAGGCGCCGGAAGATGGTGCGGGTAGTGGTGCAGGCGCAGCTGTCGTCTCTAGTACCGACGCCGGCGCCGGTGCCACGGCCGCCGCGGATGCAGCCGACCCTGCCGCCAATGCGAGCAATGCGGGGTTCTATCAAATGTAAAAATGTCTGGGTCTGGAAGTGTCATGCTGTTTTTGCATGACACAGAAGGTCTGGCATCGAAGCTCTAGCGTCGCAGGTTTCGAGAAGCTTCCGCAATGCCGAATCCGCATGACAAGTCCCTCACTTTTCTGACAGAAAGCTGGCAGCTTTTGCTACGTATGCATGACAGACTTTTCTGTGTTGTGCAATACGCATTACAAGTCGCATTCTTCCAGACCCAGACATTTTTACATTTGATAGGTTCACTTCCGAAGCAATCGCGGGAATGATCGGGGGCGCGGTGCTGGTGGTCGTGCTTTGTGGCGTCGTTGGGGCGTATTGCCGAAGTGGTCACTATCCCGTGAAAAAACGTCCTCATCCCATAGTTGTCATGCACTTCTGCATGCCAAAAACGTTTCTCATGCGGACCCCTATGAGAAGCATTCTCTGTTCGTGTTTTGCAATCTGTGATGCTAGAATCAGCATGCTATGCTAGATCTGTGATGCTTCTGAACTAGCTAGACAGGATGACACTAGTACGAGGACAAACTTGTCATGCCAAACAACCAAAGCTGGTTGATTTGTCTAGCAGATCTCCCATCTTGACGCTGGTGTGGGGACGTCTTTCATCAGGATAGTCACCACGACGAGCTTTACTACGACGACGGCGGGGGCTACTACGAAGGAGACGGTGGTGGAGACATGATGGGGTACGGCGGACCACCCGGATACGGGGGCTTTGACGACGGGGGGTATGGAAGCTACCGGCCCTCGGCTATGCGCCCCAGCAAGGGGATGGGCGGGAAGATGAGCAAGGGAAAGGGCAAGTACAGCAAGGGTGCGAGTGGCTACGGAGGTTACGGTTATTGAATAGAGGTCGGAAGGAAAAGGCCTTTATTGCGTGTAGACACCCGCTGGAAACTACAACTACAACTTGTTGAGTACTTTACTTTTCTCTCACTCGCGTGATTGAAATCGGCTTTGTCTACTGTGCCTCTATCTACAGTATCCTCTTTAGCGCAGTAGCATTTGATGCGGCCACGAAAGAGGGCAAAAATTGTCTCACTTCGTTTTTTTAAGCACGACTTGTTTCTTCTTCTTTCCTTTCCTTCATCATATCGGAGCTTTGTTGCAATTTCATTTCCAATGAAGTTCGACATTTTGACTTTCCTGTGCACAACTGGTTTCTAATTTTACTCTCTCATAATTCTCCCACGATGATGGCTCTTCTAGTGGGAAGATTCTTCTAGGACTCGAAGTGCAAGACAAACAAGCCCCGACTCTTGAAGTGAAAGATGCGAGTGGGCTTCTTGAAGTGGTGAAAGATGGTGCCAGTCGCTAGTGCTTGTTTTCATCGCAGTTTCCTGAATCGTGCAGCTCGTGCGGATTGTTATCTGTTTACCGTCTTCACGCATTTTCGTCCATTTTCCGATCGTCCCATTCATCGTCCATTTTCAGATCGTTGCGGTGGCGTTTATTCCGCTGCAAAGTGAATGTAGTGCACAGCAGCTCGCGCCTGGCCTGGGCGTCTTCGATGCTCATGGTCGTTCTCGTTGTCTTACCTAGAAACCCTTGGCAGCTGTAATTGTTGTTCTGATCAAACTTCTACAGGCTCCTTCTCCACAATTCAACTACCCTAGCTCCTTCCCCTCGTGCCCGTTCGCACCCCCATTTAGGACGACATCCAGGGGAAGTCGGGCTGATATGCATTATTCAAGCTTTATTCCAAATTCCCGTCTGAGTACTACGCTCGGACGTTGTTCCATTCCCCCATTTTCAGCGAGTACTGTAAACCCAGGATTGGATTTGTACGTCGTAACTAACTTCTGATACGACCCCTAGGAGGACGGAAACAATGAGCAGGACCACTGCGAAGACAACCCCTTCCTCGGGTGGACTTCTCACGAGTCTTCTCTTCAAGCAGATCGGCGTTCTACTCGGTAGTAGAACGCAACACCTTTTTCCGGCACGACCGTCCTCTGGATGTTGGATTGGTTTCATTTTCGATTTGCTATTTGTTTCTACTTCCCTTTATTCACCATCTGTCTCCGACGTCTGTGGCTTTCAGTTGGTGGCGAGAAAGCACGAGGATCATCACGGTACGGGTACGGAGCGAAGAGATAGAGAAGAAGTACAGGGACGAGGTCTTGATGCAACGACAGGAGGACCACAGGTGTTACAAGACGTGGAGAACCACCGCCGGGGCCCTGACGTTCATTCATCCCACCAGCAGCAGCGAGACGAGAGAACTACTGCCAGAGCAAAGGCCGACGAAATTATATCACGACACGCAGATTTCGATTTGTTTTTACTACCACACAGCACTACAAGAAGGACCACCACCACCAAGCCTGCTGCAGCGCTAGGTGTAGTTCAGTCGGCCGATGAAGAAGTACAACTCCACCTAGCGCCGGACGAAGAACATCGAGAGCAAGTGGACACCACGGCTGCGACCGCTTTTCTGTCCTCAGCGGTATCTGCTGGTCATGTCTACTCTTCTGCAGCGACACCATCCGAGTACACTGGCGTCACCTACGAACAAATCGGGAACGGGTGGTGCGCTAAAGCCGGCGCGACATTGGATTATCTGTTCGTGGCGGAGGTCACCGAGGAAGTGTGCGAGCGGTCCTGCACGAATAATGCTTGGGTCGAGGCGTTGGAAGACCAAGCTGCCTATCAGCTGGAAATATGTCTGGGTCTGGAAACTTGTGATGCATGTCAGTGAACAGAAAGCGCGCTGTAATGCATCGCCAAGCATGACAGCGTTTCTCGTGGCTCTGTGTTGCGTATTCCGCATGAGAAACATCGTTTCGCATGACAGACAAGAGGAGGTCTTCGTGGCCACGCAATACAGAGTTTTGAGTCATGCCAAACTAGCATGAGAAGTCTTGCAATCTTTCAGACCTAGACATATTTGTAATGCATACTGCCTGGGAGGCGAAAGCGAATACCCGCGAGTCCTGGACCGCTTGGAGGGAAGAAAACCCAATTACCACCTGCACGGGCTACATGTATTCGGGAAATTGCATGACATTTCAGAACGTGCGCCCCGACGGCGTCGCGCACACAAACACGGGGTGGGACGCGTATGCCTGCAAGCGGAAGACGGAGATGATTGTGTCGTGGGATAGTGTCGGCCAAGGGTGGTGCGGTACCGATGCGGGAGCAATTACGGGCGAGATTTTTGTCTCCAACCTGTCCTCTTTTGAGTGCGCGCAATCCTGCGCCAACAATGCGTGGGTGGCAAGTCTAGGGGACGACCAGGCGGCCTGGGAGCAAGAGTTTGGCGTCTCGTGGGACGCATGGACGCAAAGCAAGCCGATAACTGGAACCTGCACGGCGTACATATCACTTGCAAAAGTATCGTACTCCTATACATGCATTGCAAATTTCCTCAGCATGAGAAATAAAATTTGTATTGCGTTTGTACCTTAAGAAAAATGCAGCAATTACTACGAG